GGGTTTGCGGTGTTCGGGAGCCAATTTGTTCGGCAACTCAGCCGTTCGAGAACCAAGGTACGGCTGTATTACTAACAGCTTGCCAGTCTTTCACCAGGGGGGACCCTACGTATACAATGGAAGGTGACGCAGAACCCACAAGTTGAATAAAAAGTTGTCCCATCAACCAATTATTATTCTGTGGGCATCTGCCCTTATTTAAGTGCATGTAACCCATTATCGCGGGTGGCGCTGTGGGTTAAACCACAGAGCCTAAGACTTGCCGATCAGAAGGTCGGCAGTTCGAATCCCCGAGACGGGGTGAGCTCCCATTGCTCGGTCCCTGCTCCTGCCAACCTAGCAGTTCAAAAGCATGTCAAAGTGCAGGTAGATAAATAGGTACCGCTCTGGCGGGAAGGTAAATGGCGTTTCCGTGCGCTGCTCTGGTTCGGCTTAGTCATGCTGGCCACATGAGCCGGAAGCTGTACACCGGCTCCCTCGTCCAATAAAGCGAGATGAGCGCCGCAACCCCAGAGTCGGCCACAACTGGACCTAATAGTCAGGGGTCCCTTTATCTTTAACTTTACCCCATTAAAATGAAATGGATTTAATGTTTTGACATCACATCGTTGCTGTCTGTTTATAATGGAACGTAACTTGGGTGCATTTGAGTCGCATGAGCAAAGGACAAATGGGTCCCTGCCCCATTTTTAAGACTCTGGATGTATGTTTGGGGGGATGCAATAAAGAGAAGAGGCTCCATAAGTAGGGGAACCAGTGTGATTTTTATTTCCCGGCAGGGCTCTTCACGGCTATATGGAAGTCACATATTCATTCAACTAAAGCGCTTTTTTTCTCCAGCACGGAAATTAAATTGCAGGAAAGGCTTTGCTTCAAGGTCCAGAAACCTGAGGAATGCAGCTCCCTGGACCTCTCCCCCAGGCCACATTTCCTCGCTGGCTCTGCTCCGCATAGTCCTTGATAATTTCGCCTGACTGGAACGAGTCCTTGAACTCTGAGCATGCCTCTTGCTTGCCAGGAGAGGAGATAGAGGCTTGTATGTGAGAGCATGTGCAGAAACTAGCCTAACATTAAAACCCAGTGAGAGCCTGGCTGCAGGATCAGGCCAATAGTCTAGTCCAGCATCCTTCCCCCGCCCCAGTGGCTAATCAGATGCCTCAGTAGGAAGCAAGCACCCCCATCGTTCAGCTCCAAGGGCCTTCTGGCAGTTCCCTCACTGCGAGAAGTAAGGTTACAGGGGACGAAGAAGAAGAGTTTGGATTTGATATCCCACCTTTCACTCCCTTTTAAGGAGTCTCAAAGCGGCTAACATTCTCCTTTCCCTTCCTCCCCCACAACAAACTCTGTGAGGTGAGTGGGGCTGAGAGACTTCAGAGAAGTGTGACTGGCCCAAGGTCACCCAGCAGCTGCATGTGGAGGAGCGGAGACGCGAACCCGGTTCCCCAGATTAGGAGACTACCGCTCTTAACCACTACACCACACTGGCTCCAGGCCACACTGGGACCAGGCAGAGGGCCTTCTCGGTAGTGGCGCCTGCCTCGTGGAATGCCATCCCATCAGATGTCAAGGAAATAAAAGGCAGCCCTGTTTAGGGAAGTTTTTAATGGTTGATGTTTTATTATATTTTTAATATTTTGTGGGGAGCTGCCCAGAGTGGCTAGGGAAACCCAGCCAGATGGGTGGGGTATAAATAAATAGTTGTTGTTGTTTAGTTGTTTAGTTGTGTCCGACTCTTTGTGACCCCCTGGACCAGAGCACGCCAGGCACTCCTGTCTTCCACTGCCTCCTGCGGTTTGGTCAGACTCATATTGGTAGCTTCGCGAACACTATCCAACCATCTCATCCTGTCGTCCCCTTCTCCTTGTGCCCTCCATCTTTCCCAGCATAAAGGTCTTTTCCAGGGAGTCTTCTCTTCTCATGAGGTGGCCAAAGTATTGGAGCCTCAGCTTCAGGATCTGTCCTTCCAGTGAGAACTCAGGGCTGATTTCCTTCAGAATGGAGAGGTTGGATCTTCTTGCAGTCCATGGGACTCTCAAGAGTCTCCTCCAGCACCATAATTCAAAAGCATATTATTATTAGTATTATTATTAGGGCCCAGCAAAGGCAAAACCTGCATTCTTGGCTCCATCTGCTTTTGACTTTGGCCCAGGCTCACGCTGTCGCCTGGCCCCCAGAAGGTTGTTTACAAGAGAATGAGGCGCTTGGGCCGAAAAAGGTTCCTTACCTCTGCATTACTGTATGCTCCAGTGGGACATTGTTGAGAGCATTGCAGAGAATTGTAGAGTTGGAAGGGACCCCTAGAGTCATCTAGTCCTTCACGGCCTAGGACCCTTGTACCTACAGGACTGCCTCTCCCGGTATGCCCCATGGAGGACCTTAAGGTCCATAAATAGCAACACCCTAGAGGTCTTGGGCCCTAAGGAAGTTAGATTAGCCTCAACCAGAGCCCAGGGCCTTCTCAACACTGGCTCCGGCCTGGTGGAACGCTCTGCCTCATGAGACCAGGGCCCTGCAGAATCTGATTTCTTTCGGCGGGGCCTGTAAGACAGAGTTGTTCCGCCTGGCCTTTGGCTTAGAATCAGTTTGATTCCCTCCCCCTTTCTTTTTCCTTTCTCCTCCTGCGAAGAGGCTGCAACCTAATGTTTTAATGTTGTATTTTAATCTTGTTTTTAAAATTGTATTTTAATCAACTTGTTTTTATTATTGGTTGTTAGCCGCCCTGAGCCCGGTCTTGGCTGGGGAGGGCGGGGTATAAATAATTATTATTATTGTTGTTGTTGTTGTTGTTGTTAGTCCAACCCCCTGCAATGCAGGAATCTCAACTAGAGCATCCGTTTTCCCGCAGATGTGAAATGTGGATGGGGGCACTAGCATTGCAGGAAGGGGTGTTCGCATGTAGAGCCATCCTTTTCGGGTGGCGGGAGAAAGGGGGCCTACTAACACAGCATGTGCCTTTTTGGGGTGGAATCAGGACTTGGTTTTACAACACACACACCCCTCAGCCTCTGGGAGTGGGGGGACCTTTTTACGCAAATACACAATTTACTGGTTCCGGAGGGAACTGCCAGGTTGGTGGGCTGGGGCAGAGTTTTTTTGGGGAGGGAAGCTGCTCGCAGATTTGGAGTGGTTCCTGTCTGCCCCTTATGGGCCTACCTTACCCCACTTGGCCAAATCTCACAGGGACAGCTTTTTATTATTATTGAGACAGCAAGAAAAGAAAAAAGAGAAAACACAAATACCAAATTACACACAAGAACAACAATAAATACTGAATTTTCTTAACAAACAATAAGGCATAAATTGGTCTTAACACTAAAGACCCAACCTCCCGTCTATTCCATATTTCGATTTTATATAACTTATTGCCAGCACACACTTTTATCATTATTAAACTTTTTCTTAATATATCTTTGTTATGTACTGAAGTTCTCACCCTGGGCCAGCAGGGGGATACTGTAGACAGTTTTCACTCAGGTCCACATATGCAAATAAGGAATTGAAAGTGACGTTCAGTGATTGGATAGTTACAGAAAGTTGTACTGTTGCATTGTAGTGGAGCTCTATATAAGCAGGCTGGCTGAACCCTTCAGTTCAGTTCAGTTCTGTTCTGTGCCTGTGAATAAACAAGAGCTATTTGAAGAATCACTGTGTCGTTTGATATGTACACCCACAACTTAACAATCTTAATTGTTATATCTGCCTTGCAACTATTACTGAAGTTCCACGAATGCTGCAACCGAATTTAAACTACTATATTTGTATTTCAAATATACTTTGAAAACCTCCCATTTTGAAACAAATCCCTGTTTCGATTTATTCTTTATTTTTTCTGATAGACCATCAAATTCTGCATATTCTGTCAGCTTTTGGATCCAATCTTGTATAGAGGGAATTTCATTACTCTTCCATTTTCTCATTGGAACGGCTTTGCGGTGGCCCTACTGAAATGGGAAAGAACGGGATGGGGTGTGGGGCTGGAGACACGATTGGCGCGAGGGGCATAGCTGTCAACGTTTCCCTTTTTTTAAGGGAAATTCCCTTATTCCGAATAGGATTCCTCGCAAGAAAAGAGAAAAGTTGACAGCTATGGCAAGGGGTGCAGGCCAGGTTGGGTGGGGGAGGGTGGAGCACACTTTTGCAGTATTTCAGGTTATTAAAGTACAAGACTGCTAATGTCAAAACACAAAACAAAAGCATCCGTGACAGATGGCCCTCCAACCTCTGCTTAAAAACTTCCAAGGAAAAAGTGTCCACCACCTCCCAAGGGAATCCATTCCACTGTCGGACAGCTCTTACTGTCAGAAAGTTTTCCCCTATGTTGAGTCGGAATCTCCCTTCTTGTAACTTTAAGCCTTTGGTTTGAGTCCTACCCTCCTGAGCAGGAGAAAACAAGCCTTGAAATTTGCCTTAATAATAAACAATAAATGGAGGAGGAATACAAGTAACTCAATTTAAACAAGTTTAAATATAAATGATCAGCAGCATCCTGCTAGAGTTACACACTTTTACCGTAATTTCCATTTATTTCGCCGGGTGTTTGTGTGTCTCTGCTAGATGAGGCCACAGGCAAATCTAGTTTAACCAATCCTACGGCACCCAGTTAGGAAACCAGATGCCTCAGGGAAGCCTGCAAACAAGGGACCTGTGACTATTTGCAAATTTTGTTTCTGATCATTTCCTTGGTGAATTTATTCAAATAGCATTTGCCCCACCCACAACCCTCTGGGTTTGTTTATTTCATCCCTTTCCTGCTTGCTTATATATCTTCCTTATATATCTTGCTTATATATCTTCCTACAATCCTCCTGAAGACTCCGCGCATTTTTACGAGCTTTTGGATGAGATAATAACCCGCAGCTTCCATCGCACGCAGCTCTTCGTCGTGGCTCTCTAAGGGTTAAGGAGAACGAGCTGCGGCTCCTAGAGAGGCCCCGGAAGAACGTGTCTGTTTGGGGAAAGGGGGCGAGAGAGAAAAAACGCGAAAGTTCCTTCCTGTTTGAATTGCCTTCCGCGGCGGATGAATGGAGGAAGGAGCCGAGCGAGGAAAAGCGGATTGCGATGTAGAGGGGAGGCTGGTGAGTACGCAGCAGTGGAGGGAGCCAGCCTTTCTCCTCTCTGGGGGTTCTGCGCTTTCTGACAGCTGGATGGCAGGCAGAAATCCAACAGGGGAAGCTTTTCTCTTCCTCTTTTTCTTCTTCCAACTGCTCCCTTGGCGTTCAAGTTTCTCCCCGCAAAATCAGCCGCTGAAGCCAGGGAATAAAAGAGGAAAGCGCCAAGAACAAAGAAGCCACCAAGGCTTTCAAACACTTAAGCAAAATATTATTAAATAAATTTATTACTTATACCCCGCCCATCTGGCCGGGCCTCCCCAGCCACTCTGGGCGGCTTCCAACAAAATAGGGAAAACACAATCAAATATCAAACATTTAAAAACTTCCCTAAAAGAGAACGTCGCTTTGCTGTTAGGCAAACGGAGGCGCAAGCAGGGATGGCCCCGTGCAAACCGAGGAAAGGACTCCCACGCCTTTTTAAATGATGCAGAAGAGGGGGTTTCAGCAGGGTAGAGCTTTGCCCGAAATTTTGTTGCTGTGCACTTACCCTCCAAAATGAAAGGTTGGGCTTCAGTTTGAAGATCTGGTTTTGGGGGGCCCAGCTGTTTTTTTCTGTGTCCCCGATTTTGATAGCAGTGGCATGTACAGTATGTATGCATGTGTTTTATATACAGTGGTACCTCAGGGTAAGTCCTTAATTCGTTCTGGAGGTCCGTTCTTAACCTGAAACTGTTCTTAACCTGAAGCACCGCTTTAGCTAATGGGGCCTCCTGCTGCCGCCGCACCGCCAGAGCACGATTTCTGTTCTTATCCTGAAGCAAAGTTCTTAACCCAAGATGCTATTTCTGGGTTAATGGAGTCTGTAACCTGAAGCGTATGTAACCCAAGGTACCACTGTATTGCTCTCTCATGGCCAACAAGCTTTAAAAGGCGATCAGGCAAGATAAGGCTACCAGTGGTTGCTGCCACAATGGTGATCCTCGACCTTGCTGTTAGGAGGCAGCCTGTGCCCCTTCCACTTCTAAATTTGTAACCGTATTTAATTTTTGTCTTTTTTTCATTTGCCAAGCCAACAATTTCCCACATTTATTAGCCGACTCAAAGGTCTTTTGTCTCATTTGTTTGATTTTCCATTCTATCTCCTGATTCATCATTTTCATGTATTGTACTTGATGTAACTTTAATTCTCTCAAAATCTCTTGCGATTTTGGTTTTGCTCTCAATTTCTTTTCAGTTTCTTTTATTTTCTCCAATATTTTATCCTTCTTCTCATTTTGGATTCTCTTCTTTAATGCGTTCTGTTGTATCAAGAACCCTCTCATAACAGCTTTGCTTGCGTCCCAGATTACTCTTTTTTCCACATTGGTATTCATATTTATCTCAAAATAATCTCTCAAGGTTTTTTGGGCCTTCTTAACCACTTCTTCATCTCTGAATAAGGTGTCATTCATCCTCCATCTGAAGGAACCAGTTGGTATTAGTTTCATCTCCATCTTCACAGCATTATGGTCGGAGCAGGTTTTTGGGCAGATTTCCACTTTTCTTGTCTTTGGTGCCATTCCTCTAGTTACCCATATTTGGTCAATTCTTGTCCATGTCAGTTTGGCTTCAGAGAAGAAGGTTCCCTCTCTGGCCAAGGGATTCTTTGTTCTCCAGATATCAACTAAGTCCAAGTTGTCTGTCATCTCAAAAAAGGTTTTCGGTAGTCTGCCGTCCTTAGTGACTACCTGTCTTTGTGCCTTGTCCATATGCATAGATACCACTCCATTCATGTCTCCCATCAAAATCACATTATAATCCAAATAGTCCATCAAGGTCTCATACAACTTTTTAAAGAATTCAGATTTCCCCTCGTTTGGTGCATAAACTCCTACTATCAAAAATTTCTCTCCTTGTGTTTGAATTTCAATTGCCACAAATCTTCCCTGGTCATCTTTGAAGATAAATTTCGGTAATAGTCTCTCCTTTGCATAAATCACTACCCCTCTTTTTTTAACCTTGTCCGAAGAAATAAACTCCTGGCCCAGTCTTTTGTTGATCAATACTTTCCTGTGTAGCCTTGTTACATGTGTTTCCTGTAAACAAATCAAATCCAATTGTTCCTTTTTTAATAACTGAAATACAGTTTTCCTTTTCTGAGGGGAGTTGAGACCATTACAATTCCAACTTAATAGTTGCAGAGCCATGATGTAGTTACTTTACTTCTCCTCCAACTGCACCAAGTGCCTGTTCCTGTTCTGTCAGTGGTATCACCTTCTCCAGGTGGTCTTTTAATTCAGGAGGTAATCTTGGTATGTCTAAAATTCCTCCTTCTAGTGCTCTTAACTCTTCTCCAGCTTCTTTCTGCAGGTCTTCTCCGTGGTCTCTCAAAAATCTTTCTTTGTCGTCCTCTGATCTTATTTTTATCTTTCTCCCTTTGTAGCTAAAGGATAGGCCTTGGGGGAATGCCCACCTAAAGATGATTCCGTTGCTTCTCAGCAGGGCGACCAACTCTCTACAATTGGACCTAAGGTCCAGAAGATATTTTGGAATGTCCTTAAATATCTCCACTCTTGACTGATGTATTTCCAAAGTCTTCTGAAAGTGCAGACTCAAGATTTTATCTCTCTCCTCTTTTGTTCGGAGGGTGATCAAACAGTCTCTCACCCTGTTCTTCTTCCCTCCTCTTCCAAGCCTAAAAGCACTCACTATCTTAAAAGGACCAGTGGTCCAGGGATGCTGGGAATTGTAGTCCCAAAACATCTGGAGGGCCAAGTTTGGGGGTGCCTGGACTATGTGCAAGTGTGGAATATGTAACCCAGGATGGTGGCCAGGGGTGAATCAGCCTTTCAGGCCCCCTCCCCAAAGGTCTGCCAACCATGATGACTCTCCTCTTTTTGCAAATTGGCACCAGTTCCCAAAGTCACACCCGCACCATACTGTTTATCTGGTGAGCCGGTGAGCATCACTGCACACCAGGCCAAATCCTGACCAAAACACCAACATTCATTGGATTCTGATCAAGGTTTGATTTTGTTGTAGCAGCCCAGTGGAATAGAGACACTCTGGGCGGCTCCCAATCAGTGTTAAAAACAGTACAGCGTTACATATTAAAAACTTCCCTGAACAGGGCTGCCTTAAGATGTCTTCTGAATGTCAGGTAATTATTTATCTCTTTGACATCTGATGGGAGGGCGTTCCACAGGGCGGGTGCCACTACCGAGAAGGCCCTCTGTCTGGTTCCCTGTAGCCTCACTTCTCGCAATGAGGGAACCGCCAGAAGGCCCTCGGCGCTCGATCTCAGTGTCCGGGCTGAACGATAGGGGTGGAGACGCTCCTTCAGGTATACAGGACCGAGGCCGTTTAGGGCTTTAAAGGTCAGCACCAACACTTTGAATCGTGCTCGGAAACGTACTGGGAGCCAATGCAGATCTCTCAGAACCGGTGTTATGTGGTCCCGGCGGCCACTCCCAGTCACCAGTCTAGCTGCCGCATTCTGGATTAATTGCAGTTTCCGGGTCACCTTCAAAGGTAGCCCCACGTAGAGCGCGTTGCAGTAGTCCAAGCGTGAGATAACTAGAGCATGCACCACTCCGGCGAGACAGTTCGCGGGCAGGGTAGGGTCTTAGCCTGCGTACCAGGTGGAGCTGGTAGACAGCTGCCCTGGACACAGAGTTAACCTGTGCCTCCATAGACAGCTGTGAGTCCAAAATGACTCCCAGGCTGCACACCTGGTCCTTCAAGGGCACAGTTACCCCATTCAAGACCAGGGAATCCCCCACACCAACCCGCTCCCTGTCCCCCAAAAACAGTACTTCTGTCTTGTCAGGATTCAACCTCAATCTGTTAGCCGCCATCCATCCTCCAACCACCTCCAGGCACTCACACAGGACCTTCACCGCCTTCACTGGTTCTGATTTAAAGGAGAGGTAGAGCTGGGTGTCATCTGCATACTGATGAACACCCAGTCCAAACCCCCTGATGATCTCTCCCAGTGGCTTCATATAGATATTAAAAAGCATGGGGGAGAGGACAGAACCCTGAGGCACCCCACAAGTGAGAGCCCAGGGGTCTGAACACTCATCCCCCACCACCAGTTTCTGGACACGGCTGAGGAGGAAGGAGCGGAACCACTGTATGACAGTGCCCCCAGCTCCCAGCCCCTCTAGACGGTCCAGAAGGATGTTATGGTCGATGGTGTCAAAGGCCGCTGAGAGATCCAGCAGAACTAGGAAACAGCTCTCACCTTTGTCCCTAGCCCGCCGGAGATCATCAACCAGCGCGACCAAGGCAGTTTCAGTCCCATGGTGAGGCCTGAATCCCGATTGGAAGGGATCCAAATGGTCTGTTTCCTCCAGGCGTGCTTGGAGTTGTTCAGCAACCACCCGCTCAATCACCTTGCCCAAGAATGGCAGATTTGAGACTGGGCGATAGTTGGCCAAATTGGCCGGGTCTAAAGATGTTTTTTTAAGAAGCTGTTTAATGACCGCCTCTTTCAGCGGGTCTGGGAAGGCTCCCTCACAGAGGGAAGCATTCACCACCCCGCAGAGCCCATCGCCCAGCCCTTCCCGGCTCGCTTTTATCAGCCAGGATGGGCAAGGATCAAGGAGACAGGTGGTCGGTTTCACTTGTCCAAGCAGCCTGTCCACATCCTCGGAGGTAACAACCTTTTCTGTCTCGGTGAAGTCAGACCACTGCGTTAGCAGTACCAAAGTAACCTCTCCGGGGTTCAAGTCTGGGCAGTGTGTCTGGAGGTCCTGGGCTGCCCAGACAACAAGACCCCCCTCAGCCTCGCTGATGTGGTCGAAAGGAAAGCAGAGCAACACATTTGACACCTTCGGGACTGCAGGAGTTGCAGGACAGAGCTGTGCAGTCATACCTCTTGTTACGTTTGCTTCAGGTTAATTTTTTTCATTACTGGAAAAGGTTACTTCCGGGTTTCGCCGCTCGCGCATGCGCAGACGCTCAAAATGACGTCACGTGCAGAAGCGGCGAATCGCAGCACGCGCAGACGCGGGTTGCATTCTGCTCATGTTGCGAACGGGGCTTCGGAACGGATCCCGTTCGCAACCAGAGGTACCACTGTACAAGACACCATCCAACTGTCTTAGGGACTCCAGATTTGTGTAGGGTTTACTTCTGAGCCTTTTTTCCCCCCGAAGATATCCTTCAAGGCAGTGGGGACTTAGGATCTGAGTTTCCCTTCTCCTAGATGGGCTTCCTTCCTGGTTGGACAATCCCCATCTGCCCCTCACTTCCCTCTACAGCACATGCAGAAACTGCCTTCTTGACCATTGGACCCATGATTAGTCTCGTCCGCTCAATCTGCCAGAGCCTGTCTGCGCATGCAGGGAAAGTTCCTAATTCACTGAGGGTTTGAGGCCCATCGGCTGCCCTCACCTGGTTTAGATGGCTATTCGAAGCCGTTCCCTGGGATTGTGGCTGCTGTCGCATGCTGACAGCTTCTAGGAGCCACAGGTGAGAGTTGAGTGCAGGTGGGGACCAGAGGTGCACAAACTGCCCCAGAAGGAGCGCAATGTGTCCCCCACCAGAGTCCCCACCCCTCTCCTGAAGCTTGCACAACGGGGGGGAAAACCCATAGACTATTGAATGTAATACAGGTGGTTCTAAACCGAGGGTGAGGTGAGATCAGGCCCTGCCAGGAAGGCTTAACGTGGGCTTCTCTGTCTGGCCCTTCCCAGGCCACACTTCTCACTGGTCATGTTCTGAACCTCCCATCTGGAATGTGCCACAAAATTCTGAAAATGCCTCTTTCTTTCCTGGATGGCAGGCGAGCGTGTAGGTGTCAAAATCTCTGGGTTCTTGCAGGGCTGGAATGTGCCCTGCTCTTCAAAGGAAAGAGTTGCCTCCTTTGCCACACCCATTTTTTACTTTGGCCACGCCCACTTCTGTCATGGGAGGACCCCTTTCCCGGAAGCCAGCCTGCCTGCCTGTCAGAGAATGTGAAACCTCAGTCTGGAGATAATAATAACAAATAAAAGATGGTTCCCTAGTGCTGCTGCTCTAATCCAAGGTTTCCTAGCGCTGCACTGAGCTGCAATTCAGCCACGTTTCCAAACAAGAATATTAATTTGGCAATGAAGCAAATGAACCAGAGTCTGCCCATGGCTCCCAAGGTTCTGGCAAAATGTTTCTAGCAACTCTGGCAGGTGTGGAGCAGCAGGAAATTTGTGCAGGCTTTGCCTTGGCTATCCTTTCTCTTTTCCTTGGCATTCAGAAGCGTTTCTGCCTTCCATTGTGGAGGCAGAGTTAGTGGCCGTTCATAGCCATACCTTCCATGAACTTGCCTGATTTCCTTTTGTAGCCATAAATCATCATTGGGAGCGGATAACATGGTTTAACGCTATTCTTTTGCCTTTTCTGAATCTCCCAAACTCCTCCTTCGCATGTCTGCAATTTCTAGTATTATGAGAGAGAGAAATCTTTTATAGAATTGCAGAATTGGAAGGGACCCCAAGGGTCATCTAGTGCCACCCCCTGCAATGCAGGAATCTCAGCTAAAGCATCCAGGACAGATGGCCATCCAACCTCCGCTTAAAAACCTCCAAAGAAGGAGAGTCCACAACCGTGCATAATTTTCTACTCCTCTGACAATCTCCCATGCCCATGCTCAGAATCTAATTTGAAGTTTATATAGAGACCTATACATTTATAAGGTTTTTAAAATCAGTATCAGGTGTGAAAGAACCTGTGACCCTCCAGCTGATGCTGAATTCGAACTCCCATCATCCCTAGCTACTGGCCGTGTTTGCCAGGGCTGATAGGATTTAAAGTTCAGCAACATCTGGAGGGCCAAAAGTTCCCCACTCCTGATCTGTGTCTTGCTCCACATCCTCTTTCCTGGCCTACTTCACAGGGTTGTTGCGAGGACAAAATGGAGAGGGGAAGAACCATGTCACTGCCTTGAGCTTTTTGGAAGAAAGGAGGGGTATAAATGCAAGATCATATTAGTTATTCTCATTTCTGGTTTACTTCTCTCCCATCCCAGAGAGAGCCCTTTCCGCTCATCTGGAACGTCTACCTATCTAAACGTTAGCCAAGAAGAAGACCTGATTCATCTCTGCTGCCTGTTGAATGACACCTATCCACCTTAACATGGCAAACTGGATCTAAGGAGAGGCTGGATATTTGTTCCGACTTTCAGCGAGGAAGCGAGAAGTTCTCTGGGATAAAGAGGGAGACTGAACTCGGATGAGGCCATTCTGGGCCCGAGACAAGATGGCCGTCAGGGAAGGGACACAGTCTGGCTTTGGCCTGCGGTTCCACGCAGAGCTTGAGCAAGGAGTCCCCCAGCAGATCAAAATGGAGGAGGAGGATACCTCAGATTCCACCTCGGGGGAAGGGTTGGAAGAAACCCCTTACATCATCCAGGCCGGAAGCATCCGCAAATTCCTGCAGAGGCCTCCCGGAGACCAGGAAACTGGCAACGGGCTGCTTTGGGAAACCCAGTGGCAGGACTTTCTGAAGACCCTAGAATACCCACCACAGATCCTCGAGGAACCCACCCCGTGGGACAACACCAAGTCTTTCCTGGCCTCCTTTGAGCAAGTGGCTGAAGCGTGCCGGTGGCCCCGAGATGACTGGATGGTCCATCTTCTGCCAGCCCTCAGTGGGGAAGCTGAGCAGATCTTCAGCAACCTGGACACCAGAGACAGGATTAACTACGACAAGGTCAAGGCGGCCATCTTGCGTGGGGATGCCATCATCAGGGAGAGGCAGCGCCAGAACTTCCGCCGCTTCTGCTACCAGGAGGCCGAGGGGCCAAGAGGCGTTTACGGGCGGCTCCAGCAGCTGTGCGGTCAGTGGCTGAAGGTGGAGAGGCACTCCAAGGAGCAGATCCTGGAGCTGCTGATCCTGGAGCAGTTCCTGAGCATCCTGCCGCCCGAGATGCAGAGCTGGGTCGGGGAACATGGGCCGGAGACCTGCTCCCAGGCGGTGGCCCTGGCTGAGGACTTCCTGCAGAGGGCGTATGCTGGAGAGAGTTGGGAAGCGCAGGTGAGAGTCTAGATTTTCCAGCTTTGACTTAGGTAAGTTTCTCTCTTCAAGGTTACACCCCTGCTCTCAACAGCAATGCCTGATGAGGTTGTTCAGGTATGATGAAAGCAGACAAATATCCTAGGCAGAGGAGATGGGGGTTGCTTGCTCTGCAACAAAAAGTTGCAGCATGGTTTGTTCCTTGTTCAGGTTTCTAGACCTCTTTTCCACTGCGTTTTTTGGGGGGTGGGCAGTGATTCACTGTATTTACCGTATTTTTCGCTCTATAGGACGCACCGGACCATAGGACACACCGGACTATAGGAGGGGGAGAATAGGAAGAAAAAAAATTCTCCCCCTCTCTGCTCAGCGCCCCTTCAGCGAAGCGTCAGGAGAAACGGAGCACCTTCCATTTCTCCTCCCGCTTCACTGAAGGGGCGCTGCACAGAGAGGGAAAACTGTGCAGCGCCACTCCAGCGAACCGAAGCCTGGAGAGCAAGAGGGATCGGTGTGCACCGACCCCTCTCGCTCTCCAGGCTTCAGGCAGCTATCCGCAAGCCTTCGGAGCGCTGCGGGAACCCCTGCTGCACTCCGAAGGCTTGCGGATAGCTGCCTGAAGCCCCCGGAGCGCAGCGGGAGTTCTCTGCGCTCCGGGGGCTTCAGGTGGCTTCAGCGATAGCAACGCGAAGCCTCCGGAGTGCGGGGAGCTCTCCTCTGCGCTTCGGCGGCTTCGCATTGCTATCGCTGAAGCCAAGGAGCCTGCATTCGCTCCATAGGACGCATACACATTTCCCTTTCATTTTTGGAGGGGGGAAAGTGCGTCCTATAGAGCAAAAAATATGGTACTTACCGTATTTTTCGCACCATAGGACGCACTTTTTCCCTCCTAAAAAGCAAGGGAAAATGTCTGTGCGTCCTATGGAGCGAATGCAGGGGGGAGGCAGGCGGGAAAAGCCCCCAAGAGCCGCACACAAGCTCCATACGCTCTTGCGGGCTTTTCCACAGGAGGGAGAAGGGACTGACTGGCCGCATCAGTCCCTTCTCCCACCTCCCAGAAAAGCCAGGAGAAGCCACGATCTCTTTAAAGGGGTTGCGTGGCTTCTGCGGGCTTTTGGGAGAGGTGAGGGAATCCCCCCCACCTCCCAGGAAAGCCAGGAGAAGCCGTGCAGCCCTTTTAAAGTGCGCGTGGCTTCTGCCGGTTTTGCGAGAGATGGGGGAATTCCCACACTTCCCAGAAAAGCCAGGAGAAGCCGTGATCTCTTTAAAGGGGTTGTGTGGCTTCTGCGGGCTTTTGGGAGAGGTGAGGGAATCCCCCCCACCTCCCAGAAAAGCCAGGAGAAGCCGGCAAGGAGAGGCTGCACGGGGCTATGGATTCTTTAGCCCCACGCAGCCTCTCCCTGCCGGAGGGGTTGCGCACAGCCATGGAGCAAGCCAAGGCAGCGAGCAGGATGGATCCCGCTCACTGTTTTGGCTTCCCCTTTAGCCCCGTTCAGCCTCTCCTTGCCAGGAGACGCTGCGCAGGGCTTCTCCTGGCTTTCCTGGGAGGTGGTTGGATTCCCTTTTAAAGTGCGCGCGGCTTCTGCCAGTTTTGCGGGAGGTGGGGGAATTCCCACACTTCCCAGAAAAGCCAGGAGAAGCCGTGATCTCTTTAAAGGGGTTGCGTGGCTTCTGCGGGCTTTTGGGAGAGGTGAGGGAATCCCCCCCACCTCCCAGGAAAGCCAGGAGAAGCCGTGCAGCCCTTTTAAAGTGCGCGTGGCTTCTGCCGGTTTTGCGAGAGATGGGGGAATTCCCACACTTCCCAGAAAAGCCAGGAGAAGCCGTGATCTCTTTAAAGGGGTTGCGTGGCTTCTGCGGGCTTTTGGGAGAGGTGAGGGAATCCCCCCCACCTCCCAGGAAAGCCAGGAGAAGCCGTGCAGCCCTTTTAAAGTGCGCGTGGCTTCTGCGGGCTTTTGGGAGAGGTGAGGGAATCCAACCACCTCCCAGGAAAGCCAGGAGAAGCCCTGCGCAGCGTCTCCCGGCAAGGAGAGGTTGCGCGGGGCTAAAGAGGAAGCCAAAACAGCGAGCGGGATCCATCCTGCTTGCTGCCTTGGCTTGTGCCATAGCCGCGCGCAACCCCTCCGGCAGGGAGAGGTTGTGCGCAGCCTGTACGCTGCTCTTTGGGGCTGGGGGGGGAAGAGTTTTTTTCTTGATTTCCCCCCCTAAAAACTGGGTGCGCCCTATGGTCCGGTGCGCCCTATGGTGCGAAAAATACGGTATTACCTTCATAGACCACCTTTTCCTCCAAGGAGCTCAAGGTTCTCCCCTCCCTATTTTATCCTCACAGCTACCCCTGTGAGGTAGGTAGACTGAGAGACAGGGATTGGTCTCAGGTCGGCCAGTGAGTTGCATGGCTGCATTTGAACCCTGGTCTCTCTCACTGACTACTACACCACACCGGCTCTCCCAGTATATTTAGAAACCTTTATATGGACAAACCTTGGAATTATGCTCTAAAAGTAAAGAGTCTTGATAAAGTTGTCCATTTAACTCAGTTTGGTTGGCCAGAAAGGCTTAGCCTGTCAGGCATGTGTACCAAGAAATGTCGTAAAAATAAAGAGCAAATAAAACCATGAAACATGCACCAGGAAACAGCATAAACACGCTCTTAAGAGTTCAAGGAATTTAAGAGAAGTAAGCAAGTTTGTAGAGTAAAAGATGAGGCATGGGGCACGTGAGGAAGGAAGTGAGCTAATATCCAGGGCTTTCTTCAGCTGGAACTCAGTTTCGACACCTCTCAGGCAGGAGCCATTGCCATTCTAAGAGAATGAGGGAGGTGTTTGTGGTGAGTTCCCACATCTCTTTTTCTAGAAAAATAGCACTGGTTAGATCAATATTGGAAGGGATATTGGCATAAAAATCCTAAAAGAGGTTCCATGTTAGTGTGTGAAGGCCATGACTGCTTGAACAAGGCAGGTGTCCCTTTGGCCCCACAGCACCAGCTGAGGAGGAGGCCTCACTCTGCCCAACGGGAGAGCCAATCCCTCCAGGCTACACTGGGGCACAATCTGCATCACTTTCCCATGGCCGCCACCCCTCACGACCTCCGCTCCCAAATCCTTCCTTGAAGGGGGATCTTATCTTTCTTTTCTAGGGCAACCCAGTCAGATGGGTGGGGCAAAAGAATATTATTATTATTATTAAGGATTTGCTGAACCAACAAAGGATTTGCTGAACCAACAAACTGAATTGGAATACAAAGAAGGGAGGTACGAGGAGGTCTGGGGAAATAAGAGTAAGGAAGATAGGTTATGGAACATTAGTGTGTTTTTAACTGTTTTATTTTGTATGTTTTTTCTTACTTTTTGCTTTTTTTGCTGTAATTTATACTTTTTTCTTTGTTTTCTGTATTTTTGTGAAACTTTAATAAATATCATTTAAAAAAAAATATTATTATTATTATTATTATATTTATTATTTATTATTTATTATTTAATTTATTAATTTATTTTTTATTTTATTTATTTCAGGAGTTGGGACCAATTGAGGAGGTCGCTCTGGATTTCTCTGAGGAAGAAGAGACCCCACTGAATGGGGAGCGGAGCCTTGGTTACACAGAGGCCGGTAGGGAGGATGACGACAGCGACGCCACCTCACTAGGTGAGGATGACTGTTTATTTTCACTTAAAAACAACACCAATGGCTTCTCTTCAGCAAACTGAGTCTGGCCAACAGTAAAACCATGGGCTAGGCCCCGTCCTAGTCCTCCTCAGAATAGGCCCGTTACACTTAATGGGCATGACTGACTTAGGTTCACTAATTGCAGTGGGTCTAAAGGTAAAGGTAAAGGGACCCCTGACCATTAGGTCCAGTCATGACCGACTCTGGGGTTGCGGCACTCATCTCGCTTTACTGGCCAAGGGAGCCGGCGTACAGCTTCCGGGTCATGTGGCCAGCATGACTAAGCCACTTCTGGCGAACCAGAGCAGCGCACGGAAATGCCGTTTACCTTCCTGCCGGAGCGGTACCTATTTATCTACTTGCACTTTGACGTGCTTTCGAACTGCTAGGTTGGCAGGAGCTGGGACCAGACAACGGGAGCTCACCCCGTCATGGGGATTCGAACTGCCAACCTTCTGATCGGCAAGCCCTAGGCTCTGTGGTTTAACCCACAGCACCACCCGTGTCCCTGCAGTGGGTCTACTCTGTGTCTACTCCTTAAAATGTATAATAACCAATTGCTGTAAAAACAACGGCAGCGGTTGACCATTGCAGTGGTCACGGAAACAAACAAAACGCAAACAGGTGGCAGTAAGCAAGCGTCAGGATAGGAAGGAGCTATTTCTGCTGCCGCTGCCACCCACTCCCCATCATTGCGGGGGGTTGGACTAGATGACCCTTGGCTCCCTTCCAACTCTTAAGATGCTATGATTCTACATCCAGACCTGCTGGATAGCTCAGTTGGTTAGAGCGTGGCGCTGATAATGCCAAGGCCTCAGGTTCAATCCCAGTAAGGAACGGCTGCATATTTCTGCATTTCAGGGGGTTGGACTAGATCACGGGTGTCAAACACAAGGCCCGCGGGCCGAATCCGGCCCGCCAGACCTCGTCATGTGGCCCGTGTAGCCGCCGCCGGCCGCCAGCCTTCACCTTTTATTCTCGCTTTTTTTTTTTTGACACAAGAAAGCCTCCTCTTCAGCGCATGGCATGCACGGCAGCCTACAAGCCAGAGAACGTCTGCCCTCTAGCGGCGCCGGCCGTTCTACACAGGAAACCTCCACTTTACATGTCCTTTACATAGTCCTACAGATACAACCGGCCCTTTGAGGGTGACCAAAGTGCTGATGCGGCCCCCGATGAATTTGAGTTTGACACCCCGGACTAGATGATCCTCAGGGTCCCTTCCAACTTTATGATTCCATGAAAACAGCAGTAGCAAGTAACCAAGGACTAGGAAACATGTAAAATAAATTAAACAAAGGAGAATTAAAATAAAAAAATCTATGTGACTTTCTCAAGGATTTCTCTCCGTCTCTGAACGGGCCTTCTCTGCAGTGGCTCCTCGTCTGTGCAACAAAGTTCGCCTTTGTTTGATTTGATTGACCTCCTATGCCCTTTTAAAATGTGGGGGGTTTTGGGGGGGGTATTTTGATTATTGATTTTGTGGTTTTATATTTTAGTCTGTAAACCGCCCTGAGACCTGCAGGTATAGGGCGGTATATAAATTCAGTTAATAATAGTAGTAATAGTAGAATGGTAGAATAGTTCTACCATTGGCCCATCTATCCCAGCATCCTGTTCTCACAGTGGCCAACCAGATGACCCAGTGAGAAGCCTGCAAACAGGGCCTGTGTGGAACAGCACCCTGCCCATTTCCGATTCTTAGCAACTGGTACTCAGAGGGGGAGCACGACCTTCTCTGCTAGTAGCTGTTGATAGCCTTATCTTGTGGTTTAACAGTCAATTCCTCCAATCAGGGAACTCTGGGAATCATAGCTTTTGGGAGGGGGGCAGGGGTGCCTCCTAGCAACTCTCAGCACCCTGGAAAAATTACACCTCCCAGGATTCTCTGTGGGCAGCCATGACGGTTTAAAGTGGTGTGATACTGCTTTAAATGTGTGGCGCACGTGGGGACTGAGACAGAGTGAACAAGAGAGAAGCACAAGTATTTGGGCTTGCATTCTTCCTTCTTTCTTTCCCCAGCCACTCTGGGCGGCTCCCAACAGAATATTAAAAACACAATAAAACATCAAACATTAATTACTTCCCTGTACAGGGTTGCCTTCAGATGTCTTCTAAAAGTCAGATAGTTGTTTATTTCCTTGACATCTGATGGGAGGGCATTCACAGGGTGGGTGCCAACACCAAGAAGGCCCTCTGCCTGGTTCCCTATAACCTCACTTCTTGCAGTGAGGGAACCGCCAGAAGGCCCTCGGAGCTGGACCTCAGCGTCATGAGATGTTTCATGAGTGTAGTGGCTATTGACTTTTGACACTTGAGGGTTATATTTTTAGCACCCACCTTCTTTTTAGCAATTGTCAGCTGCTATAAATTGCTTTTGGTGTTTTGTCTTAACGCTGTAACCCACCCTGCAACCTTGGGGTGTAAAGGTAAAGGTAAAGGTACCCCTGCCCATACGGGCCAGTCTTGACAGACTCTAGGGTTGTGCGCTCATCTCACTCTAGAGGCCGGGAGCCGGCGCCGTCCGCAGACACTTCCGGGTCACGTGGCCAGTGTGACATAGCTGCTCTGGCGACCTGCAACCTTGGGGTGATGGGCAGATGATGATGATGATGATGATAATAATAATGATAATAATAATAATAATAATAATAATAATATAGTGGAATGGCTGTATGGATCTTCCAGGAGCAGAGGCAGTGTACCTCTAAATGCCAGCTGCTTGGGGTGCTTCCCAGAGGCATCTTATTGGCCAACTACAGGAAACAGGAAGCTGGGCTAGGTGGGTCATTGGTCCAGTCCAGCAGGGCACTCATTTGTTTTTTTCTGCCATGTTTAAAATGTCCCCTTTGTTGTGGCAGGTGAAGATTGGGTGAGTGCCACTGAGACGGAGACACCCCAGTCAGAAGGATTTTATCAAGCCTACCCAAACGGGACTCCGAACGGAAGGAGAGAAGAAAGCAAGGCTTCCTGTTTTCGTGAGCAGGAAGAGCACCACCCTGAGAGGAAAGAGGAAAATGGCCCACCAGAGAGAGCAGAAACATGTGTGATTTGGGAGGGCGATGAACCCCTTGAGGGAAGCAGGGAAGCACAGGGGATCCACATGCCAAAGAAGAAGAAGGGCATGTTCAAGGTTGATGGATGGCGCTTCAGGCAGAGGACAGACCCTATTAAACGTGAGAGAACCAACACAGTGGAGCAGCCCTACAAATGCTCTGATGGTGGGAAAAGCTTCAAGGTGATCTCTCACTGCATTTCTCGCAAAAGAAGACATGGGGAAAGGAAGCAACACAGGTGCCCGGACTGTGGGAAATCCTTCATTGCCAAAGCACACCTTAGCATTCATCAGAGAACCCACACTGGAGAGAAGCCATTCAAGTGCCTGGCCTGTGGGAAGACTTTTGCCCAGAGTTCCAACCTCAGTGTCCATCAGAGAATCCACACAGGAGTGAAGCCGTTCCAGTGCTCTGACTGTGGGAAAAACTTCTGTTCCAGCGCCAACCTTACCAAACACCAGAGCACCCATGTGAAGGGGGCCCCATATAAATGTTTAGTGTGTGGGAAGAGCTTCAAGGTGCACGCTCACTTTATCACCCACAAAAGCATCCACGCAGGAAGGAAATCGCACACATGCTCAGACTGTGGGAAGAACTTCCTTGCTGCATCACACCTCATAATTCATCGGCGAGTTCATACTGGAGAGAGACCCTATAAATGTGTGGAATGTGGGAAAGCCTTTATTCAGAAGGCTCACCTTAAGGTCCACCAACGAACGCACAAAAGAGGAAAATCGTTCCAGTGTTCTGAGTGTGGAGAAAACTTCAGTTCCAGGATCAGCCTTATCCAACATCAAATAATCCACCCTGGAGTGAGCCCCTATAAATGCTATGAATGTGGGAAAACCTTCAGGGTGAATTCCCACCTTATTGCTCACAAGAGGAACCACGCAGCCAAGAAACCCCATAAGTGTTCATACTGTGGGAAATCCTTCTTTACCAAATCGTACTTTATCATCCATCAGAGAATCCACACAGGAGAGAGACCGTTCAAATGCTTGGCCTGCGGGAAAGGTTTTAGCCAGATTTCGCACCTTAATGTTCATAAACGAACCCACATTGGGGTGAAGACATTCCAGTGCTCTGACTGTGGGAAAAGTTTCAGTTCGAGCTCAAACCTTATTAAGCATCAGAGCATCCACACAAGAGGAAACCTCTATATATGCTCTGACTGTGGGAAAAGCTTCAAAGGCCATTCCCACCTTATTGCTCACAAGAGAATCCACACAGCCAAGAAGACCCACAAGTGTTCGTACTGCGGGAAGTCCTTCTTTGGCAAATCGTACCTCATGACCCACCAGAGAATCCACACGGGAGAGAGGCCATACAAATGTTTGGCCTGTGGGAAAAGCTTCACGCAGAGCTCCCACCTTACCGCTCATCAAAGGACTCACAAAGGAAAAAAGTCATTATGTTGCTCAGACTGTGGGAAAAGCTTCAGGGTCAGCTCTCACCTTATTGCACACAAGAGGATTCATGAGGCAAAGAAAGCCCATAAGTGCTCCTACTGCAGCAAATCCTTCATTTTCAAGTCCTACCTTATCATACACGAGAGAATGCACACAGGAGAGAGACCCTACAAATGTTTGGTTTGTGGCAAAAGCTTCAGTCAGAATTCACACCTTACTGTTCATCAGAGAACTCATGTGGGGAAGAAACCATCCAGGAAAGGCTTTAGGGTGAGCTCTCAGCTTATTGCCCATAAGAGAATCCGCACAACAAAGAAGCTGAACAACAACAACAACAACAACAACAACAACAACAACGGGAATAGTACTAAGTGTTTGGATTGTGGGAAATCTTTCATATCCAAATCATATCTGATCATCCATCAGAGAATACACACAGGAGAGAGACCCTATAAGTGCACGGTCTGTGGGAAATGTTTCAGCCAGAGCTCTCATCTGACAGTCCACCAGAGAACCCACAAGGGAGAGAAGTTGTTCCCGTGTTCAGACTGTGAGGAAAAATTCAGTTCCAGGATGAAGCTTCTTAAGCATCAGAGAATCCACATGAAGGGGAATCCATTTAAATGCTTGGACTGTGGGAAATCTTTTGTCACCAAATCACAGCTTGTGGTACACCAGAGAAGCCACACTGGGGAGAGGCCGTATAAATGTTTGGACTGTGGGAAAGGGTTCAGCCAGAGCTCGAATCTCATTAGGCACCAGAGGATTCATTCGGGGGAGAACCCCTATAAATGCTCAGACTGTGGGAAAAGCTTCTGTTCAGGTGAGAACCTTATTAAGCATCAGAGAATCCACACTTAAGGAAGCAAGATCCTGAACTATGTGCCCATACACTTCGAGAAGGCCATAAAAGTATATGGACTTAAACAACAGTGGATTTTATTAGTCAGTAGGTGGTGGCGAGGAAAATATTTTTTGCAAAACACCATGCTGCAGACAGCGTTTTTGGTCGTTACTCAAAAATTTGCTGTTCACCAGTGAAGCCATGGAGGAATCAGCTGAGGTAAATGCTTTAGACAAAGGGAAGCATCCCTTGTGAGCTCAGATCTTTCCGCCGAAAAGGCGGAACTTGAATCTGCATCAGGTTTTGAACTCAGGACACATGGGATGCAAGGGTGATTCGACAGCTGCATCATCACCCTCTTCTGGCCAAAATAGGGCATTTTAAGGAAAACTGCCCGAACTTGTAAGGATGAGCAACAGTGAGCCAAGTGGTGGTGTTTCTAGACAACTTTAAAGATTCCAGGTCACCCTCAGTAAGTTGCTTTCCTTGTGACAGATTGCCTTGGCTCATCTTTTGCACCCTCCTTCATCAACCTAACAGGAGCAGAGTCAGAATCCTAGACTGGGTGGAGTAGAGTGGGGTCTTATTGAAGCTGCCTTTCAGATTATTTGTCCATCCAGCCCTTTATTTTCTGTTCTGATTGGCTGCAGCATTCCAAGATCTCGGGAGGATAAAGACTTTCCCATCGCTTACGAACAGAAGAACCTAAGAATAGCAACTTGCTACTTGAGGCCATTTTTTAAAACAAAACAAAACAATGAATTGATCCTGGAGCCATACAAAGCCAGGTTCTGCTCCTGAGCTCCGGAAAATCTTCTACAGCTACTGAAATTTTTACATACGGAACAGTGGTGCAAGAGAAAGACACTGCTTAGGTTTTAAAATATATCTGTGTCAGAAAATTCACATGGGAAAGAAGCCATAGAAACACTCAGATTCATAGCTGTCAACTTTTCCCTTTTCTTGCGAGGAATCCTATTTGGAATAAGGGAATTTCCCTTAAAAAACGGGAAATGTTTACAGCTATGCTCAGATTGCCGCTGAAACTCTTAGTTTGAGTAAACCTTGGAGTAAACCCTGGAGTCTGTGCAGGACAGAATGTTTTTATGTTGTATGAGGAACCAGACACCTCTTTAAAAGGAGAGAGAGAGAAATCCAGGCTGCTGACCAATTTAGGGCTTTTAACCTTTTTTTTTTTTACGATTTTTCATTTTTCGATATTTTATGGGTCTGTTGGCAGAGCAGACTTTCCGTTATCCCAAGGAACAACCAAGTGATCCCTCTCTGGCTGTGCAACTTGCTGCCAGGAACAAGTCCCAAGTTACTTCCTTCCAAATGATTGTGAGAACGATGTGGGGAGACCTGTTTGTGTTATGGGGGGGTGCTTGGTTTTCTGTTCCCACAGCTGATGATGGGAAATCCTGTCTTTCTCAGTCTTTCGCACCATGGCTGGCAGCCACCGTCCAATCTCCTGCACATATTTGCCCCAAGGCTAGCAGAGGTTGCCCTGCAAAGAAAAGTGGACTAACCTCACTTGCTGTGAATGTGTGCGTCCAGAATTGCTCAGCTCCCAGCCTCTGTGGTGTGCACGTTCCTTCACAGAGCACAGTGCATAGACAACAGGATGCATCAAATGCCTGTACTTGAGCCTTGGTGCGGGGGGGAACCCAAACTGTTTCTGCTTCTGCGGCAACGCCTGTTCAGGGTCTGCTGTGATTACATTTAAGGTCCAAGTTTTGCGCTTTTCAACTATGGCTGCGCTGTTCGGGGGTGTGGTGTGGGAGACGACGGCCATGCTGGGGTGTGATGTCACATAGAATCAGAGAATCGGAAGGGACTCCATGGGTCATATAGTCCAACCCCCTGCAATGCAGGAATCTCGGCGAAAGCATTCATGACAGATGGCCATCCAACCTCTGCTTAGAAAGCTCCAAGGAAGGAGAGTCTGCCACCTCTCATACATGTCTGTTCCACAGCTCTTACTGTCAGAAAGTTTTTCTGAATGCTTAGGAGGAATCTCCTTTCTTGTAACTTGAAGCCATTGGTTTTGAGTGCTCCCCTCTAGAGCAGAAGAAAACAAGCATGCTCCTTCTTCCATGTGTCAGCCCTTAAGTTATTTGAAGATGGCTATCATATCTCATCTCAGTCTCCTCTTTTCCAGGCTAAACATACCCAGCTCCTTCAAGTGATTCTCATAAGGCTTAGTTTCCAGACCCTTGATCATCTTGGTTGCCCTCCTCTGTACACATTCCAGTTTGTCAACATCCTTCTAAAATTGTGGCGCCCAGAATTGGACACAGGACTCCAGGTGTTGTCTGACCAAGGCAAAATAGAGAATATTACTTCCCTTGATCTGGACACTAGACTTCTGTTGATGCAGCCTAGAATAGCATTAGCCTTTTTTTGCTGTTGCATCACACTGTTGGCTCATGTTCAGCTTGTGGTCCACCAAGACCCCTTCAACGTTGCTCTTTCTCCCCCATATCATTTTTCAGAAAAGGGACAAATTGACACATCAGGGTGTGAGGTCATATCAGCACCGTCCAGTCAGGAGCTAGTAATCACATATGATGTCACATGAGCACTGCCAGTCAGGAGCAAACCCACCCCCTCCTCCATAGCAGAACATAATAAAAGAACAGCCTTGTTTTGTTGTTGGCGTGTCCCTTTGCGGGTAAAGTTCAAACCTTTGGAGAGTTACAGCACCTGTGGGAGAGACATGTTTTATTACCCGTTGGGCAGGGGAAAGTTAGGCTGATGTAGGTGTACCATGGCGTTTCACTGGCTACAGAATTGCTTCTTTTCAGCAAACGATGAGTTTCCAGCAGTGTTTGCAGACCTCAATGTTGCCCAGGTTGTACATTCTGCAAATGCTCCATGGGGGGCAGAAAACAAATAAATCTTTGTGTGGAAATATCTTTTTATTCCTGCCTCATTTCAAATAAACACTTTCTTACAGGATGATATTTTGCCCGGCTCAGGAAGAGGCAAAAGAGCCCAGAGCTCTTCACTTTGACCAGCTCGTTTATCTGAGCACCTTCACAAGCAGAGGCAGATTTAGGGGAGTGCGACTGGTTCGCCCGCACTGGGTGCTGAGCTGGGAGGGCGCTGCACACCCCCCCCCCAACAATGACTTATAAGGCAAGAGGCACCAAATTTTGGTATCGCCCAGGGCACTGCTCAGATTTGAAAACCAAGGTCTACCACTGACACAATCTGGGAGTGGAACACCAGGGCCAGAACATAATGGGACTCAGAAGCTCAAACATACCAGTCCAACTGCAGAACCAACATTTTCTTACAGGTCTGTCTCCCATCCAAGCAGTCGCTTTTCCAGATTTCAGCCGAAGAAGATGTCTTTCTGTCTCCCTTTTAATGTGCATTTACAGTTGACTGATTGATTGGAAATGATTCATTTGCTATTTGCATTTTTACCTATCTGTGGAATTATTTTCTCTCTCTCCAACCTCCTCCCTGCCACAGCTGTTACCCATTTCCTACCACAGGACGGGTAGTTTGAACTTGATTTTTGAAGACATCCACCTCAATGGCTTACTTTACATTTCCAGAAGGAAAATAAAAAATGAGTTGGTTATCTTCATTTTTAAGAACACACAAGGGGTGCCAAGATTACTACCTTTGTGGACATGAGTCTATTCCCCATTTCTATTTGGTTTTGAAAAAATACCAATTGCTGTGGTTCCCAAACTTTCTGCGCCATATGGACCGCTTGAAAATTGAGAGTGCTGGTGGGCCACTTAATGATTTTGCTGCCTGTTGTAGCAATTGTAACGCACTGTGCTGGATGCTGTGTAATTTCAAAAGGGCATTTCCATTGCTGCTTGGATTTGTTAAATTGTGCGTCTGTTTGCGTCCAATAACATTCAAATGGTAATGCAATAAATTACAATGTGGCAAATAAAAGAAGCAATAGAAATTCATTTAAAAGTCACTATGAAATTAAATGTGGGCATGCCTGAATGAAGCCTGCGGACTACATTTTGGGAACTGCTGATTTATTGAGGTCCTTTGCAGAATAGACCCACTGGACCACAGTTAAGTCATGTTTCTTAATTTCAGTGTCTCCACTCTGAGGTGTCATCAAAACGATAAAGCAGTATCATGCCACTCCCAAAATCCTGGGAGCTGTTAAGGGTGGTGAGAGTTGCTTAGGGTTGCCATATGTCCAGAATCTCCCAAACATCCAGAATACTACAGCTGGAAGCAGTGGAAATTGCCCCCCCCCCAAAAAAAGTGCAGGAAAATCCAGACTTATGGCAACCCATGTTGGCAGTGTTGTTTTTGTCAGAAATAGCTCAAAAACTTCGTTTTTTCATTTTTCAGCTTTCGGTGAATTTGTTAAAAAAAAAAAAGGTCAACAACCTCAACAACTTTTCTGTCCGGATTTTCACTGTTTGAAATATGGCAACCTTAAGAGTTGTTTAGAGACCCTTATTCCCCTCACGGAGCTCTATTTCTCAGAGCGGTCTAACAGGCCGTCTGTCTTCCTAGGGGGCTCTGGGAATGACAAGCGTTGTGGAGGGGGTGAATAAAAAACTGTCCTCCTGTCAGAGAAATATCATGTCTCTTGAGCCCATAAGTTATTCCACCTTCTCCTTTAGCAGAGTTTGTCTTTTCATCCAGTGAGGTGGACTCACTGGATATATATGAAACAAAGCTTTCATAGTAGAGAAACGTAGCGTAGTAACATGCTGACTGAGGGAAACGAAGCACCTTGAGGTAAGTGACAGTTGAACTTTTTTTTAAACTGACAGCCTGAAGGGAGGGGCTGTTCTAGAGTACAGCATGAAAGCCCCGCCCACTAGAGGCCAGGTATTCTGCTAATCAAATTAGGCTTCAGTGTTTTTCTTACAGAGAGCTCTTGTGAGGGGAATAGGAGGCCTCCTAACAACTCTTTAAAAAAATTATTAAATTTTCAGTTTTACATCTTAAAATAAGCATTTTACATACTGTTAGATATCCCACGACTTCCATCCTTCTCTTTCCTCCATTTTATTTATCTTTCATTCCTGCATATTTTGCTGTCGCCGTTTTAGTCTGTTCTCCACTTTTCCGTCGCTCAAACATTCATTACACTGTTGATTTTATCTTAAGGCTGCCAGCATTTTCAGCTGTGTACAGTTATTTTCCATATCCTCAATAAATATTTTCCATATTTGTTCTTCTTGCTCTCTTATTCTATATGTTAAACCTGCAAGCTCTGCATATTCTACCACCTTACGTTGATAGTCTTCTTTGCCTGGGACCTCCCTCACTTGTCATTTTGGGGCTAACCAAACTCTTGCTGCCGTTGTTGCATACATAAATAAATTTTGTTGACACTAAGGGACTTCAGTCAAAATTTTTCCCTACAAAAAGGACTCCAGTCTTTTGGGAAAAGTTACTTTAAACATATGGGACGCAGGTGGCACTTTGGGTTAAACCACAGAGCCTAGGACCTGCCGATCAGAAGGTCGGCGGTTCGAATCCCCATGACGGGTTGAGCTCCCGTTGCTCGGTCCCTGCTCCTGCCAACGTAGCAGTTCGAAAGCACACCAAAAGTGCAAGTAGATAAATAGGAAGGCAAACGGCAGGAAGGTAAGTGGCGTTTCCGTGTGCTGCTCTGGTTCTCCAGAAGCGGCTTAGTCATGCTGGCCACATGACCCGGAAGCTGTACACCGGCTCCCTCCGCCAATAAAGCGAGATGAGCGTTGCAACCCCAGAGTCGGTCATGACTGGACCTAATGGTCAGGGGTCCCTTTACCTTTACTTAAACATATTTTTTTCCAACTCCTCATCTTTTACCTTTTTACATGTCTACTACATGTGAAAAAACGTTCCCTTCATTTCTTTACATTTCTGACACGTATCCAATTCTGCTTCCTAACAGCTCTCGCCACCCTTACAAACTACAGCTCCCAGGATTCTTTGGGGGAAGAAGCCAAAGCCCACACAGAGGCCTGTAAATATGTAGGGTGACCCCAGCCAGCATGGCCAATGGTCAGGAATGATGGGAGATGGAGTCCAGCATCACAGAATTGTAGAGATGGAAGGGTCATCCAGTCTAACCCCTTGCAATGCAGGAATTTGCAGCTGTTTCGTACGGGGATCGAACCTGCAACCTTGGCATCATCAGCACCACACACTAACCAATGGAGGTATCTGGAGGGCATCTGGTTCCCCTCCCCTCCTGTAGGTAGGCTATCCTTGGGGAAAGTTGGCGCTGTTCCATTTATATTTTAGTCCAGTATATCACAGATTGCTTTTATTGTAAGACCTTGATATCTCTGAAATGATACCTGTACATTCAGTCAGCAGATTAGTTGCACCATTCTGAACAGCCTCGGCTGGTATCTTGTGGGAGGCAGCAGGTACAAGTTACTAGTCCCTGCAGCCACAGCAGGCGCTGTGATTCTGTCATGAATTCTACTCAATATTGATCCAGAGCAGAACTCAACGTATAGTTAGAGTAAAAACTTAAACACGTTGCAAGATCCCCCCCCCCCAAAAAAAAAACAGGCCAGAGGCAATTGTTGGATATGGAACAACTGATTGGTTCAAAATTGGGAAAGGAGTATGGCAAGGCTGTATATTGTCTCCCTGCTTATTTAACTTATATGCAGAATTCATCATGCGAAAGGCTGGGCTGGATGAATCCCAAGCCGGAATTAAGATTGCTGGAAGACATATCAACAACCTCAGATATGCAGATGACACAACCTTGATGGCAGAAAGTGAAGAGGAATTAAAGAACCTTTTAATGAGGGTGAAAGAGGAGAGCGCAAAATATGGTCTGAAGCTCAACATCAAAAACGAAGATCATGGCCACTGGGCCCATCACCTCCTGGCAAATAGAAGGGGAAGAAATGGAGGCAGTGAGAGATTTTACTTTCTTAGGCTCCATGATCACTGCAGATGGTGACAGCAGTCACGAAATTAAAAGACGCCTGCTCCTTGGGAGAAAGGCGATGGCAAACCTAGACAACATCTTAAAAAGCAGAGACATCACCTTGCCAACAAAGGTCCGTATAGTAAAAGCCATGGTTTTCCCAGTAGTGATGTATGGAAGTGAGAGCTGGACCATAAAGAAGGCTGATCGCCGAAGAATTGATGCTTTTGAATTATGGTGCTGGAGGAGACTCTTGAGAGTCCCATGGACTGCAAGAAGATCAAACCTCTCCATTCTGAAGGAAATCAGCCCTGAGTGCTCACTGGAAGGACAGATCCTGAAGCTGAGGCTCCAATACTTTGGCCACCTCATGAGAAGAGAAGACTCCCTGGAAAAGACCCTGATGTTGGGAAAGATGGAGGGCACAAGGAGAAGGGGACGACAGAGAATGAGATGGTTGGATGGTGTTCTTGAAGCTACCAGCATGAGTTTGATCAAACTGTGGGAGGCAGTGGAGGACAGAAGTGCCTGGCGTGCTCTGGTCCATGGGGTCACGAAGAGTCGGACACGACTAAACGACTAAACAACAACAAGAGGCAATTGTGTTTCATCCAGCAGAGCTTTACTGCTACAGAAGGCAAATGAGCATAATGGTCACAAATCCAATACATTCAGGATTGGCACTGTCTACAGACTTAACTTAAACTTACAATAACTTAAAATAAGACTAAAACCTTAACACTATCTATGTACCAAACACCACACCAGGAGGGAAAGAGATAGAAAGAGAAAGCGTGAGACCCAGGCTCTTCTGACCTTATTATTATAGTCAGCATGACCTTGACAAAAAGAGATAACAGGAGCAATTTAAGCCAGCTGTACTCAGCTTCTCTGAAGGAATAGCCTTCTGCTTGTTTCTTTCACGCAGAGAAGTCTCCAGAACCCTTTTGAACTAATTACAATAGGAAAGATCGCTACACATCAGATCAATACTTTCTGTACTAAGAAATGCAAAGTGACAGATTCTCCAGCGGTTTGACTTCACCTCCGGAGGCACACTCCATTGTCTCCCTTGGATGTACATACCACTTGCAGCAGCTTCCCCCAAATGATTCTGGGAGTTGTAGTTTTTTAAAGGTGCTGAGAGTTGCTGAGATGACCCCTGTTTTCCCCACAGAGGTACAATTTGCAGAGAGAACCCTGGGAAAGGGATACAGCCTAGGACCCACATATCTATGGGACTGCCTCTCCTGGTATGCCCCACGGAGGACCTTAAGGTCCACAAATGACAACACCTTGGAGGTCCCAAGTCACAAGGTGGTTAGATTGGTCTCAACTAGGGCCAGGGCCTTTTCAGTACTGGCCCCGACTTGGTGGAACGCTCTGTCACAAGAGACTAGGGCCCTGCGGAACTTGACATCTTTCCGCAGGGCCTGCAAGATGGAGCTGTTCCACCTGGCCTTTGGTTTGGTCTGTCCTTTATGTTTCCCTCCCCTTATGGTTTTGATCTATGGGCTACTATTAAAATGAGGCTGCATTTTAAATTATATTTTAACCTGTATTTTAAATTGGTTTTAAAAAAATTATTATTGTAATTTTACTGCTGTTAGCCGCCCTAAGCCCGGGGAGGGCGTGGTATAAATAAAAAATTATTATTATTATTATTATTATTATTATTATTATTATTATTATTATTAAACCACTCTGGGAACTGTCAGCTCCGTGAGGGGAATGAGAGCCTCTGAACAACTTTTAACACCCTTATAGTTCTTGGGATGCTTTTGGTGAAGGTGGTGGACTCTCTTTCCTTGGAGGTTTTTAAGCAGAGTTTGTAATGGCCATCTGCCAGGAACTCTTTAGCTGCGGTTCCTGCATTGCAGGGGGTCAGACTAGATGACCCCCAGGGTCCCCTTCTGACTCCACCATTGTATGATTCTAAGCCATACTCTCTGCAGAACTTCAGGCGCATGACAAAGACCTCCTTTCTTCCACAGACATGTTTCGTTAGATTTTATGGTGAATTTTTATCATTCCCCTTTTTGCAATTTTATTAGAGACATCGATGATTAAGTGGAATAGAGAATAAAGGAATAAATAAATACAATTGTTCATTGCTCATTTCATTTAAAATGAATAATAAATATGTGCCGATAGTGAATGCAATGGGCGTAGCCAGGATTTATTTGGGGGGCAGGCTTTATGTTAAGGGGGGCAGAACCAAGTTATCTGCAACACAATTGGTCAGTTAGTTAAGTATTTTTATTTATTTACTGGATTTGTGGGTGAGCAGTTGCCCCCTGGCTAGGCCTATGCTGTACACTTGTCTTGTGCCTGATTTTTGCCAGCCATGCCCTTCCTCCAGGATACTCCATTGCATTTCCCTACCAATGGTCCAAATTCTGCAGACACTGAGCATGCTCAGCCATTTTCACAGATACACACCCCTTAAGATTCTCCCTCACCCACCCAGCTATTTTTATTTTTTCTGCAAACTTTGGTCTCCGCCCAAGCCTGCTGAGATCTGCCTCTTTTTCCAGGAAGTTGTCCTATTGACTGCATTAAACATTCACATCCAGAGAATGGGTTTAATATTAGCATGAGAGCAGGGGAGGGGAAGCTGCGGCCTTCCAGATGTTACAGCCCCCATCTCATGAGTGATCAAGGTGTTATTGCGCTATAAATGCATAGTGCGGGTGGGGCCTCTCCTAAAGCTCTTATTTATTCCCTGCACCGTTTTGTGCCAGAGGGGCGCTGTAGGGTTAAACCGAGCGAGCTCCTCCGCTTGCCTAGAAAGCCTGAGAAACCGCAACCCCCAGTTTTGTGCAGCTGGCGAAGCATGAAAGCGGCTTCCTGGTGGGGGCGGGGGAGGAAATGGCCTGTTTGAATCCTTGCAAGCAGCACCAGGAGCGATAATCGATAATCTCGCAGCGGCTGCATGTGCAGCAGGAGGAAGCCGAGCCCTTGCTCCCCATAGGAAGGGGGCCAGATCCCCGAAGAGGTGAGCTCTCAAGTGGGTTGCATGCAGCTTCCATTTACAGTGGTACCTCGGGTTGCAGACGCTCCAGGTGACAGACTCCGCTAACCCCGCAGTAGTACCTCGGGTTAAGAACTTTGCTTCAGGGTAAGAACAGAAATCCTGCAGAGGCAGCGGGAGGCCCCATTAGCTAAAGTGGTGCTTCAGGTTAAGAACAGTTTCAGGTTAAGAACGGACCTCCGGAACGAATTAAGTTCTTAACCCGAGGTACCACTGTATTACGATGGAGGAGTAGGGGGGCAGAGTGGTATTCATTGCAATTGCAAAAAAAGAGAGGAAGGAATTTAATGAATGCTTGTAGGCGCAAGCGAGGTTAAGAGCAGCTGGTGTCAGCCAGCAGTGACGTCCCCTCCCTCTTTCCACCCAGGCCAGAGCAAAATGCTCACACAAAACCCTTCCCATGTCAGTGAATCCGTAACATTACACACACACACACTGTGGTACCTCAGGTTACAGACGCTTCAGGTTACATACGCTTCAGGTTACAGACTCTGCTAACCCAGAAATAGTACCTCGGGTTAAGAACTTTGCTTCAGGATGAGAACAGAAATCGTGTGACAGCGGCAGCAGGAGGCCCCATTAGCTAAAGTGGTGCTTCAGGTTAAGAACAGTTTCAGGTTAAGAACAGACCTCCAGAACCAATTAAGTTTTTAACCCGAGGTACCACTGTATATATATTTAACTGCAGTTGTGTTGCGTTTCATCGTGAACTGCAAAAGAACATGCTGTATAAGGAACATGCGCCAAATCCGGCTTTTATTGGGCGTATCGTTTCAAAGTGTGTGCACGTGTGTGTGTGTGTGTGTGAGCACTCCATACCCTCCAACATTTCTGCGATGAAAATTGGGATGTCCTAAGGAAAAGCGGGATATTCCAGGATCAAATCAGCAAGCGGGGCGGCTTCTGTAAATCCAGGACCGTCCCTGGAAAATAGGGGCAGTTTGGAGGGTCTGGAACTTCCCCTGCAAAACTAAAACGCCGACAAAAACCAGACCCATATACTTGTTCCCAGGCCGTCCTTCTAGGTCGTGGGTTCTGCCAAGTTCAGTGTCAGTCTGGTTTGTCTCTACCATTAAGTAGACAGTTTTCTGCCCTGCGAGTCACTAGCCCATGGCCCTTTCCTGCCCTGCTCACTTTCTATGGAGATAAGGTAATTTCATAGCCAGGACTATAGTTAACTTGGATGCTAAACATGGGCGTAGGCAGGAAAGCAGCCCCCGCAATCAAGTAAATAAATAAAAATACTTGAAGTATAAATTGTGGAAAGATTTTGACAGGTTTTTCTGAGCACTTGTGGTCAGAAGAAAGTAATTAAAAAAAAAAAGTTGTCCAGACACTTCATTCCGAATCTGATAGTCAGAGCCAGACGGGTAGAGAATGGTGACAGGTGGGTGTCCTGCCCCCCCCCCCAAAAAAACATAAATTCTGGCTATGCCCATGATGCCAAACAAAAGCTGTGTGTTTATTTTGAGACGGGGTGTGTTTGGGATCTAGAAATGTTCTAAGCGACGGGGGTGTTCGTTTTATCGATTCCAGTCATGGTAGGTATGCCTGTCTCCTGTAGCAAAAGACAGACAGACAGACTAACTGATGAAACCTTAATGACCGAACACATTAATTGTGGTTTAAGTTTTTGTCTGCTACTACAGTCCACTTGGGACGCGGGTGGTGCTGTGATCTAAACCACAGATTCCATGACATCTCAAGGGACGCAGATGGCGCTGTGGGTTAAACCACATAGCCTAGGGCTTGCCGATCAGGAGGTTGGCGGTTCGAATCCCTGCGACGGGGTGAGCTCCCGTTGTTCAGTCCCAGCTCCTGCCCACCTAGCTGTTCGAAAGCACGTCAAAGTGCAAGTAGATAAATAGGTACCGCTCTGGCGGGAAGGTAAACGGCGTTTCCGTTCGCTGCTCTGGTTCACCAGAAGCAGCTTAGTCATGCTGGCCACATGACCCGGAAGCTGTACCCGGAAGCTCCCTCGGCCAGTAAAGCGAGATGAGCACCGCAACCCCAGAGTCGGCCACGACTGGACCTAATGGTCAGGGGTCTCTTTACCTTTACAGTCCCTTTCATCAGATGCATTAAGTGTTATGAATGACAGGTGCCGTGGAGTCTATATCTGTGTGTATGTGTGTGTGTGTGTGTGTATCTATATATCCATGGATAGCCTTATCCTCCATGAATTTATCTAATCCTCTTTTAAAGCCATGCTGAGTTGCCTCCTATGGGCCCTTCTTTCCCCTGACTACCTATAGCACAATGAGTGTATGTATGTGCATTTCATATAACTTATGCCAATGTCGGAATTCAAGTGTTTTGCAGTGGGAAATTTGAGTTGCTTGGATGCAGATTGTTAATATTTTTCATAGAATTGTAGAGTTAGAAGGGACCCTGAGGGTCATCTAGTCTAACCCCCTGCAATGCAGGAATATGCAGCTGTCCCATATGGGTATCGAACCTGCAGCCTTGGTGTTATCAGGACTACGTTCTACCCAACTGAGCTATCCAGGCTACTAATGGCACATACGTAAGAGTAGGGATGAAGAGAAATTAAATTCAATTTCTTTCAGTATCTCACTTTCTAGTATTTAGTTCTGTTCTCCACACTTCCACATCAGCTTGCAATTTATATTTTCAAGTCCTGGTGAAAATCAATTCACATTTTACTGCTAGTTACTCCTAATATGCACAGTTTTGTATGCAGTTTCTTCTAATACAATTCTGTTTTGTTTTCACTAATATACACATTTCAACGCTCACTTCACTCTATCCATTTTTGTTCACATTACATGGCTGAAGGACTGCATTGCAAAAATTGGAGAAGCGTAAATTTCAAAGGATGGCTCTTTCGTTTTGCGTGTTTTTTTCCAGAAAATGCCAATTGCGTAAGATCGCCTTCAAATGCAAACTGAATCAAATTTCTCTACCAATCCCACTGAAGAGCCTTGGCTGCATTGCTTACAGGAAGACAGTGCAAAAGAATAAACTTCCTGCATTTCATGGACTGGTTAAGATATTACAAAATCCAGGAAACAGGACAGGACACTGAACCCGGTGTCATTAATTTGTCTTAGCCACAAGAAAGTATGTGTGTGTGTGTTTAGTTTTAAAAGCATCAAGCTTCAAACAAGTTCTCTTTGGCTCCCTTTTTGGATTTGATTAATCACGAAAATAATGCCTACGTTACTGTGATTGACAAAACAGAGTATTTTTAATTTACATGGCAAAAAGTTTCACATTTCTCCTCCGTCAGCTACCCTGCTAAAAATAATAATATTCTGTTTCCATCATTCCACCATGTGGTTATAGAGCTTTGAGCAGAAACTAGCCTACTGAACAAAAGTAAAATGTGCATATAAGGCCCTAAAAATGAAAGAAATTTCCCACCCCAGACGTGGGAATATCAGTTTAGCAGGTTAATTTTGGGGGTCTCTCTCTCTCTCTCTCTCTCTCTCTCTCTCTCTCTCTCTCCAGCCTTCTGTTTTCTGTATGTCTTCCCTGCAGAAGCAAAACCTTGTGTGTGATGCTGACATCTGTATGTCTAAACCCCCTAAATAATTTGTAGCACGATCGGGAAAAGGAAAAAAAGGACCCTGGGAGATCAGTTTGAGGAACCGGCACCGTTTGCCCAATGCTCGCAGCAAGAGAGGGAGGTCTGTGAGCAACACCCGGTGCAGGCCGACGTTGGCACAAAGCTGGAAAGGACAAAATGGCCGCCGAGCGGGCAGCGGCAGCCAACCTCCAGATGGCGGGAGACCAAGTGCTGCAGATAAAAATGGAAGAGGAGGATGAGGAAGAGGAAGATGGACCGGCGAAAGGGCCTTGCGTCATCCGGGCCGGGAGCCTGAGGGACATTTTGGGATGGCCAGGGCCGGAGCAGGTCAAGCAGGAGCTGGACGAAGAGGTGCCTCCGTGCTGGGAAGCCCATGGCCAGGAGCACCTGAGACTCATCCAGGCGCCTCATTCGAGATGGGGACCCCCTCAGCAGCCGGAGGAGCTCATCCTGAGGCAACGAGGAGCAGGGAGACGGGAGCAGCAGGTAAAAAGCAGGGAGCCAGGGATCAAACCAAAGTGCTTGCCCACCTGTGAGCAGGTCGGCTGCTTCTGCTGATTTACAGAGCCCTGGGAGACCTATTGTGGTTCCTGAGGTTTGGTTGCCCTTTACTATGTAGTATGACAGGCTGTGGCCTGTGGAACTCCCTGCTGGTAGATGCATAGCTGTCAACTTTTCCCTTTTCTTGCGAGGAATCCTATTCGGAATAAGGGAATTTCCCTTAAAAAAAGGGAAACGTTGACACTATGGGTATATGCACAGCAGGAATCGTTCCTGCTTTTAGACGTTGCCTGTGTCGTTCAAACAAGCCTTTGCAATGTCTTTTTTTTAATAATAATTTTTATTAGTTTTCAGTTATAATCCAATAATAGCCTCATTATAACAATACCAAATTATAAGTCCTACCTTGGTTTTATTAGTTTTCAGTTATAATCCATTAATAGCCTCATTATAACAATACCAAATTGTAAGTCGTACCTTGGTTTTCAAAGAGCTTAGTTCTCAAACGTTTTATTTCCCAAACGCCGCAAACCCAGAAGTGACTGTTCCGGTTTGTGAACTATTTTTGGAAGCCGAACGTCCGACGGGGCTTCCACGGCTTCTGATTTTCTGCAGGGACTTCCTGCAGCCAATCAGAAGCCGTGCTTTGGCTTCTGAACGTTTTGGAAGTTGAACGGACTTCCGGAATGGATTCCGTTTGACTTCCAAGGTATGACTGTACTAATACCAATTGTTCAAATACCAAGTTACATAATTTAGGTCCCCACCCACCCACATTCTAGAATTGATGGATTGATGATTTTCTTCATTTCTGCGTTCCAAAATCTTACTAATTTCAATTACATTTCGGTCAAAATAATAATCCCTTATACAACAACTGCAATATTAATAACTTCTATTTGTGTTGACACATTAAATTATTTATAGAACTACAATTGAGGCACTCAAACTATATCCTTGTTCCTCCTGCGTGTGGCAATTATTCCGTCTGTGGTGTTTCTTCCTGTCCTTGCAAGATGTTATGTCTATCTTTTCCCAGTTGTTGCTGTTCTCCATCATGCCTTGGACGGAGCTGATATCCCATTGTTTCTCCATAGGCCTTTGCAATGTCAATTTCTTTTTACTCACCAGCATTCATAGATGTTTTTACTGTTGTATTTATTGAATTTCTTAAATTTAATATACAGTGGTACCTTGGAAGTCGAACGGAATCCGTTCCAAAAGTCCGTTTGACTTCCAAAACAATTGGAAACCAAAGCGCGGCTTCCGAATGGCTGCAGGAAGCTCCTGCAGCCAATCGGAAGCCCTGTCAGACATTCGGGTTCCAAAGAACGTTTGCAAACCAGAACACTCACTTCTGGGTTTGCGGCGTTCAGGAACCAAAACGTCTGGGGTTCCTCACCCACTGTAGTAGATAAATGAACACGTAGCATGCGTGAACCAACAGCCCTCTGCCTTTGTTCCCAGGTGCCGGTCCTTTTTGACGAGATGGACGTCCATTCCCCGGAGGCCGACCACACCTTGCTGGACAGACGGCGGTATCTCCGCAGGGAGGCCAAGCAGAGGCTGGAGAGGGAAGCCAGCTCACTCGGTAAAGGCTCATTCTGCCCCCGAGACACCAGCCGGGGGCATGCGTGTATTCTGCGTGCTGAATGTTGCGTCCTGAAAACCTCTGTCGGTCACCACCATTACTGCTTTGCCTGATTGCAGCTTTTGGCGGGGTGTGTGTGTGGTGCCACATCTATATGCAGGGCAGGGAAACAGGACCACCGGCAGACGAGGGAGCAGTTTTTGCATCTTTGCAGGGGGCGGGTGGAGAACTGCGTGCAGCTTTGTAGTTGCGGTACATGTGGATATTTCTGAGCTGAAGAAAACACAGAGCGCTGCCTTGTACCAGATCTGACCAGGGACCTACCTACCCGAGCTCTCTCTTAGGGCCACATGACAGGGGGGCGCCGGGCAGGGGCAAAAGTGGGTGAAGAAACAGATGTAACTCTTAACTTTTGTAATGTAGACTTACATTCCAGCAAGAAACACCCCCTAAAAGAGATTTCCCTTTCTCTACACACACCGTTCTCTCCATCCGGTCAAGCAAAAAGGAGTGATTTCACTCTCAGGCAACATTTGATCCATGCAGAATGACTCCTAAGAGGGCCAGAGCAAGACCCCTGAGGGCATGGTCTGGGAAGAAGGGGTGTGCCTTAGGGAGGCTCCTGAGGGCCAGGTCAATATGTCTGCAGGGCCACTTTTGGACTCTGGGCTTGAGCCTCCTCAACTTTGCCTTAGATCAAGGCAGTCCAACATGTGGCCCTTGAGGCCTCATTTGGCGGCCCTCGGCAACATTTGAAGCCCTCAAGCTACCTTGCCAAAGGCAGGTAGGGGAAGCCCGGGGCTTGGGAAGGAGGTGTGAGGGCTCTGACAGGGTCCTAGAGTCCTCTTGCCTCCCTCCCAAAGCCTAGCTAGCGCTTTTTCAGTTTATCCGGCTTTGTGAATGCAGCATGAGGGCTGTGGTGCGGGGCTCAAATTTTGGCCTCGGTTCCCTGCCAACATGAGCGACAAGGTAGTTCCGTGTCAAGGTACTCTTGCAGCCCGCTTGGTATAGAAAATTGGACCTCCCTCTGCCTTAAAGGTAAAGGTAAAGGGACCCCTGACCATTAGGTCCAGTCGTGACACTCTGGGGTTGCAGCGCTCATCTCGCTTTACTGGCCGAGGGAGCTGGCATACAGCTTCCGGGTCATGTGGCCAGCATGACTAAGCCGCATCTGGTGAATCAGAGCAGCGCACAGAAACGCTGTTTACCTTTCCGCAGGAACAGTACCTATTTATCTACTTACACTTTGACGTGCTTTTGAACTGCTAGGTGGGCAGGAGCAGGGACTGAGCAACGGGAGCTCACCCCGTCGCAGGGATTTGAACCGCCAACCTTCTGGTTGGCAAGTCCTAGGCTCTGTGGTTTAACCCACAGCACCACCCGCGTCCCCCCCTCTGCCTTAGTTGAACTAAAAAGAGAGTGCTGAGGTTCACCCTCTCCCACTTCCCTGTTGGCAACAGCTGGCTCTGCCCTGCCGATGCCACATTTCCCGAAGATGAGCCGCCGTGGCACCAACTGGTCGTACGCCGAGGTGATTGATCTCCTGGATATCTGGGGGGAGCAGAGGATCCAGCAGGTCCTTCAGAGCAGCCACCGGAACATGGACACCTTCCAGGTCATTGCCAACGAGATGGCCAAGAGGGGCCACGAGCGGACAGCGCAGGAGTGCCGCACCAAGACCAAGACGATGCGCCGGGACTACAAGAAGGTCAAAGAGAACAACTGCTCGGGGACAAGGCGCCTCACCTGCCCCTTTTACGACCAGCTGGAGCAGATTCTGGATTCCGGAGCGCCACAACCCGCAGGGCAGTCCCAGAGTTACGGACACCAGGAGGAATCGGGGGGAGATGATGGTCCCCTGCGTGGCCTGGAGGAGGGGGGCCCCCACGAGTCTGAGGACTACCACGAGCCCCAGGACTTCTTCGACCCCTCTGCCCAGTTCTCCATCGAACTCGTCGATTCGGTGGATTCCACCACCGTGGTGTGCAAAACAGAGGACGACTCTGAGGAGCCGATAAGCACCCCTCGGCTGGCCACGGGTAAGTGCCCCCATTTTTTGTGGTTATTTATCAAGACGAGAGGTCAGGTTTCACTTCCCTTCTGTCCCCTCCTCCCTCCCTCTCTCTTTACAAAGAGGAATAATTGGGTGTGCAATGTGGTGACACGATAGAAGTATGTGGATAGAGAGAAGTTTTTCTCCCTCTCTCATCACACGGGAACCCAGAGGGAAACATCCAGTGAAGCAGAATGCTTGGGGTGCTCAGGAGAAACAGAAGAAAGTCCTTCTTTAAATAACAATGATAATAATATATTATTTTTATACCCCGCCCATCTGGCTGGGTTTCCCTAGCCACTCTGGGCTGCTCCCAACAGAATATTAAAAACACAACAAAACATCAAACATTAAGAACTTCCCTAAACAGGGCTGCCTTCAGATGTCTTCTAAAAGTCAGATCGTTTTTTATTTCCTTGACATCTGATGGGAGGGCGTTCCACAGGGTGGCTGCCACTACCGAGAAGGCCCTCTGCTTGGTTGCATGTAACCTCACATCTTGCAGGGAGGGAATTGCCAGAAAACCCTCGGAACCGGACCTCAGTGTCCGGTCTGAACGATGGGGTGGAGACGCTCCTTCAGGTATACTGGGCCAAGGCTGTTTAGGGCTTTAAAGGTCAGCAACAACACTTTGAATTGTGCTCGGAAACGTATTGGGAGCCAATGTAGGTCTTTCAGGACCGGTGTTATGTGGTCTCGGCAGCTGCTCCCAGTCACCAGTCTAGCTGCCGCATTCTGGATTAGTTGTAGTTTCCGGGTCACCTTCAAAGGTAGCCCAACATAGAGCGCATTGCAGTAGTCCAAGCAGGAGATAACCAGAGCATGCACCACTCTGGCGAGACAGTCTGCGGGCAGATAGCGTCTCAGCCTGCAAACCAGATGGAGCTGGTAAACAGCTGCCCTGGACATAGAATTAACCTGTGCCTCCATGGACAGCTGTGAGTCCAAAATGACTCCCAGGCTGCTCACCTGGTCCTTCAGGGGCAGTTTCCCCGCTTAGGACCAGGGAGTCCCCCACACCTGCCCGTCCCCTGTCCCCTAAAAACAGTACCCCTGCCGTGTCAGGATTCAGCCTCAATCTGTTAGCCGCCATCCACCCTCCAACTGCCTCCAGACAATCACACGGGACATTCACGGCCTTCACTGGTTCTGATTTAAAAGAGAGGTAGAGCTGGGTATCATCCCTCTTTACAGTTAAACTGTGGAATTTGCTCCCACGAGAGGCAGCAATGGCCGCCATCTTGGATGGCTTTAAGAGACAAACTCATGAAGGAGAATAAGGCTGGCTGCTACCCCTGATGGTTGTGTTCTGCCACCACTGTCGGAGGCAGTGCGTCTCTAAATACCAGTTGCCAGAAACTGCAGAAGGGGAGAGAGTGCACTGCTGCAAACAGGTACTTCTTCTGGACTCCCCATCTTGTCAGCCATGTTAAGAGAAGGATGCTGAACTGGGTGGGCCATTGACTCTTCTTATATCCTTATCTCTGAAGTCTTCTTTGTGGTTTCGTTCTGGCCTTCTGCTTTAGTTTTAGCTTATGAGCCAGTTTCCCAGTTTGTACTTTCCTCCTCCTGTGGGAAACCCAGCCTTGAGCTAATTTGAGAGGACGCAGAATTTTCAGGTCGATAAGATCAGCAAATCCTCTAGCTCTTCCTCCTGCTGTTTGGCCCAGCGCTCCATGCATGACCTGGTTAGCCCAGCGTTGCCGTCATCTAAATCCTGTGTTTGGCATATTAAAATTAAATCCAGCCATTCTGCAGCTGCTTGTCTCGGGGAATTATCTCTCCCCCACCCCAGCAGTTGCTCACCGCTGTTTTAAGCCACCTAAGTTTAGCGGCTGTCATGGGCTGGCCGGACGCAGAGGAACGGTAGGCAGAACCAGCTGGGGAACCCACAGGGGAAGAAGGTTCAGAGCCCAGGGAGTGGTGGTGGGATGACAATGAGGGAGAAGAGGGAGAAGACTGTGTTGGAAGCCAAAGAGGTAACAGGGCTTAGTGAGCGGGGACAGTCTGTGGCAGAGAGAAGTCTAGACTCAAGCAGAAGTTGAAGCAGGAGAGGAGGAAGGCCAAGAGGCAGAGATGGGTCAGGTGTCTCCCCCTCCTGCTGCAAGAAGCTCCCCTCTGATTCCCAGAACCAGGAGAGACATGAAAAGGGCGGAGGGAGAAGTAAGCTTCACGCAGGCTTGCTTGATTCTCAGATTTGTCAGATTTGCTTGATTTCTCAGATTGCTTAGGTAAAACCCTGGAGAGGAGGGGAGGCAGGGACCTTCAATCTCAGCAACTGCTTCATGGGCCAACACCTGCCGGAGATGAGTTGCTGTACTCATTAGGCCTGACACTCCTGTTTTTGCTAATCAAGAATTAATTCCATCTTGTTTGGTGTGATTTACTGCTGTCCGTGGCCTTTGCTAAGGCTATCAGCAGCCTCAGCATTGCCTCAAAGCAACTCATGCAGTTAAAAAAAAGAAATAGCGAAAGCATTATAATCAGACATAAAAACGGCAGTAAACAAGAGCTAAAATTGTCATCTGACAAAATGCTTAAAAGGACTAAGTCCTACCCATGCTGCTTAAAGGATGAGCGGAACAAAGGCCACTGACATATCTGATGGGGGAAATAAGAATGCCTTTGCCTGTTGACTGAAAACAGACAGCAGTGGTGCCAGGTGAGCTTCCGTGGGGAGAGCATTCCACAAACGAGGAGCCACCACTGAAAAGGCCGTTCCCATGTCAACACGTTCCACACATCCCTCAGTGGCAGGGGAACACACAGAGCCTCTGATGGTGAACGCAAGGTCTGAGTTGGTTCGGGTGGAAAGAGGCGGTATATTGCGATGCAAAATTATATTCAATGCCCTTCCCTTTGTTTTTTAGAAGCCGATCATTTGCTCAGCCCCTTGCCACCTGCCCCGCCCAGTCTCCCTGGCAGCCCAGCCACCACTGGCTCCACAGCAGGTAAGAGGGAATGCGGAATGAATTTCGTATGCCGAATGGTGATGTTTAATGAATGAATTCAGAGTGCTGAATGAATTCTGCAGAGCCACAGGGAGTTGGATGGGACCTTAGAGGTCGCCTGGTCTTTTCCAGGAAGTTGGCATGTTGACTACTTTAAAAATCCACATCCAGAGAGTGGGTTTAATATTAGCAGGGTCGGGGAAGCTGTGGCCTTCCAGATGTTCCTGGACTACAACTCCCATCATCCCCGGCCTCTGAGGGTGGTGAGAGTTGGCGCAACATCTGGGAGGGCCACAGGCTCCCCATCCCAGCTCCTTCAAGCGATGCTCATAAGCTTGACCGTCCCCTTCCCAGAATCCCTTGCAGCCTTTCAAAATGCCCTCACTCTGCTTTTGTGTTTCTCCCCCTCCCCGCTTCCCAAATTGCTCCCAGACGTGCACCCGACCCCTTGCCACAGCCCCTTGCCTGGGCCGACGGGCCTCTCAGCTGCCGAACGCCTCGCCAACATCCGGAACCGGCACAAGAAGACCAGGAACGATTTGGCCGCGGAGCTGGCGATGGCAGCAGACCTGCGGATGCAGGCGGCTACTGACAGGATCCTTTCCGCCCTCGACGGCTACGCCAAAGCAGACCTGGAGGACCGCGAGAAGGACAGGGTGGGCACGGAGCAGATCATTGCCATCATGCAACGGCAGACAGAACTTCTGGAGCTGCTCATATGGCAGCGGCAGTCATCCGCTCCGGCGGCCGTGTCCACTGCCCCCTCACGCCAAGCATGGCCGCCACGGACGGCCCAATCCAGCCACCGGCCTGCAGGCCCTTCTTCCTCCCGCCTGGGCGTCCCCAGGCGGCCTTTGACACCCAGGGCCCGTACCAGGAGAAGGCCTCAGAACTACAGCCCTTGACTCTCGCCTTTTGCAATCCCCTACAAGAGCTTGTGGTTGTCAGCTTGCCGTGTTTCATTCTTTACTTCGGTTAACCTCTTGGGAGTTGTTTTCTCTTCCACACACACCCCATGCTTTCCCATTAGGGTTAAAAAGAGAGCGCTGTCAACAAACCGAAGGCTTCGTCCTAACAGCCGTTTGTTCTGCCATTGCCGAAAGCTAACAAAAACCCTATTTTTAAAAATAAAGTATTTTCTTTCTTTTTTAATAAACTTCGAGCCCCGGCATCAAGTTAAAAAAGAAAGAAGGCAAAAAGTGAACCAGTTGGCTGCTGTTTCTGGTGGGGAAATCCTTGGGTGTGTGTTTTTTTCAGAACTCGAACTTCATCGATGTTCCTTCGCAACCAGATTGGGCCGAGCCAAATTTATAGGCCTGAAGCCATATAGTAGAAGAAGTGGCTTCAAGAATGGGAAGAGCTGAAGTCAGTACACATGCACATTTGGGGTTAAGGGGCACTGGTTTATTTACAGCAGGGATTGGGAACTTGCGGCCCTACTGGCTAAATCTGGGCCCAGAAGTTCATTCCTCATAAACAATGGCCACCTGCCCCACACCTGACATTGCATGTGGGGCAGCTGCCACCGTTACTACGAATAACCACTTGGGAGTGTAAAATGAACTCTGAGGGGCTTTCATTGAAGGATTAAATTTATGTACCTCTGTTCCTCTATATATTTTCCTCTCAACAACCCTGTCAGGTGGGCTAGGCTGAGAGAGAGCGACTGGCCCAAGTGAGCCTCATGGCTGAATAGGGGTTTGAACCCTGGCCTCCTAGGGCCTGGCTCAACCCTATGACTTCTGGACCAGCGTTTCTCAAACAGTAGGCCTCAGGCCCACAGCCTTCCACGTGCCTCCTCAGTGACGCACCCGGCCCCATAGCCAGCCCATGGCCGTTTGGTTGGACAATGCCAGCACCTGCAACTCCTCGCATACTGAGCAGAGGAGAGCAGGGAAAGAAGCGGAGGAATTTTCTGTGGAAAAATAACACGCTGGGGAAATTTATGCCCCGGTGTCCAGTCTCCGCTTGGAGATATGGCATGAACGGAGACAGTGGAATGGGCAGAGGGCCACAAGGGACATTGGCGGCCACCAACTTGGCTGGCTTTAAAAGGGGGCTAAACCATGGCTATTGGCCACAAAGGCTATGCTCTGTCTCAACAGTTAAGAGGCAACATACACTTCTGAATATCAGCTGCTAGAAAGTGCTGATGCACTCAGGTCCCGCTTAATAATAAACAACTATCTGACTTTTAGAAGACATCTGAAGGCAGCCCTGTTTAGGGAGGTTTTTAATGTTTGATCGCTTTTTTATTATTATTAATATTCTGCTGGGAGCCACTCAGAGTGGCTGGGGAAACCCAGCCAGATAGGCGGGGTATAAATTATTTATTTATTTATTTATTTATTTATTGCCTTCCCACTGGGGAATCTGGACTAGACGGGCCCCTGGCCTGATCCACTTCTTATGTTCTTAAAATGTAGATGCAATAATGTGGGAAGGTTGGGGAAGCGCTGCAGAACAAACTGATAAAGGATGATGTGTGGACAGTCCAGTATAAATCCTTGCCAATTGCACTATTATTGGCAGGCTGCAGAACGCACGTTGAATGTGTCGGGTTGCAGAATGTCCCTGTGATAAAAGAGCAGCCTGTGTGGAATCGGGTTTCTCATAATGCTCAGCTGAAATTTCCTCGCTGGTAAGATCTAAGGCTGTGTCTGGGGGCATCAGAGATCAACCTTCGCCCTCTTCTGTCTTAGTTTTTATTGCCTTACAAGTCACCAACAGCTGAGTACCAACATGCCATACACAGTCCTTTATATCTTTAGTTTCCCCCCCTCCAACCCACCCCTAAGATCCCCAAATCCTACAATATCGCCCATTGGGAATATCGGGGTGGTGGTACAAGGAAAAGGGAATTCTATTTGGGAGAATGCGGATTCGAATTCTTGAGAGTAAATATAAACCAGAGGCAGAAAATCACAGGTTCAAAATCCCTAGCATCTTCCGGGAAGGCAGGAGGAGAACCCCCTACTGAAACTTCTCAGAGAGCGGCTGCCAGTCAGTGTAGACAGTCTTGAGCTAAGTAGACCAATGGTCTGACTTGGGATGCGGTCGCTTCCTCTATCCTAATGAAGGTGAACGTCGGGAGGTTCAGGAGAGACAAAAAGAGGTACTTGGTCCCACCACAGAGTTCAGCTATGACATCTGCTCCCATAGGAGGCCAAATTTCGACGGCTTTAAAATGGGGCAAGACAAATTCATGGAGGACATGTCTAGAGGCTGTCTCTGAACGGCAGCCGGTGGAATGAGTGCTGCTGAAAGCGGGGCGTTTACTTGACCGAGACCCCTTGCCCATCGGATTCACTGTGGTACCTCGGTTTTCGAACGTAATCCGTTTTGGAAGACAATTCGAGTTCTGAAACGTTTTAAAACTGAAAACTCAATAGCCGACAGCTAGGCCTTAGGATGGGACCTCAGATAGAGACGCGGGTGGTGCTGTGGGTTAAACCACAGAGCCTAGGACTTGCCGATCAGAAGGTCGGCGGTTCGAATCTCCACAACGGGGTGAGCTCCCGTTGCTTGGTCCCAGCTCCTGCCAACCTAGCAGTTCGAAAACACGTCATAGTGCAAGTAGATAAATAGGTACCGCTCCTGCGGGAAGGTAAACAGCGTTTCCGTGCGCTGCTCTGGTTCGCCAGAAGCAGCTTAGTCATGCTGGCCACATGACCCAGAAGCTGTACTCCGGCTCCCTCTGCCAATAAAGCAAGATGAGCGCCACAACCCCAGAGTCGGTCACGACTGGACCTAATGGTCAGGGGTCCCTTTACCTTTACCTTTTTAGGCCTCAGGATTTTGCACTTAGCGGAAGCTGTGTGGCATGTTCAACTTCCCAGGCGTGTTCGAAAACCCAAGCATTTACTTCTGGGTTTACGGCGTTCAAAAACTGAAATGTTTGTCAACAGAGACGTTCAAAAACCGAGGCGCCAATGTATTTCCGGCGGCCCTCCCAGAGGACCCTATGCTTTCTCCCCACTGTGGGTTCTCGCGTGCGCCATGAGGTTTGAGCTGGAGCTGAAGCTCTTCCCGCAGTCCACGCACAGGTAGGGCTTCTCCCCCGTGTGGATCCTCTGGTGGCCGATGAGGTGCGACTTCTGGCTGAAGCTCTTGCCACAGTCGGAGCACTTGAAGGGCCGCACGCCGGTGTGCGTCCTCTCGTGCGTGTTGAGGTTGGAGCTGACGCTGAAGCCTTTGCCGCAGTGCAGGCAGACGTAGGGCTTCTCGCCCGTGTGGGTCCTCTGGTGGCTGGTTAGGTGTTGCTTCTGGCTGAAGCTCTTCCCGCAGTCGGCGCACTTGTACGGCTTGTGCCCCGTGTGGATCCTCTCGTGCGCCACCAGGTCTGAGTTCATGCAGAAGCTCTTCCCACACACCAAGCATTTGAAGAGCTTCTCCCCCGTGTGGATCCTCTGGTGCCGGTTCAGGTGCGACCTCCCGCTGAAGGTCTTCCCACAGTCCAGGCACTTGTGCGCCTTCTCGCTGCAGTGCATCCTCTGGTGCCCGTGGAGGTGCGAGCTGCGGCTGAAGATCTTCCCGCACTCGCCGCACGTGAAAGGTTTCTCTCCCGCGTGGGCCCGCCGACGGGCGGCGAGCTGCGAGTTCTGGCCGAAGCTCCTCTCGCAATCCAAGCACTGATAGGGCTTCTCGCCCGCGTGCCGGGTCAGATCTGAGCGGGCGGCGAAGCTTTTCCCGCAGCGCAGGCACTCAAAGGGCTCGCCCCCGACGTGGCTCCGCAGGTGGCCGGCGAAGGAGTGGTTGCTGTGGAAGCTCTTCCCGCATTTGAAGCATTCGTACGGCTTCCCCCCAGCGTGGCTCCGCAAGTGCCAGGTGAAATGGGAGCTCGTGTCAAAGCTTTCCCCGCAGTGCAGGCAGGGATAGGACTTCTCTCCTGCGTGCGCCGTCCTCTCGTGGGCAACCAGCCCAGATCTCGGCGCAAAGGTTTTCGAGCACACCGCGCAACTGTGTGGTTTCTCTCCCGGGTGGATCCTCGGGTGGCAAATGTGACCAAGGGTCTTCTCGCCCAGAACGCATGAACATTCTTCTTCGGGCTGGAGGATCTCCTCTTCACTTCCGCCAAGATCCTCGTCACCTCCCCAAGGAGGAAGGGAGCTGCCTGGTCGTTTTCCACGGTGGGTCTTCTGCTCTGAGTCGGGCTGATGTGCAGAAATGCCTCCATTCTCCTCGCACCAGGAAAGTCTTTCTCTGGACAAACCCTGCGGCTCCATTTGCTCAGGGCCCCCCAGACATGGCTTCTCTTCCTTCTCCTCTTCCTCATCGTCATGAGCCCAACTGAAACCTGCTGAAACACATAAAACAGGCAAACATAATAATAATAATAATAATAATAATAATAATAATAATTTGTTTATTATTTATACCCCGCCCAGAGGATTGGAGAAGATCAGTCTACATCCCAATCCCAAAGAAGGGAAGTGCCAAAGAATGCTCCAACTACCACACAATTGCACTCATTTCACACGCTAGCAAGGTTATGCTTAAAATTCTACAAGGCAGGCTTAAGCAGTATGTGGACCGAGAACTCCCAGAAGTGCAAGCTGGATTTCGAAGGGGTAGAGGAACCAGAGACCGAATTGCAAACATGCGCTGGATTATTGAGAAAGCTAGAGAGTTCTAGAAAGACATCTACTTTTGCTTCATTGACTATGCAAAAGCCTCTGACTGTGTCAACCACAGAAGGGGAAGAAATGGAGGCAGTGAGAGATTTTACTTTCTTGGGCTCCATGATCACTGCAGATGGTGACAGCAGTCACGAAATTAAAAGACGCCTGCTTCTTGGGAGAAAAGCAATGACAAACCTAGACAGCATCTTAAAAGTAGAGACATCACCTTGCCAACAAAGGTCCGTATAGTAAAAGCTATGGTTTTCCCAGTAGTGATGTATGGAAGTGAGAGCTGGACCATCAAGAAGGCTGATCGCCGAAGAATTGATGCTTTTGAAATATGGTGCTGGAGGAGACTCTTGAGAGTCCCATGGACTGCAAGAAGATCAAACCTATCCATTCTTAAGGAAATCACTGTTCTTAAAGTGCTCACTGGAAGGACAGATCCTGAAGCTGAGGCTCCAATCCTTTGGCCACCTCATGAGAAGAGAAGACTCCCTGGAAAAGACCCTGATGTTGGGAAAGATGGAGGGCCCAAGGAGAAGGGGACGACAGAGGACAAGATGGTTGGACAGTGTTCTCGAAGCTACCAGCATGAGTTTGACCAAGCTGCGGGAGGCAGTGGAAGACAGGAGTGCCTGGCGTGCTCTGGTCCATGGGGTCACGAAGAGTCGGACACGACTAAACAACAACAACACCCTGCCCATCTGGCTGGGTTTCCCCAGCCACTCTGGGCGGCTCCCAACAGAACACTAAAATACAATAACCTATTAAACATTAAAAGCTTCCCTAAACAGGGCTGCCTTCAGATGTCTTCTAAAAGTCTGGTAGTTGTTCTTCTCTTTGACATCTGGTGGGAGGGCGTTCCACAGGGCGGGTGCCACTACCAAGAAGGCCCTCTGCCTGCTTCCCTGTAACATGGCATCTCGCAGTGAGGGAACCGCCAGAAGGCCCTTGGTGCTGGACCTCAGTGTCCGGACAGAAAGATGGGGGGTGGAGATGATCCTTCAGGTAAACTGGACTGAGGCTGTTTATTATTATTATTATTATTAGGGTTTATATACAGCTCTGTACTGGGAGGTCTCAGGATGGTTCACAGAAAAGATCGCAACATATAAGATATAAGAATAAAAACAACAACACAATAATGCCCCCCCATGAAAAGAGCCACATTTTAAAAGGGTATAGGATGTCAAACAGATCAACCAAAGGCCTGGTTAAAAAGGAATGTTTTTGCCTGGTGCCTAAAGGTGTATAATGAAGGCGACAGGTGAACTTCCCCGGGGAGAGCATTCCACAGACAGGGAGCCACTGCAGAGAAGGCCCTGTTCTCACATTGTCACCCTCTGGACCTCTTGAGGAAGAGGCATACAAAGAAGGGCCTCAGAAGATGATCTCGGAGTCTAGGCAGGTTGATATGGAAAGAGGCAGTCCTTGAGGAATTGCGGTCCTGAGCCATTTAAGGCTTCATAGGTCAGAACTAGCACTTTGAATTGGGCCCGGAAACTAATAGGTAGTCAGTGCAGTCGGACCAGGATCGGTGTAATATGCTCAAACCCAATGTTAGGCCATGACCCAAAATTCTTTGCAAGTACAAAACAAACGACAAAATCCTGCATCGAGCGCCAATGAAACCCATACTTCCTTATGGACTAGCCACTTGCCGTTGTTATTTATTTTAAACAAAAAGGGGGGGAAAACCACATTATTTATGTTCACAAATTCTGCACCTCTTTTGGTCCTGTACAGTTCCTCAAAACGGCCTCTCCCTATATGAACCAGCCCAGACCTGGCAGTCTTCATCAGAGGCCCTTCTCTTTGGGCCCACCCAAAAGAGGCCACACAATAACAGGGCTTTTTGGGGAGACATGCCATTAGAAACAACAAAGGAGATTGTGGCAAATATAAACACAATAAAAGCCAAGTATGAAATGTAAAGCCACTGTTATGGAAATGATTCCTTTTCTTAACCGTCTGCATTAGTCTAGCAATACAGTGGTACCTCTAGATATGAACGGGATCTGTTCCGGAGTCCCGTTCGCATCTAGAGGTAAACATAACTAGCGACGCCATGTCTGTGCACGCACGTGTCGCTTTTCGCCGCTTCTGCGCATGCGCGTGGCCTCATTTTGAGTGTCTGCGTATGCGGCGAAACCCGGAAGTAACACGCTCCATTACATCCGGGTTGCCGCGGAGCACAACTCGAACGCACTCAACTCGAAGTGTATTCAACCCGAGGTATGACTGTGTTTAGAAAAAAAAACTGTCAAGAAACATTTAGCAGTTACTGAAGATGCCTGCAGGATTTCTGTTGGATTCAGAAAAGCTGAGCAAATACCACCAAAGCTTTGGCTTCTTGTTGACGTCCCCCCCACCCCCCACCCCCAATTTCACAGTCGAGCTTGGTCTTAAAGATTCAGGTGGTCACTAAGGTATCCTGGGCACAAGTTTTTGGGGGATTTGTAAATGAATACAAGGATCTTCAACCTGGCTCAATAGCAGGTAGGCAAGGGGTGCAGATGTTTTAACAGTGGTGCCACATATTTCTTGGCCATCTGCTTCTCCCTCCCCACTCAGCAGAAGTCTAGCCACCACATTCTGCGTTAGCTGGAGTTTCCAGACCAGGCCCACTTGGCAAAACCAGGCCCAGATTGTGAAACTGCTCTAGGAACGGGGAAGGGAAATGGGTTTGAGACGTCACAGGTGCCAGCCAATCCATGCTATGCACAGCCCACTTCTACTATAATAAATAATAATTAAAAAATTTTATACCCCGCCCTTCCTGGTTCAAAAACCGGGCTCAGGGTGGCTAACAACATATTTAAAACCCTTAATTATAAAAGCAGCATAAAATACAGTATAAAAACATGAATAACAATAAAATTCAAAAATCAAAAATCAATTTAGGGGAAATAAGCATTAGATAACCCCCAGGGCTAGCTGGCTGAATTGGTCCTACTTGGGCCAGTGAGGAGGCCAGGGAAGAATTAGTTGTGAGGTCTCAGAGTGGGTGATCTTCATAAAAGGGGAGGGGGAGGGAAGAGAAGGGAAATAAAAGATCAGGCTGAATTCAAATTAAAGGCTAGGCGGAATAGCTCTGTCTTACAGGCCTGATGAAAGGAGGTTAAATCCTGAAGGGCCCTAGTCTCATGGGACAGAGCATTTCAGCAGGTCGGAGCCATCACTGAAAAGGCCCTGGCCCTGGTGGAGGATAGTCTGACTTCCTTAGGGCCCGGGACCTCTAAACTATGGTTATTCATGGACCTTAAGGTCCTCTGCGGGGCAGACCAGGAGAGGCGGTCCTGTAGATATGAGGGCCCTAAGCCATGCTCAACAGTGTTTGAAAAGAGTGGCACGAGGGCATATCCACCACTCAGGCTATGCCAGAAGAGGGACAACACAAAGGAATCCTCACCCCCAGTTTCGGTGCCTTCGTCGTCGTCGTCGTCCTCCTCCTCCTCCTGCTTAGGTTCCCTGAAAAGCTGTTTTGCTTCAATACCCAACGGAGCTCCATCTGATTCCGGGAGACTGGCAGACACCTGATGAAGCAGCACCTGAAAGCAGCCGGATTTAAGTCAGAATCCAAAGCCGGGCATTGGTCCATCTAGTTCAGTACTGCATGCACTGACTGACAGCAGCTCTCCAGGGTTTCACATGGCCTCTCTCCCAGCCTTACCTGAAAAATGTTGGGGACTGAATAGAAACTGTGTCCATGCAAAACAGGTGCTCTACTGCTGAGCTGTGGGCTCCCCTGCAAAGGACTAGGAACGGGCGAAGCTGTGTCACACCAAGGGAGACCATCTAACACAGTGTTGTCTACACTGACTGGCAGCAGTTCTCCACCGTTTCAGGCAGGGGACATTACCTGAAGGCTTAGGATTGAACCTGGGACCTTCTGCACACAAATTACCGTACTTTTCGCTCTATAGGACGCACCAGACAATAAGACGCACCTAGTTTAGCGGGGAGGAAACAAGGGGGGGGGATTCTGAATCCCAGAATCCAGAACAGCAAGAGGGATCTGGCTTCTGGGATAGCCTCTTGCTGTTCTGGCTTCTGGGATTGCCACTGAAGCCTCTCCCGGGCAGCAGGATGAAGGCTCCCCCTGCCCGGAAGAGGCTATGTGCGGGTAAGCTGCCCTCAGTACCTTCCCCCATCTCCTGCAAGAACCGCGCGCTCTTTAAAGGGAGTGCGGTTCTTGGGGGCTTTTCTGGGAGGTGGGGGAAGGGACAGAGTCGCACGCTCTGTCCCTTCCCCCCACTTCCTGCAAGAGCCGCGCGAAGCCTCCGCAGGACAGCGGGGAGCCTTCGTCCCGCTGCCCTACAGAGGCTTCGCGGGGGCTATCCAAAAGCCAGGATAGCTAGAGGGAGCGCAGCTAAGCCAGAAGCTAGAACAGCGTGACGGAGCGCTGCGCAGCGCTCCCTCTCCCTGTTCTGGCTTCTGGCTTAGCCACGCAGCCTGCATTCGCTCCATAAGACGCACACACATTTCCCCTTACTTTTTAGGAGGGAAAAAGTGCGTCTTATAGAGCGAAAAATACGGTAAATGCCCTACTGCCACGCTAAGGTATCACTGGTGTCTCCCTCCTGATCTCGTCCTCACCTCTTTTCCTTGTCTCTCCTCCGCCTCTTCCCGCCTCAGGAGGAAATCCTCGGCCAGGGCCACCGCCTGGGAGCAGGTCTCTGGTGTGCCTTCCCTGACCCAGCTCTGGATCTCCAGAGGCAGGATGGCCAGGAACTGCTCCAGGATCAGCAGCTCCAGGATTTGCCCCTTGGTGTTCCTCTCCGGCTTCAGCCAGTGCCGGCAAAGTTCCCAGAGTTGCCGGCATGCCTCCCTCGGCCCCTCGGCCTCCTGGTAGAGGAAGGCCCGGAAACACTGGCGGTAGGCCTCTGCCTCCAGGGCATCCGACTCGCAAATGGCCTCTTCCTTCACTGGCGCCCGTTCTCCATCGTGGCCCTCGTAGGCTTGCAGAGATGCTCTGTCAACATCTAGTCCAACAAAGAGAGAAGCATTACAAGTTGTGCCTTAGTTTTCGAACGGCTTATGTGAGGGGACTGCCATCGGAACAGGGGAGGGAGGCAGGGGGGCCGTTGGGATACAGAGAGCCTCCAAAACTCCTGAGGAGCAGTTCCTCTTCCAGCGGTGGGGAAAGCCACACCTCCAGTGGAGAAGAGAGGGAAGGGGCCAGCCAGGTGAGGAAAGGGCTTGAGGATGCTGCTGAGAGCCCCAGCGCCTCACCAGGCCAGGCTGGCCAGGAGAGATGCCTGCCCCCTTCGCAAGGGGGGGAGGAGGAGGCTTGGGGTGCCTGAGTTCTTACGTTGGGGGAGAAACCGGAAGGGGCCACTCCCAGATTCTGCAAGTGACTAAGACGGACATGAACTCTGTGGATCTGCACTGTAAATAGTTTGCACAATAAAAACTGTAAAAGACAGGTCGGAGTCCTGCCTGGTTACTCACGAGCAACCACCACCAGCATCTGACAGCTTAGTTCTCACACGTTTTGGCTCCCGAATGCCGCAACCCTGGAAGTGACTGTTCCAGCTTGCGAACTATTTTTGGAAGCCGAACGTCTGACAGGGCTTCCGATTGGCTGCAGGAGCTTCTGTTCGACTTCCATTTGTAAGCTGTTATTCTAGCCCCAATATGTACGGCAGACAATCGTTTATCCAGAACCTTTCAAAACGGAAGTTTCCGGAAAGGGCAGAGAGTGGGCACCCATCGTATCTTGACAATAATGCTGCTCCACAGAACAGGGGCATCCACGCTAAAAGCCCAGCGTCACAGTGGAAAAGCTTTCTGAGATCTTTGGGTGTTGAAGGGGAAGTTGCCCCACAGATCACAGTGATCTGCTTTGTAGATAAACAGCAGTGCAGGGGCGGGGGGCTGGACTAGATGACCCCTGGGGTCCCTTCCAACTCTACAATCCTATGGCCGCCGAGACCACATAACACCGGTCTTGAAAGACCTAGACTGGCTCCCAGTACGTTTCCGAGCACAATTCAAAGTGTTGGTGCTGACCTTTAAAGCCCTAAACGGCCTCGGTCCAATATATCTGAAGGAGCGTCTCCACCTCCATCATTCTGCCCAGACGCTGAAGTCCAACTCTGAGGGCCTTCTGGCAGTTCCCTCACTGCGGGAAGCCAAGTTACAGGGAACCAGGCAGAGGGCCTTCTCAGAAGACATCTGAAGGTAGCCCTGTTTAGGGAAGCTTTTAATGTTTAATAGGTTATTGTATTTAGTGTTCTGTTGGAAGCCGCCCAGAGTGGCTGGGGAAACCCAGCCAGATGGGTGGGGTATAAATAATATATTATCATTTTTATTATTATTATAATTATTATTATTATTATTATTATTATTATGTAAGACCTTGAACTGGGCACTTACCGGTAGTATACATCTGCTCCGAATCCCCTTTGAGGCCTGGAACGCACACCGCCCGTTGCTTTTTCCCAGTCCCCTCAATGGGAGCGTCCGCCTCTTCCCACGGCGCGTCCGGGTTTCCGAGCCTCCCGTCAGAGATCTGCACGACCGTCAAGAACTCGGGCGACCCCCAACCTTCGTCGGGCTCCTGCTTCACCCGGCACTGTATCCCCGCGGACTGGAGCAGGAAGCTCTGAGAGGGCGGCTCCATCATGCTCAACGGCCCTTTCGTCCTGCCAACAAATCGAGAACAGGGCCGTGATGATGAAGGAAACATTCCGAAATTTGAGAAAGTAGAGAGCTTTGAATCCAAGCTTTGTTTTCCGAAACGTTCAGATTTCTGAAAATTAGTTAGTGACAATCCTACAGCACAATCCTATGCATGTTAGGCCTGAGATGTATAAGATTATGATGTGCTGTGTGGAGGTTTCTCCCTTCTCTTAGAGAACAATGGAACCCAACGGGATCAACCGATGAAGCTGAATGGTGAGAAATTCAGGACGAAAAGGAAAGACTTTGAGATTTTTAACGTTTGATGTTTTATCGTGTTTCTCAGAGTGGCAGGGTATAAATAATAAATCGTTGTTGTTGTTACCATTCCTGCATTGCAGGGGGTTGGATTTGATGAACCTCAGGCTCCCTTCCAGCTCTACTATTATATGATTCCATGACATCTTCAAGGGACGTGGATGGCGCTATGGGTTAAACCACAGAGCCTCTTGGGCTTGCCGATCAGAAGGTCGGCGGTTCGATTACCCGCAATGGGGTGAGCTCCCGTTGCTCGGTCCCTGCTCCTGCCAACCTAGCAGTTTGAAGGCACCTCAAAGTGCAAGTAGATAAATAGGTACCGCTCCGGCGGGAAGGTAAATGGCGTTTCCGTGCGCTGCTCTGGTTCGCCAAAAGTGGCTTAGTCATGCTGACCACATGATCCGGAATCTGTATGCCGGCTCCCTCGGTCAGTAAAGCGAGATGAGCGCCGCAACACCAGAGTCGTCCGCGACTGGGCCTAATGATCAGGGGTCCCTTTACCTTTATGACATCTTTACAAAGGAAGACTAAGTATGCCTACTAGTCACAATGGCAACACTGACCCTCCACTCTGAGAGGGAGTAATTGCTTCTGAATAATGGCTCCTGGGAATTTTGGGCAGGAAGAGCTGTGCTGTTGCATTCGGGTCCTCCTTGCTTCCTCCAAGGACTCATCCACACCTCCGCTTGTGCCTAAAAACCACAAGACTGATAACTGCCAGTGGGGGGGGACGACCCCTTAGAATTGCAGTTGGAAGGAACCCCCGAGGGTCATCTAGTCCAACCCCCTGCAATGCAGGAATATTTTGCCCAACGTAGGACTCGAACCCATGACCCTGAGATTAAGATTCCTGTAACAACAGCAACACAAATTTATTTATACCCCACCCATCTGGCTGGGTTTCCCCAGGCACTCTGGGTGGCTCCCAACAGAATATTAAAAACACGACAAAACATCAAACATTAAAAACTTCCCTAAACAGGGCTGCCTTCAGATGTCTTCTAAAAGTCAGATAGTTGTTTATTTCCTTGACATCTGATGGGAGTTCCACAGGGTGGGACCCACTACCAAGAAGGCCCTCTGCTTGGTTCCCTGTAACTTCACTTCTCGCAGGGAGAGAACCACCAGAAGGCCGTCGGAGCTGGACCTCAGTGTCCGGGCTGGACGATGGGGGTGGAGACACTCCTTCAGGTATACTGGGCCGAGGCCGTTTAGAGCTGGGGTCAGCAAACTTTTTCAGCAGGGGGCTGGTCCACTGTCCCTCAGACCTTGTGGGGGGCCGGACTATATTTTGTAAAAAAATAATGAACAAATTCCTATGCCCCACAAATAACCCAGAGATACATTTTAAAAGAAGGACACATTCTACTCATGTAAAAACACGCTGATGGTTTAGGGCATTAAAGGTCAGCACCAACACTTTGAATTGTGCTCGGAAACGGACTGGGAGCCAATGTAGGTCTTTCAGGACCAGTGTTTTATAGTCTTGGTGGCCGCTCCCAGTCACCAGTCTAGCTGCCGCATTCTGGATTACTTGTAGTTTCCGGATCACCTTTAAAGGTAGTCCCACATAGAGCGCATTGCAGTAGTCCAAGCGGGAGATAACTAGAGCATGCACCATTCTGGTGAGACAGTGCGCACACAGTTAGGGTCTCAGCCTGCATACCAGATGGAGCTGGTAGACAGCTGCCCTGGACACAGAATTGACCTGCACCTCCATGGACAGCTGTAAGTCCAAAATAACTCCCAGGCTGCGCACCTGGTCCTTCAGGGGCACAGTTACCCTGTTCAGGACCAGGGAGTCCTCCACACCTGCCCGCCTCCTGTCCCCCAAAAACAGTACAACTGAGCTTTCCTCACTGAGCTATCCCCATACCTCCACCCTTCCTCCACCTACTTCATCATTTTAGGCTTGCTCACACATTACACTAAAGGCAGGTACATGTTGCCTCTACACGTGTAAGTGTTTGCATGTAAGAGATCACACGTGTCAATTTGTACACTTTAACTGCACTGGTTGCACATATATGTGTATATGTGGACAATATCTGCCATTTGCACAGATTGTACACTGCTTTAATGTAATGTGTGAACGTTATAAACCTGCATCGCCTTAAAGCCCCAGGTTGCATCTTGCAAAGAATGTATAACTGGTTTTTCAAACTTTCATTCATTTCCTTAAATACAGGGTTCTAAAACGCCAGTCGGAACATTTTAAAATACACGTGCAAAACAATCGGCGAGAAATAATCAAATTGATCCGAAACCCAGCACAGCGTTTCAGGACAAGAAGAGAGCGGATTTTCAAAAGATGGAATGCAAAACGTCAGATCTGATGGGAGGGCAACCAGGGCAATTCAATCCAGGCTGTTCGTTCAAAAAAATCAAAAGGTCTGCAAGGTTGTTCTAGAAACTAGGGAAGTTGCAGATCTTCCTCATAAATAACAATACTAATAATAAATCATCCGGGGGCCCCAACCCGACACCTCCAGCCTTGCAAATCGCTCATCAGCTCCTGCGAAATGCAAAATATAGGTCTATAGACATGTGCATAGCTACCTGCCTCTCTCACCGCCTCTGTTGTTCCTGAGTCGCTATTTGGAAAAAGGAAGGAAAAAAAAAAGGAAATCCAAAATACATGCACACACGCAAATACGCCCCCCTCCCCAATGCACACACACAAAAAGAAGGCTGGGCAGGAAGTAACAGCCTGCTCTGTATGAGAGCCCCCCCTCCTTCCCCAATTTCTGGGCCTCTCTAGGAATCTCAGCTCGGATGTTTAACCCTTCCATTCCTGCTGGGCGCGCAGATCCGTGCTGAGCTGCTCAGAGATTGCCACCTTTCCTGTTTCCCCCTTCTGACAGGGCTCCTGTGCCTTCGGCAGCAGAGTTGCCAGCTTGCTCGCCGCCCCCTGCTCCTGTGCATTTAGCAGATGAGCTGGAGCCAGGTGACAACAGGGTGGCCCAATTTCCTTGCTTTCTTCCCCTGCTCCTTGGCAGACGGGAAGGTTGCCAACTGTGTCTCCCTGCTCCTGTGCATTTAGCAGCTGCCTCGCATTCGATTATTGCAATCGTTGTTTGGTTAAAATAATAATAATAATAATAATAATAATAATAATAATAATAATAATAATTTATTTATACCTTGCCCATCTGGCTGGGCTTCCCCAGCCACTCTGGGCGGCTTCCAACAAAATATTAAAATACAATAACCTATTAAACATTAAAAGCTTTGCTAAACAGGGCTGCCTTCAGATGTCTTCTAAAAGTCTGGTAGTTGTTCTCTTTGACATCTGGTGGAAGGGAGTTCCACAGGGCAGGCGCCACTACCGAGAAGGCCCTCTGCCTGGTTCCCTGTAACTTGGCTTCTCGCGAGGGAAGTGTGGTGTAGTGGTTAAGAGCGGTAGTCTCCTAATCTGGAGAACCGGGTTTGTGTCTCCGCTCCTCCACATGCAGCTGCTGGGTGACCTTGGGCCAGTCACACACTTTGTTGTGGGGGAGGAAGGGAAAGGAGAATGTTAGCCGCTTTGAAACTCCTTCGGGTAGTGATAAAGCGGGATAGCAAATCCAAACTCTTCTTCTTCCCCGAGGGTCTGAGATACATTGGCTAGTTTCCCAGGGTGTGGCTGCTGTCGCATGCTGACAACTTCTAGGAACCAACAGGTGAGGGCTGAGTGCTTGACAAACTATCTTAGAAGGAGCAGTGTGTCGTCCCCCCCCCCCAAAGAGCTACAACCCCTCCCCTAACATCTCATACACGCGGGTGGTGCTGTGGTCTAAATCATTGAGCCTCTTGGGCTTGCTGACTGGAAGGTCAACGGTTCAAGTCCCCGCAACGGAGTGAGCTCCCATTGCTCTGTCCCAGCTCCTGCCAGCCTAGCAGTTTGAAGGCATGCCAATGCAAGTAGATAAATAGGTACTGCTGTGGCAAGAAGGTAAACAGCATTTCCGTGTGCTCTGGTTTCCATCACGGTGTTCCGTTGCGCCAGAAGCAGTTTATAATAATAATAATTTATTATTTGTACTCCGCCCATCTGGCTGGGTTTCCCTGGCCACTCTGAGCGGCTTCCAACAAAGACCAAAAATACACTAAAATGTCACACATTAAAAACTTCCCTGAACAGGGCTGCCTTCAGATGTCTTCTGAATGTCAGGTAGTTGTTTATTTCCTTGACATCTGGTGGAAGGGCGTTCCACAGGGTGGGAGCCACTACCAAGAAGGCTTTCTGCCTGGTTCCCCTGTAGTTTTGCTTCTCGCAATGAGGGAACCACCAGAAGGCCTTCGGCGCTGGACCTCAGCATCCGGGCTGAACGTTGGGGGTGGAGACGCTCCTTCAGTTATACTGGTCATGCTGATATACTGGTTTAGTCATGCTGGCCACATGACCCGGAAAGCTGTCTGTGGACAAACGTCGGCTCCCTCAGCCTGAAAGCGAGATGAGCACCGCAACCCCATAGTCGCCTTTGACTGGACCAGGGGTCCTTTAACTTTTTAAAATGCATACCTACCAATTTATGTAATATATTACTGAAGTCCAGAATGGACCCCCTTCCTTCCTTTAAAGCAGGGAGGAGCCCCGCAGATGCTGCCAAACTAAAACTCTGATTGGTTCTCGGAAGGATGCCCATTGGGCAGGGCTGATGGGAGATGTTGTCAGCCACATCTGCAATAGCCAGAGATTCTCCACATTTGCCTTACAGCATAAATCGCCGCCCTCTCCGAAAACACTGCAGTTCTATCCATTGTGGGGGATAATCATAAGAATGGATCACTCTGCTTTTATTCCTAGATTTTCCCCTTTCAACAAGCCTCACAGGTCGATATTTTTTACCCCAGTCTGTTTGTGTGTTAGATGCAATAATGTTTTTATGTATAATAATGGTTTTTCCAATAGATTTCATGCATTGTATTGTGAAATAACTTTGAGATGCTTCACAGAAAATGAGTCATAAATGAAATAATAATAATAATAATAATAATAATAATACAGCCCAGGTGATAATGACTACGTCCGGAACAGATCTTTAAACAAATTTTACTGAATAAACATGTTCAGAACATGTTAGCTATGGAGGAGAGGGGGAAAGAAGAATAAATCGCCACCTAAGGAATATCATGCAAGACATAACAGGAGCAAAGGAACATATTATTTTAAGCAGACATACAGGAAAGGGGGGCTCTCTTAAGAGAAACTTAGACAAAGTTTGTTAAGAAGAAAGCTTAATCTTAAACAATATTATTAAGTTTCTGCCTTTCAGGCCTTCAAAACACTTCCTGATAACTTAGGAGTAAGTACTTCAAAAAGAACAAAATAAAACCCTACATTATTTAAATACTTAGAGTATTAGCCATTTTTCATCCCTAGATGCTGCTGACAGATAGATCCGAGTAGCAAACCTTGCGTGATTTAAGACACGCCCCTGTAGGATTGAGAGTGCAAGGTCTCCTGCCAGTCTCTGGGCGGAGAGAGAGATTATCAGCAGAAGCTGAGCTCAGTTACCAAGGCATAGAAGCAGCCAGACCACAGCAAATCCTGGAACGTGGTGCCGGCCAAGTGCCCTAAAGGAAAATGCCAAAATGCCAAAAAGATTAGTGTTTTTTAAAAAAACAAAAAAGGGAATATTATTATTTCAAATCATGCAATTAGCAATTCATGATATAATCAGCACATAACAACATGATTTTCAAAAAAATAAAAAAGGAGAAGTTGTCATTTTAAAAGTTTCCTGTGGATCCCAGCTTAAGCAGGCAGAAGAGCGAAACAGGCAGTTTTTAAAAAACGTTTCCCACGAACCCCTCTACCCTGGGGCAGGAGGAAGAAAGAGGGGAAGGGGTTTTTTTGGGGGGGTTCTCATGAACCCCAAGGGGAGGAGAAAAATTAGGAAGTTGGCATGAGATGTAATGATGGCTGTCCAAATCAAGAAGGGATAAAAACCTAAATTCTTGGGGTTGCAAAGGAAGAGAAGAAAAAGGCAAGGCAGAGTGTCAAAGTACATCAGCGGGCAGGATGATCCATTGCACGGATTAGTACATTCTTAGAAGAAAGAGATCTCCTCTTCCCCGGCGCTCCTCTATTCATTTCTAACTTCCTGCTCGCTGTGGGTTTTCTCGCAAGGAATAACCTCAGGATCTCCGCCGGCCGCGCTTTTCTCGCCCTTCTCTCCCGCATGGACCGTGTGATGCCTGTGCAGTTCCGACTTGGACCTGAAGTTTTTCCCGCAGTCCGCGCACAGAAACGGCTTGGCCCCCGTGTGGGTTCTCTGATGAGAGATAAGGTTGGAGTTCCGGTTGAAGCTCTTCCCGCAATCCAGGCAAACGTAGGGCTTCTCGCCCGTGTGGATCTTCTGGTGCCTGGTGAGGCTGGTGCTGTCGCAGAAGCTTTTCCCACAGTCCGAGCAGATGTACGGGGTTCCCCCCGTGTGGACTCTCTGATGACGGATAAGGCTCATGTTGGAATAGTAGCTCTTCCCGCACTCGGCGCACTCAAAAGGCTTCACCCCGGAGTGCGTCTTCTGGTGCGTGATGAGGTTCGAGCTCCACCGGAAGCCTTTCCCGCACTCCAGGCACGTGTAGGGCATTTCCCCCGTGTGGATTCTCTGATGAAGGGTGAGATCCGCCTTCCGGCAGAAGTTCTTCCCGCAGTCGGCGCAGTTGTACGGCTTCTCGCCCGTGTGGATCCTCTGGTGGATCCTCAGCTCCGACCTCTCGCAGAAGCCGACGCCGCACTCCAAGCACTTGTACGGCTTCTCTCCCTTGTGGATGATGGAGTGCCGGACCAGGTGAGACTTGACTCGGAAGCTCTTCCCGCAGTCCAGGCACTGGTAGGCCTTCTCCCCAGCGTGGATCCTCTGGTGGATCGTCAGGCCCGAGCTCTGGCAGAAACACTTGCCGCAGTCCAAGCACTTGTACGGCTTCTCTCCCGTGTGGATCCTCTGGTGCCGGACGAGGCTGGTGCTGTAATTGAAGCTCTTCCCGCAGTCCAGGCACTTGTAAGGCATGTCACCCGTGTGCGTCACCTTGAACTCGATGATGCTCGAGCTGTCCGGGAAGCCGCTGGCGTCCTCGTTCTTCACCGTGCGGATCCTCGGCTGGCTCACAGTTTCACCGAGCGTCTCGTCCCTCTCCTGAAGAGAAACGGGCTTCGCCCCTGGGGAACTTCCTCGATGCTCCTTGGGCCCCGGCCAACTTCCAGAGGCCTCTTCGGGCTTAACGCACCGGGGGTCCCCCTCCTCCTCCAGGCTGCCCATCACAACCCCACTTGTTTCGTCTTCGTCATCGGAACGCTCTGGCCGATCTCGCTCTTTGTTGGGGGTCATTGGCTCCTCGCCTGCTGAGGTAGACAGAAAGAAGAAGGGTTTGGATTTGATATCCCGCTTTATCAATACCCTAAGGAGTCGCAAAGCGGCTAACATTCTCCTTTCCCTTCCTCCCCCACAACGAACACTCTGTGAGGTGAGTGGGGCTGAGAGACTTCAGAGAAGTGTGACTGGCCCAAGGTCACCCAGCAGCTGCATGTGGAGGAGCGGAGATGCGAACCCGGTTCACCAGACTACAAGTCTACCACTCTTAACCACTACACCACACATGAGAGAAGAATTTGAAAGCCTGCTTAGGGTTCAGGATGAGCTATGGCAATCATCATACACGGGACCACCTATGTTGCCAGAGTAAGGCCAGGAAGATCTGTGTTCAAATCCAGACATGCAGCTCACTGGGCCAGTTGCTGCCTCTCTGTCTGAACTACCTCACAGGGTTCTTGTGAGGATGGAAGAGGAAGGGGTGGTAAGAAAAGAACAGTGTGTATGCTGCTTTTATTTATTTGCTGCATTTATATCCTATGTTTCACCCTGAGGAGATCATGGTGGCATGATCCACACTAACTTTTATCCACAGAACAACCCAGTGAGGTAGGCGAGAGAGAGAGAGAGAGAGAGAGAGAGAGAGAGATAGGTTCAAAAATACAATAATAGTTTTGACTCTGTGCTAGCGTTTGAGTGACAAAGGAAGTAAAAGGAGATGGACAACAATTAAGGATTTATTATGTTTTCTGAATGTACTGGAAAGTCTATATAGAAAGGTTTATTGTTTTGTGTACATTCAATTGTAAGATAAAATATATGCGGAGGGACTTGACAGGAAGTCAAAATTGAAGAAAAGATTTTATGAGATAAAAGGGGGAAAATATTTATTTTTGTTATTATCACTATTATTTTGTGTGTGTGTTTGTGCATGTGTGTGTTTTGCATGGAATGTTTGGGAGGAAATAAGAGGGTAAATAACAAATAACAAACAAAATATTGATGTATGTAATTTTTATTTCTCAATTATATTTTGTGGTAGTATGGTTGTAATGTTTTTTGTAACATAAAATCATTCAATAAAAATTATTTTAAAAAGAGAGAGGGAGAGAGAGCGCGTCTCGAGCTGTGGTCCACTTGGTCCTAGTTATCCACCCTAACCACAACACCGACAATGGTGCTATTCAAGCACACCGGTCAGGTAATTAATAAGGAGCTATAAGAACCAGCCTCTTGTCTTTCAGGCCTTCTGCCTCAAGGTGACGCCCAGATTATAGAAACCTCTTCCTGGGTGCATTGTAAAGTGGCCCCCTTTTAGATCAGACCACAGCCCGTTGAGTCCAGCATCTGGAGGAGCCTAGCTCAGTTGGTGGAGCACGAGACTCTTAATCTCAGGGTTGTGGGTTTGAATCCCACCTTGGGCAAAAGATTCCTGCATTGCAGGGCATTGAACTAGATGACCCTCAGGGTCCCTTCCAACTGTACCATTCTATGATTCTAGAATTCTGAATACCCAATTGTTGTTTTGTATAACCGTTTCAAGCGATTTTTTGTCTTGTTTTGCTGTCTCTACACCTTTATTGAAAAATCTCAATAAATATTTTAAAAATGAAAACAAGCAAACTGGAGACCCTTAAAAACAACGCCTGAGTTACTCCAACAAGACATACATACATATATATATATAGATATAGATATAGATATAGATATAGATATATATATAATGCAGTGCTTGATTTATAACATAAAACGCAACAACTTTATAATATGAGCAAGTATAAAACAAGACAGTTGCTAAGAACACGAATCGTTCCCAAAATATAATTATGAACATGCCTCTTACCTTAAACAAACTCTGTGAGAGGTGTGAGCTTGCTTTTGCCATGTAATCTAATTTATAATAGGTCTATAATTTTTTTAGTGTATTTTTATTAAAGATTTTCTTGATTTACAAAGGTATGTGCAATGTCTCTCTCTCGTATTTTTTTTCCACGTAACACCTTTTTTTTTTACAAATCGGTTTTCCAACAAGACATTTTGACTCCCAAACTTTGAGGAGGGAGTCTTTCTCCTGTTGCTGTTGCTAAATCCTTGCGAGTCAGAAAGGCATTGGTCTTCAGGTGAACTACCAAGAAATCATCACCATCCACTTTCTGCCCCATCTCTGGCATACACAGATTGAGGACCCTGCCTCATTGGAAGAAACCTTAGGCCTCATCTAGGCTTCAAAGCATCCGAAACCCTGCTCATCCTTACCCAGTGAGCTGGCGGCAACCGCATCACCCTCCCCAAATGCCCGGTTCGGGTCGCAGTCCAGCAGAGCCTCTTCTGCCGCAGCGAAATCCCGGCCTCTCTCTTTTGCCGGCACCTGAAACAGAAACAAAGATCCCATCTGGCACAGAGGGACAGAGAGCAGGAGAGGGCAGGACTAAGGTGTCAGTTTGCATTTCTTAGTACAGAAAGTATTGATCTGATGAATTGATGCTTTTGAATTCTGGTGCTGGAGGAGACTCTTCAGAGTCCCATGGACTGCAAGGAGATCAAACGCATCCATTCTGAAGGAAATCAGCCCTGAGTGGTCACTGGAAGGACAGATCGTGAAGCTGAGGCTCCAATACTTTGGCCACCTCATGAGAAGAGAAGACTCCCTGGAAAAGACCCTGATGTTGGGAAAGATGGAGGGCACAAGGAGAAGGGGACGACAGAGGACGAGATGGTTGGACAGTGTTCTCGAAGCCACAAACATGAGTCTGACCAAACTGCGGGAGGCAGTGGAAGACAGGAGTGCCTGGCGTGCTCTGGTCCAGGGGGTCACGAAGAGTCGGACACGACTAAACGACTAAACAACAACAACATAGAGATCTTTCCTATTCTGCATAGTTCCATCTGTGATGGAACTCCTACTTGGGGACTTCCCTGGCTTTTTTCTGGCCCACGTAGGACCAGTCTGGATAGTTAGCCTTGGTAAAGACTTGATGTTTTCATCCCCCAAAAAGTTTTTCAGTTTCTGCAGAAATGAGGCTGCATTTTAATGTTGTATTTTAATCTTGTTTTTTAAGTTGTATTTCAATCAATTGTTTTATATCTGGTGTTAGCCGCCCTGAGCCCGGTCTTGGCTGGGGAGGGCGGGGTATAAATAAAATTTATTATTATTATTATAGTTCAAGAGGGTTCTGGAAGGTTTCTTCTCTGCGTAAAAGAAACAAGCAGAAGGTTAATGATGTTTGGGTTATTCCTTTCCTTCAGAGAAGCTGAGTACAGCTGGCTTAAACTGGTCCTGTTATCTCTTTCTGTCAAGGTCATGCTGACTATAATTATAAGGCCAGAAGAGCCTGGGTCTCACGCTTTCTCTTTCTATCTCTTTTCCTCCTAGTGTGGTGTTCTGCACATAGATAATGTTAAGCCTTTAGTCTTATTATAAGTTATTGTAAGTTTCAGTTAAGTCTGCTGCAACTGGATTTCTTATGGACAGTGCCAATCCTGAATGCATTGAATTTGTGACCATTATGCTCATTTGCCTTCAGGAGCAGTAAAGCTCTACTGGATGAAATATCCATTTCCTTTGGTTTATTTTTTGGGAATCCCACAACGTGCTTAAGTTTTTACTCTGCTAACTATACACTAGAATCTGCTCTGGATCAATATTGAGTAGAATTTCAATGGCATAGGGAACCTGGATTCTCATCAAATTTCATACAGGTGAGGTGGGAAGGGGACAGTAGCTAGCGCAGAGAATAACCAACAAGTGCAGATGGCAGATTTGGGCCAAAAGTTAGGAGAACATGTAAAAGGAAGTCCATCTGCAAGCAGCGCATGGTTAAACTATAAGGCGCATCCCCAAGGGAGGCAGTGATGGCCACCAACTTTGAGGGCTTTAAGAGCATTAGAAAATTTTGTGGAGAAGAGGGCTATCAATGGCTACTCACCACAATGGCTATGTTCTATTAATTTTATTAATTGTAATGCCACATCCCTGCTTTACAGAATCTCCAGAATTCGTTCTAAAAATCTAAAAACTTATTTGTATTAGTGTGTGTGTGCGTGTGTGTGTGTGTGTGTGTGTGTGTGTGTGTAATATAGGCTGATACTGTATTTTAATGCTGTGCAGTGGTACCTCGGGTTAAAAGGGGTCCATTCTTAACCTGAAACTGTTCTTAACCTGAGGTACCCCTTTAGCTAATGGGGCCTCCCGCCGCCGCCCCGTAATTTCTGTTCTCATCCTGAAGCAAGTTCTTAACCCGAGTTACTATTTAGGGGTTAGCGGAGTCTGTAACCTGAAGCGTATGTAACCTGAAGCGTATGTAACCTGAAGCGTATGTAACCTGAAGCGTATGTAACCCGAGGTACCACTGTATATAGCCAGTGTTGATGGTGGCTCAGCTCCAAAACGGAGTCTGGTCCAAAGAAAATATCTAGAATGCTTCTGAACAATGCAGGAAACACCCCCCCCCCCAAGTGCAGCTTTGCTCCAATGCAAGAATGTTAAAATGAAGTTGAAATAGATACAGCTACTAATATGTTGTTGTTGTTGTTATCTATTAAATTTGTATGCCGCCCTTCACCCACAGATCTCAGGCCGGCTCACGACATAAAACGACAATACAAAAAACACAAAATACATAATAAAAATAAGAACAGCAACAAACCAATCATTCCCCCCCACAGAACATTTAAAAAGGTGTCAATCAGCCAAATGCCTGATTGAAGAGGAACATTTTTGCCTGGTGCCTAAAGGTGTACAGTCATACCTCGGGTTACAGACGCTTCAGGTTGCATTTTTTCGGGTTGCGGACCGCCGAAACCTGGAAGTACCGGAACAGGTTACTTCTGGGTTTTGGCAGTCACACATGTGCAGATTGCTAAATTATGCTAAATCTTTGCGCATAAGCGCCAAATTGCAACCCGCGCATGCGCCGACGCGGCTTGCGAACGTGCATCCCGCATGGACCACATTCGCAACCCGAGCGTCCACTGTATAATGAAGACGCCAGGCAAACTTCCCTGGGGAGAGCATTCCACAGGCAGGGAGCCACTGCAGAAAAGGCCCTGCTCTCGCATTGCCACCCTCCGGACCTCTTGTGAGTCAGAGGCTCTGAATACCTGCTGTTGCGGAGATTGCTGGTGAGCAGAAGCAAAGTGTGCTCATGTCCCGCTTGTGGGGCTTCCTGCTGGGGATCTGGGCAGCCAATGGGAGAAGAGGATGCTCCACTAGATGGGCCATGGGTCTGATGTAGCTCCCAGACTCTTCGTATGCTGGCTAGGGAGCACGTATTTTTCGCTCTATAAGACACACTTTTTCCCTCCTGAAAGGGGAAATTTGTGTGCGTCTTATGGGGCGAGTGCAGGCTGCGCAGCTATCCCAGAAGCCAGAACAGCGCGCGAAACCTCTTCAGGGCAGGGGGAGCCTTCATCCCGCTGCCCTGAAGATGCTTCACGCGGCTATCCCAGAAGCCAGAACAGCAATCTACTTGCACTTTGACGTGCTTTGGAACTGCTAGGTTGGCAGGAGCAGGGACCGAGCAATGGGAGCTCACCCCTTCATGGGGATTCGAACTGCCGACCTTCTGATCGACAAGTCCTAGGCTCTGTGGTTTAACCCACAGAGCCACCTGCGTCCCACTGAGCTGTCTAAGGAATACTTAAATAAAATTTTAAAAAAGAGGAAATGGATCACCCCTCCCCCCCCAAAAAATAAAATGTTACGCAATGCTGCATAAAACTCGTATGCATCCATGCCCAAACAGTGCGCCTCACCCCCACCTGCTCCTCCAGCTGTTCGGGCTTCCTCTTCCTCTGCCGAAACCCCTCCGCCAGGGCCACCGCCTGGGCACAGCTCTTTGGGCAGCCCTCCATGACCCAGCTCTGCACCTCCGGCGGCAGGACGGCCAGGAACTGCTCCAGGATCACCAGCTCCAGGATCTGCTCCTTGGTGTGCCTCTCCGGCTTCAGCCACCGGCAGCAGAGGAACCAGAGGCGGCTGCAGGCCTCTTGGGGCCCCTCCGCCTCCCGGTAGCAAAACTGCCGGAAGCGCTGGCGCTGGATCTCAGAAATGACGGCGTCCTCGTCCGGGGCCCCTTCTTCCTGCAGGGGCCCCGAGGGATCCATGCTCGGCGGGTCCTCTTGGGATGCCCTGCCAAGGCCAGGCCGGGTTTGGGTCTCCCACTCTTCTGTGGCGCACCCGGTGGCTTCTGTCTCCAGTTTGATGGAGGGTGGAAAAGTGTGGATATTCTTCTGGTGTGGAGAGTCCAATGCCTGTGGGCTCCTCTCATTGGAGCTTTGGGAGTCTGCTGCCCTTGGCAGCTCCCTCCACTGTGACTCCACATCCACAAACAGCCCTGGTTTGTGTTTAAAACGCTGGCCTGGCAAACTCGGCAAATAATCCCCGACGTTGACGGCCCGGGTGACACCGGGACCATCATTTCCTTCTGCCCACGCCATGGGGTCTGCTGCTCCAGCCTCCTCCTCCTCCTCCCTCTCTTCCATTTCCTCCTCCGTCACCGATGGCACAGCCCGATCTAGCCTGGATGGGAACGTGGCACCCAAATCTGGCAGCGCTCCCTGATCAGCAGACATCGCGGCAACTTCGCTCCTGCAGGGCAGCCTCCCAAGGTCTCTCTGCCTCTCTCCAGATTTTAATTGGGGATCGCCGAGTGTCTAGAAACGAGAGCAAATCATGTTCCAAAGAAGCTGTTTCCTGGAGGAAAGACACAGAAACAAAACAACGTAAGGAGAGACCTGTTGCATCAGGGCAAAGGCCCGTCTAGTCCTGTTCTCGAAGTGGCCAAACGGAAGTCTCTTAGGCAGGGTTCAAAATCCCCCAGATGCCAGGCTCATTTTGCAACCGGCGCAGGTCCAATTACGACCACGTGGAGATCTCTGGATGCCAGGTGGGCGACTGACATCTCCATCTGGCTGCCCCTCCAGCTTTCTTAAGCAGGTAATAATAAATAATAATTTATTTATTTCTACCCCAGCCACTCGGGGTGGCTTTCAACAGAACACTAAAAAACAAAATAAAACCTTCAGTGAAGGAATATATGAAAAAATATGGTTCCGGAACTGGAATATTAATAGATAACGTGTAAAACATGCAGGGGTAAGCAAGGAAATAATAAAAGAATCAGCTGAACAATGATTAAATTATAACACCACAAGGCAGAAGAAGAAGAAGGGGGGGAAGAGATCACACATGGGTGAAGGGGAGTTTGAAAGATTATTTATAATATAAAATCTTTAATATAAGATCCCTCTATATTTGTATACAGCAAAGAGAAGTTTAGAGTAATTTGGTATATTTTAATTTAGTTAATTCTGTAATAGATTTGTTAGAAAATGAATATGGATGTTGAATTTGATGTTTGTAATTTTTCTTTTTTCGGTTTTTTTTTGGGGGGAAACTTCAAACGTTAAAAACTTCCCTAAACAGGGTTGCCTTCAGATGTCTTCTAAAAGTCAGATAGTTGTTTATTTCCTTGACATCTGATGGGAGGGTGTTCCACAGAGCAGGTGCCACCACCGAGAAGGCCCTCTGCCTGGTGAGCAGAAGAGCTTGTTTATATCCCACCCTTTTCTCCAGGGAGCACTTGGGTCCCCACGCTCCTCAGTTAATCCCTACAATGACCCTGTGAGGTAAGTTAAGAGGCTGTGACTGACTCCCAGGTCACGCAGCGAGCGTCATGACCAAGTGGGAATTTGAACCCTGATCTACCACGTCCTAGTCCAAAACTCTAGCCCAGGGATCAGGAAACTTTTTCAGCAGGGGGCCAGTCCACTGTCCCTCAGACCTTGTGGGGGGCCGGACTATATTTTGGGAAAAAATAATGAATGAATTCCTATGCTCCACAAATAACCCAGAGATGCATTTTAAATAAAAGCACAGATTCTACTCATGTAAAAACACGCTCATTCCCAGACCGTCCACGGGCCGGATTGAGAAGGCAATTGGGCCGGATCCGGCCCCCAGGCCTTAGTTTGCCTAACCATGCTCTAATCACACCACCACCATGGTTTCCTAGAGTTCTTCTGCTACGGGGCAGCTCTATAAATTAAGTAGGTGAATAAATATGGGGAAAGCAAAATGTCACTTAGAGCAGGATCTGAAATATTTTCCTTGAAGCTTGAATTTGTTTTATTCTGGATTGTTTTAGTTGATTAGTTGCAGTTCCCAGTTCAATCGGTATTCAGACCCATATACTGCCTTCAACAGTCAAGGCAAAACATAGCCATTGAGGCTAGCGATCACTGATCGCGTTCTCTTTGAAACCCAAACTGGGAGACACGTGAACTAGAGTGAGAGAGATCAACATGTTCATTTGACGGCCTGCTCTCTTTCAATCCCATTCAAAGCAGTTGTCCAAAGAGGCAGAAAAACTTGTATTCGGCCTCTGGAGCAGAGATTCTCTTCTGATCCAGGTATAGACAATACTGAACTAGATGAGCCAATGGTCTGGCTTTATGTAAAGTAGCTTCATTTTAACTTTATTATTCAGGTCAAAGTCTTGGTCAAGAACCTCACCCGTCCAACAAATGACAACCAAATTGGGCAAATCAAGTTGTTATTGTATTGTTTTATACACCTTTAGGTGCCAGGCGAAAAGGTTCCTCTTCAACCAGGCCTTTGGCTGATTAACATCCCTTTGAAATGTGTTGAGGGAGGGGGCGGTTAGTGGTATGTTTTCGTTCTTATTATGTATTTTGTATTTTTTTATGTTGTAATTTGATGTCACGAATCTCCCCGAGATATACGGGTGAAGGGCAGTATACAAATTTTTAATAATAATGACACTGACAATAACAATAATATATTCTTGCATTGAATCAAAGCTGCACTTTGGGGGGGGGGGGTTCTGTGTTGTTCAGAAGAATTCTAGATATTTTCTTCTTACCAGACTCAGTTTTTGAACTAAGGCACCATCAACCATGGCTATTTACTGGAGATCTGCTGCCTCTGGGTGGGAGACTCCGTAAAGCATGGATGTAGCACTCTTGGACTACAATTCCCACCATCCCCTGACCTTTGGCCACAATTGATTAGATTATTCATTCACATTTCAATCCGGTGAAGGGAAAGAACCTCTCCTAGAGACCTTGGAGGACCACTAGAGATTGGAGCAGACAATTCTGGGCTAGACAAACCCTTTAATGGGGAATTTTATAGGACTCCCAGATGCTGCTGGATTCATGATATATCATCCCTCTCCATAACATGTTTCTCCATAACGTTTGGGGAAATGTGGATTTATTTATTTTTTAAGATGGGAAGACCAGGGTGGGAAACATCCTTGGCTGCCTTATACTGAGTTGGGATGGAATCATCAAATATCTAAAGGGCTCTCACATGAAAGATGCAGCAACCAATGGATTCACATTGCAAGATCAGTGATTCTGACAGTGAAGCAGACTCCCTCTGGAGATGGTGGACTCTCCTTCCTTGGAGATTTTAAAGCAGAAGTTTGGATGGCCATTGGTCATGTAGCTGAGATTCCTGCATTGCATTGCATTGTTTTGTTTGTTTGTTTGTTTGATTAGATTTATCTACCGCCCATCACAAGATCTCAGGACAGTTCACAAGCTAAAAACACAAGGTAAAAATACAAACAAAAAGTTAAAATAAAAACAAAATAATAATCCCCTCCTACAAACATATTTAAAAGAGTGTAGAATGTTAATCAGCCAAAGGCCTGGTTGAAGAGCAACGTTTTCGCCTGGTGCCTAAAGATATATATATCTTTAGTGCCACACAAAGGTGCCACACGAGCCTCCCTGGGGAAAGCATTCCACAAATGGGGAGCCACTGCAGAGAAGGCCCTGTTCTTGTGTTGTCATCCTCTGGACCTCTTGCGGAGGGGGCACAGGAGGAAGGGCCTCAGCGAATGATTTCAGGGTCTGGTTAGTTCATATGGAGAGAGGCAGTCCTTGAGGTATTGCAGTGCCAGCGGCGTAGCTAGCCGCCTGGGTGCCTGGGGCCGCCTGCATGCCCGCGGGGTGGGGCAGGGCACACCAGAATCCCAGTGCGAGCACTCAGAGCCTGCAGGGAATCTGTGTACCACAGGCATAGGCAAACTCGGCCCTCCAGATGTTTTGGGACTACAACTCCCATGATCCCTAGCTAACAGAACCAGTCGTCAGGGATGATGGGACCTGTGGTCCCCAAACATCTGGAGGGCTGAGTTGCCTCTGCCAGGTCTACCACCTCCTCCAGCCCTTTCGGGCACTGCGGAGCCTTCAGGTGCCCAATCCACGGAGTTATTCCAATAAGAGATGCATGGCTTGGCTATGCCTCTGGCAGTACTGAGGAACAGATGATCCCTTGGGTCCCTTCCAACTCTACAATTCTATTATTCTACCTAGCTCAGCCCTTTCTGCACTGACTGGCAGCAGCCCTCCTGGATTTCAGCCCTACATGAAAATGTCGGGGGATGAATTTGGGACCACCTTCTGCTCCTCCCTCACATTTGAGATGACTTCATCCCGTTCCCGGATAGGAACGCAGGGCGCCGCCTTGCACAGAGTCAGACCGTGGGGATCCATCCAGCCCAGCGCTGCCCACACTGGCCGGCAGCGCCTCTCCAGGAGTTTCAAGCAGGGGGCGTTCCCAGCCCGAAATGAGGATGCCAGGATTTGAACCCGGGACCCTCTGCCTGCAGAGCTGGTGCCTCTGGGCCTGCGGGGCGCAGCTGCAAGACCTCCCTAGGGAGGAGAGGAGGGGGAGAACTCCCTCGGGGGCTGCACCGCTTTCACCCCTCCTGCACCCCCCTCCCCCTAAGCAGCCCCGCCCTTCCCGGCCCTGCCATTGCATCTCTGCGCGCGCGCCCGGCCCGCTGCGCATCCCCGCTTCGACCCTTCCCTTGCCATACCACGCGGCCTCCATTCATCTCCTGCTGTGCAGCTGCTCCGAGCATTCCAACCGGAAGGAACTCTCGAGTGGTTTTTTTTTTCTCCCCCTTCTTCTTCTCCTCCCCTGGAGTCTCCCTCCCACTCCCGTTCCCACAAAGCTCGGCTTCGAAGTTCGCTTCGCCTCTCTAGGAGCTTCGTTCGACGGCGCTCGGCTGCCTTAACCCTTCGAATACCCACACGGGAAATAAGAAGAGACGTGCGGGGTTTCGGAAACGCATAACACAGGAGTGGTTGGTTGGTTGGTTTTCCCGCAGGCAGGGGAGCAGAGAAGCAGTCGCTCATTATTAGTGGCCCGGTGGATGCTGAGAATATGAGCAACTGATTTGGTGGTTTGGTTGTTTTTTAAAAAAAATAAATTAGATCTTTCTTTGCTCTTGCAACTGCGCAAAAACGTTACAGCATTTTCTCACAAATACAAAGCATCTTAAAAAGCAGAGACATCACCTTGCCAACAAAGGTCCATATAGTTAAAGCTATGGTTTTCCCAGTCGTGAGGTATGGAAGTGAGAGCTGGACCATAAAGAAGGCTGATCGCCGAAGAATTGATGCTTTTGAATTATGGTGCTGGAGGAGACTCTTGAGAGTCCCATGGACTGCAAGAAGATCAAACCTCTCCATTCTGAAGGAAATCAGCCCTGAGTGCTCACTGGAAGGACAGATCCTGAAGCTGAGGCTCCAATCCTTTGGCCACCTCATGAGAAGAGAAGACTCCCTGGATAAGACCCTGATGTTGGGAAAGATGGAGGGCACAAGGAGAAGGGGACGACAGAGGACGAGATGGTGGGACAGTGTTCTCGAAGCGACCAGCATGAGTTTGATCAAACTGCGGGAGTCAGTGGAAGACAGGAGTGCCTGGCGTGCTCTGGTCCAGGGGGTCACAAAGCGTCGCACACGACTAAACAACAACAACATACTTAGCGGAGCAGCCCAACACCACATTACATCAGTAAGCACTTGATCGTTTAGTGTGACACTTTGGAACTCCCTGCCTATTGATAAATTAAAGCAGACACCTTCACTGTATTCTGCTGAAGATATTGCACATTTTATGAAATGGTGTAATGGTTAAGAGTGTTGGAGAGCAGGGTTCGAATCCCCACTCAGCCATGAAGCTCATTGGAGCAGTCACCATCTCTTAGCCTAACCTACCTCACAGAGTGAGGAAGGAAAACCACATACATCACCTTGAGATCCTTGGGGGAAAGGTGGTCTAAACATGCAAATACAGTGGTACCTCAGGTTAAGAACTTACGGTAATTCGTTCTGGAGGACCATTCTTAACCTGAAACTGTTCTTAACCTGAAGCACCACTTTAGCTAATGGGGCCTCCTGCTGCTGCCGTGCCGCCGGAGCACGATTTCTGTTCTCATCCTGAAGCAAAGTTCTTAACCTGAAGCACTATTTCTGGGTTAGCAGAGTCTGTAACCTGAAGCGTATGTAACCTGAAGCGTATGTAACCTGAGGTACCACTGTACATCACCTTGAGATCCTTGGAAAAAGGGTGCTCTAGACATGCAAATAAATAAGTACCTACATAACTCAGAAATTTCGCCCCCCGGCAGCTTCTATTTTAGTTGCCTGGTTTCAGCTATTTGTGTGTGTGACCTGTCCCATTTAACAACACCCAAGAGGAGTGAGGCCTTAATCAGGGATGTCGGGAAACCAAGAGCTGAAAAATCAGAGAAGCAAGGAGCCCCATTTAGTGCACCAGCTGTTCCTGAAATGAGCAAAAAATGTCAGGGAGGGAAACAGCTGCTGCAGCTGCTACAGGCTTTTTAAAAAATTATTAAATCTTTAGTGGTTTAAAATATAAAGATACAAACATACAACGGAGGTAAGTATTTCAGAGTTAAATACAAAAAGAAAAGAAAGGAAAGGGGAAAAAGGAAAATTTTGAAACAAAGACCAAAAAAATGATAAAAAGGGAAAAAAAGACCAAAGATTTAAAAGACATTATATCTATCAAATAATAATTTTTTTTTGCAGCTGCTACAGGCTTTAATTACAGCGACTGAAGCCTTGCTGAGAATCTCTGAGTTTCAAAGGTCTAACAGAGACCGGGAAAAGGAAGGACATATTTTTCCTGCCTTTGAGAACCCATTCACCAAAGTCAAAGGCATTTCTTCTCTAAGGGTGCAATCCTAGACACACTTCTCTTGGAGCTGTGGTGGTTGGTTCGTGAGGGTGAATGGGGCGCTGCCCCACCAACACTGATCTGCCCTCTGCCTGCCCACATTATTACTTTCAACCAGGCCACAGGAGGGCACTGGCTGGCAGCTTCTCTGTGTTGCCCCTGTAGAACTCAGCAGGGAAGAGGATAGGGCCAAAACTAGAATTAATTGCCTGTGCTCTGCCGCCACCTACTGTCGACCTCCCTTCATCCCACCCTATCAGTCTCAATGGGCACCAGCCCCTGCTTCTTCTGGGGACAATTTTACCTGGAAACAGCTGGGAACTGAACCTGACACCTTTGGCAAAGTGTACTCTTTCCTGTTGAGCAGTGGATTAATCAACACATTGTCTCTTGGCATCTTTGTTCCCCACACCTGTTGAACACCCGCCTGCCTGGAAGGGCTCCTGTCTGTGTTTTTGTGTGTCTCAAATAGATGCCTACTACAGGCACAACTCCAACATGCAAAAGTTTTTCTTCCTAGGATGGTGATAAAGTTCAGCTGATGGAAGTCATAACCCGAAAACCATTTTTGGCTAACTTCATTTTAACTCCTCATTTCTAATGTATATGTCATGCAAACTGCTTAGAGGTTTGGAGGATGAAGCAGTATACACATCTTGTATTTGTTTATCTGTTTTTCCTTATTTTAAAGTTTAATTGAAATATGCACCCCATTGAATATTGTAGTAGTAGTAATAAATGATGGCATTATAATTTGGTAGGAATAAGTTGGAAACTTTTGCAAGTAAAAGTAGATTATCTTTCTACACACACACACATTGCATTACCAGTAGCCACTGATAGTCCTCTCCTCCACAAACTTGTCTAGTCCTCTTTTAGAGTCATCCAAGCTGGTGGCCAGCAACAGTTATTCATTTACATATAAAAAATATTTATATATCTCCCGCACATAAAATACCAAGGATGTACACTACAAAAAATAGAATAAAACAACACAAAGTAATCACAAAAAGGACCAAAATCGTCTAAAAATCAAAATGGAAATTATAAACAACGGGAGAGGCCCTCAGCATCAATAAAGTCTGTAGGTTGCCTTTTCTGTTGGAAAAGTAGCCCTCAGCATAGGGATCTGGTTGAGGAAACCTGATGTAAATAAATAATCTGCAAATAAATAAATAAATCTCTTTTTTTTTTAAGAATATTTATTCCAATTTTAAAGTTACAAAAAAAATATAGAAAAGAAAAAACACAAACCACATACATCTTATAAAAAACAGACAATAAAAAAGGAATAAAACAAAAAACAAAAAATCACAATAAAAAATAACAAAAAACAAATTAGACCATTACAAACCATTTTCCCATTTACTTGTTTCCATGACTTCCTCTCACCTCCCTGCTTTGTATTCTAGTTTAAATCGTATCTCCAGCAAATCCTTCTAACCTTCTTTTCTTTTACTTATTTTAACATTCGAAAGTACTTAATTCTCCTCTATCCTCATTTTACACTTCATGCTTACTTATTCCATTATACCCTGTCTGCCAATACGGTCTAATATTCTTCTCCAACCTTTTTCTAACATTCTTTTATATTGCAGTGTTTCTGAAGATATGTTTTAAATTTTTTCCAGTCTTCTTCCATCAACCCTTCTTCCTGATCTCGAATTCTGCCGGTCATCTCAGCCAGTTCCATATAGTCCATCACTTTCCTCTGCCATTCTTCTCGGGTAGGCAATTCTTGTGTCTTCCAGTATTTCCCAATAAGTATTCTTGCCGCTGCTGTCGCATACATAAAAAATTCCTGTCTTCCCTTCTCACCAATTGGCCGACCATGCCCAAGAGGAAAGCCTCTGGTTTCTTCACAAAAGTGTATTTCAATACCTTTTTAATTCATTATATATCATTTCCCAGAAGGCCTTGATCTTTGGGCACGTCCACCAAAGGTGGAAAAAGGTTCCTTCATTTTCTTTGCATTTCCAACATTTATTATCGGGCAAATGATAGATTTTGGCTAGCTTGACTGGGGTTAAATACCACCTATAGATCATTTTCATTATATTTTCTCTTAATACATTGCAAGCCGTAAACTTCATACCTGTGGTCCATAACCGTTCCCAGTCAGCAAACATAATATTGTGTCCAACATCTTGTGCCCATTTAATCATAGCAGACTTAACCATTTCATCCTGTGTATTCCATTTCAACAGCAGATTATACATTCTTGACAGATTTTTAGTTTTAGGTTCTAACAATTCCGTTTCCAGTTTAGATTTTTCCTCCTGGAAACCAATCTTTTATCTAGGTTAAAAACCTCCCTTATTTGGTAATAGTGAAGCCAATCTCGAACTTTAGTTTTTAATTTGTCAAAACTCTGCAATTTTAATTTATCTCCAACTTGTTCTAGAATTTCACAATATTTTGGCCAATTTGTCTCCATATTTGTTTTTTCAATGCCTTTGCCTCCATTGGTGACAGCCACCTTGGTGTTTTACTTTCCAACAAATCCTTATATCTCACCCAAACATTAAACAATGCTTTCCTGACAATATGATTCTTAAAGGCCTTATGCGCTTTAACTTTGTCATACCATAAATATGCATGCCATCCAAACACATTATCAAAACCTTCTAAATCTAAAATGTCCACATTTTCAAGAAGTAGCCAATCTTTCAGCCAACAAAAAGCGGCTGATTCATAATAGAGTTTAAGGTCTGGCAGGGCAAATCCCCCTCTTTCCTTCGCGTCTGTTAATATCTTAAATTTTATTCTAGGCTTTTTGCCCTGCCAGATAAATTTAGAAATATCTCTTTGCCACCTCTTGAAACAGTCCATTTTGTCCACAATTTGTAATGTTTGAAACAAAAACAACATTCTAGGCAATACATTCATCTTTATAGCAGCAATTCGGCCAAACAATGATAACTTCAATTTTGACCATATTTCTAAATCCTTCTTCACTTCTGACCAACATTTTTCATAATTATCTTTAAACAGATTCACATTTTTGGCAGTCATATTCACCCCTAGATATTTCACTTTATTAACAATTGTTAATCCTGTCTCTTTCTGAAACCTCTCCTTCTCAATCTCTGTAAGGTTTTTCTCTAATACCTTAGTTTTCGTCTTGTTTAATTTAAAACCTGCTACTTGACCAAATTCTTGGATTAATTGTAATACTCTTTTTGTGCTAGCTTCTGGCTCCTGTAGTGTCAAAACTAAATCATCAGCAAAAGCTTTCAATTTGTACTGTTTAGCTCCGAGTTGTATACCTTTAACCAATTGGTCTTTTCTAATCATATTGAGCAAAACCTCCAGGACCGATATAAAAAGCAATGGGGAGATTGGGCAACCCTGTCTTGTTCCTTTCTCTATCTTAAATTCTTCTGTAACTACATTGTTCACAATAAGCTTGGCTTTTTGTTCCGAATAAATTGCACCTATACCATTTTCAAAACTTTGGCCTACCCCCATCCCCTGCAAATTTTTCTTCATAAAACTCCAAGAAATATTGTCAAACGCTTTCTCTGCATCTACAAATATTAAGACAGCTTTAGTATTGATATTAACTTGCAATTTTTCCAAAATATTAATAATATTCCTGGTATTATCTGACAAGTGTCTCCATAAATAAATAAACCTCATAGCAAGCTTGTGGGGTGCCAAGACAGAGAATGAGATTCCTAGTCCCAGATCTGTTCTTCCCCACACCTTTGTCTTCTTTTTCTTGTTTATATAATTTTTATTTGGTTTCACAAACATAAAGTTATAACAATCCGAATTACATTATTATTATTATTTATTTATTTATTTATTTATTTATTTATTTATACCCCACCCATCTGGCTAGATTTCCCCAGCCACTCTGGGCGGCTTCCAACGAAATATTAAAAATACAACAAAACATCAAACATTAAAAATCTTCCCTAAACAGGGCTGCCTTCAGGTGTCTTCTAATAGTCAGATAGAGATCCATATTTAGAGATTTCTCCAAATCTCTGGACTTCCCACCTTCCCCTCCATGGGTCCGATTGTACACCCTCTCAACGGCAGATGATTTCATAATCCATATTTCATTTCTCTCCAGATTGTCCATAATATCCGCTACATTGCAAGTGTTGTAGTCTTCCTTTTTCTTTAAAGCTTTGCAGGCAGTCAGGGGTTCAAGTTGCAGATAGGTAGCCGTGTTGGTCTGCCGTAGTAGTCGAAACAAAATAAAAAAAAAATCCTTCCAATAGCACCTAAAAAAAGTAAAGGGACCCCTGACCATTAGGTCCAGTCGTGACTGACTCTGGGGTTGCGGCGCTCATCTGCCTTTATTGGCGCTCATCTGCCTTTATTGGCCGAGGGAGCCGGCGTACAGCTTCTGGGTCATGTGGGCAGCATGACTAAGCCGCTTCTGGCGAACCAGAGCAGCACAGGAAACGCCGTTTACCTTCCCGCCGGAGTGGTACCTATTTATCTACTTGCACTTTTGGTGTGCTTTCAAACTGCTAGGTTGGCAGGAGCAGGGACCGAGCAACAGGAGCTCACCCCGTCGCGGGGATTCGAACCGCCGACCTTCTGATCAGCAAGTCCTAGGCTCTGTGGTTTAACCCACAGCGCCACGACCAACTAAGTTTGTTACTGGTATGAGCTTTCGTGTGCAAACTTAGTTGGTCTCTAAGGTGCTACTGGGAGGGGTTAAAGTGACAGAGCTGGGAGGCCTAGAGAGGCTTGGAGGACAGCACGCCACACACAAATACACACAGAGATTTCATAAATACGTATTTGAAGGAGGCTGCTGGCGGAGTGTAAATACTGGTGCCTTTTCCTGTTCTGCCATTGGGCTGCTCCCCGTGGAAACTGGTTCTGACCCAGAGGACTAGCTGCTTGCAGGACGGGCAGCCGAACTGAAGGGCAGGAGCAGATCTCAAAGGAGTGGTGAGTTAAATGCATGGAGAGGGGGTGTTGTTCAGCTCTTGCAAGCAAAAGGTGGGCCCTGCCCCCCCCCATGGCCCTGCCCTACTGCATGCAACCCCTCTTGCTCCCAGTTTGTTTAGAAACGGGGTGGAGGCCGATTCAGGCTGAACGCAAACTGCATCTGAAACCCTCCCCCCCATAATTCTCAAAGAATTATGGGCACTGTAGTCTCTTAAAGGTTGCTGGGAAGTTGGAACTCTGCAAGGAGTAAACTCAATTTATTTGGTTTTTCAAATTAAAATTTTACAGAGATATATCAAACATAAATAATAATAAAACAAGATTCCTAGGAATCTCCTGAACTTCCATCCTCCCCTTTGTGGGTCCTATTGTTAATCATTTCCTCCCACATCTCTTGTGATACTCCAGAATCTCAACCTGTGGGTCCCCAGATGTTGTTGGACTACAACTCGCATCATCCTTGAGCTCTGGCCTTGCTAGCTAGGGATGATGGGAGTTGTAGTCCAACAACATCTGGAGACCCACAGGTTGAGAACTGCTGCTCCAGATCCTTTGCCTCTTCCATTATGTCCAGAATTCAACCTTAAACTACAAGCAATATTCCAATCCTACTAACGATTTTAACTGTTTACAATGATCTTTAAGATAAGTTATAAATTTTCCCCTTTCCTTATTAAAATTTAGGTCTTCCTGATTTCTGACTCTTCCGGTCATTTTCGCCATTTCCGCATAGTCCATTAACTTCACAGGTAGGGACTGTGGCGATCACACAGGGTCCCCGGACGTTTCACCGTCTATTGATCCCTGTGCCACCACTTTATTTCTCGCTGCCACCACCCTGGCCCTACCTGGTACAATACTGAGTCCAGTCAGGGTTAAATTGAAACATAAACTTCTGTTTATTTATTGCAGTTTAACAAGCGTATGGTTTCTTAAACGGTATTGGTCAATTACATTCATGGGGTGCCTATCCAGACCCATAACTTCCGCTACCTGCACTCACTCACTAAACCACCTCTCAGATATCTACTTGTCTTCCTAGCCCCTAACTGTTCCTGACTCAGCTTATTTCGCAACACTAGCTAAACCTACCCACAGACTCTATCCCAATTCACTCCCACTCCAATCAACCACCCAACTCCCAACGAACTCCCCCCTTCCCCCTCCCAGAGCTGGTTTTATAGTCTCTTTGACTCCACCCCCTGGGTCCTGATTGGGTAACCTGTTTAACTATTTCACCTCCAGCACTCTCATATGTTAACGTCATAGGGACTTTATCTTCTTTCCATCTCTGGGGGCAGCACCAAAGTGATCTCGTTGGGGTGCAAGCCTGGGCAGTGTATCTGGAGGTCCTGGGCTGCCCAGAAGACAAGACCCTCCTCTTGGTCTCACTGATGGGGTCCAAAGGAAAGCAGAGCAAGGCGTTTGGCACCAGTGCTAGCCCTGCTCAGATTAGGGCCACTGAACTCAGTAGACGCGAGTAGCTTCAGTTCACCAATCTCAATGGTTCTACTCTGAACATGGAACGTAAGAGCCTGCTGGATCGTGCCTATGGCCCATCTAGTCCAGCATTCTGTTCTTGCAGTGGCCAAACAGACGTTTGTTGGGAACCCGCAAGGAGGACCTGAGCACAAGAGGCCTCTCCCCTCTTAAGGTTTCCAACAACTGGCGTTCAGGATCATCTCTGCCTCCGAAGTCAAATAAGTTGGAGTTCTTGTTATTAAATATACCAAGAAAAAAGCACACCAAGAACTCTGGCCAATGTAAGTTTCAAAAGTGGGAGTGGTCCCTACTCGCAAATCAATAGTCAATTGTAACAAAAACTAATCCATTCAAAAGTATGCATTCTGACAAGGATTACAAACTCAAATAGAGATTACAAACTCAAACTCCTAAGGATATGTATAACACAATAATTTGTTACAGTATTAAAGATAAGAGTTTATGAGTAGAGATAAATTCATGTTAGTCCATAGTCAGATTAGACGTGAAGATCTTAGTTTCAATCATTGAGCAGAAGTCAGAAGTCAATTATGGATCAGAAACCAGGACAGGGACCTGTTTTGATGTATTCACCTTCATCAGCTGGAAGTATCAAACATTACGTGATAATACAGTTAAATTCTAAATTATCATAAATTATAAAACAGTATTATGCAACATTTGGTTCCTTACCTAATTTTTAAGGGGTCGTGTAAGTTTGAAGAATTTGTATAAATATATTCTGTTCTGAAGCAGAAGTCAGCATGGAAGGTGGTTTGCTTGCCTTTGTTAGAAGTTGTTAAATGGAGGCTGGATGGCTGCCTATCAGGGAGGTCGTTGCAGCGGTTTTCCTACATTAGCCGGGTGATGGCGGTTGTTCTCCGTCTGTGGATGTTTTATCCTCGAATATTTCATCTGTCCTGCCTCTGATACATTCCCCTCCCCTCCAGTATTTTACCCCTGTAATCTACTCCCAAGAGTTTTGGCTGAAGATCAGCCAATAAAATAATATAGGTCTCTGTGAACATTCTGTGACATCATTGAAACCTAGCCAATGAGGAGGGGTGGACAGGGCAGGGAACAGCAAGGATGACCTTCAGGTTACTGTTTCAGGAGCTGCACTCGTCCTCGGATAAGCTGCCCTGCATTTCAACCTAAGTTCCTTTTGGATCTCCACAAGAGCAGAGAAGCCCACGCAAGGAAGTCATGCAAAAGGACCATGAGGATAGCACCGTTCTGGATCCCCAACAGCATGTATTTCACGCTGAAAGAGGTATGCAGTAAAGCAAAACATGAATAAGTGCTGTGCTGCAGCAGGCCAAAGGCAGGGGTGGGGAGCGAGTTCTAACCAGAGGAAAAGGGATCCCTCCATAGGATCAGGAGACATACTCCAGTCCTGTAATGGAAAGTCTGCATGGAGCTCTGAAGCCCCAGAAGGTCTCAGATTACAATCCCTGGCATCTCCAGGTAGGACTAGGAAAGAGTTCCCTGTCTGAAACTCTGGAGAGCTGATGCCACAGTCACTACATACAATAATGAGGTTGAGGGACCACAACGGCCTGATTCAGTTTAGGGCCATTTCTTATGTCCGTAAGAGCAGGAAGCAGATTTCAGCCAAAGTTTAGGAGCTGTTAAAACTGTGAGAAGTGGCTTTTAATGTGTGACATTTTAATGTATTTTTAATCTTTGTTGGAAGCTGCCCAGAGTGGCTGGGGAAGGCCAGCCAGATGGGCGAGGTACAAATAATAAATTATTATTATTATTATTACTACTACTACTACTGTTATGTTCGAAAACTGAGGTACCACTGTATCACAGGGACAAATTGAACACCATCACAGTTCTCTCCTTCTTCCAGCAGGCAGTGACTCTCTCCGCAAGCGGAAGGCGCAGACATTTCCCACAGAGTGTCCCACATTTGTACGGGGCGAAGAGAGCCCTCCCCAGGGCGTTACGGAAGGAGCGGTTCTTCACCCTCACCAGGAACTGGAGACACAGCAGAGAAGCTGCCCTTCGGAGGGACAAATAAACTCTGTTCCTTTCTGGGGTGGCTACGAAGGACTTGGTGGATCTACAGTACAACAGAGAATCCCCCCAGGAGAGATCCAGCAGGGCAGCGAAGGCCACAGCTGGAGGCCAGACTTTGTGATCAGCAGGAGGAGCTGTAAGAAACGGGACAAGCCTTACAAATGCTCCGAGTGCGGGAAGAGCTTCAGTGTGAGCTCCGACATTATCCGCCACCAGAGAATCCACACGGGGGAGAAGCCGTACAAGTGCCTGACCTGCGGGAAAGGCTTCAACCAGAACTCCCACCTGACGGCGCACCAGAGAACCCACACCGGGGAGAAGCCGTACAAGTGCTGGGAGTGCGGGAAAAGCTTCAGCCTGAGCTCGGACTTCACCAGGCACCAGAGGATCCACACGGGGGCCAAGCCGTACAGGTGCTCCGAGTGCGGGAAGGGCTTCATCCAGAAGTCGCACTACGTCACGCACACGAGGATCCACACGGGCGAGAACCCGTTCCAGTGCCCCGAGTGCGGGAAAGGCTTCACGTCCAGCACGCTGCTCATCAGACACCAGAGAATCCACACGGGCGAGAAGCCCTTCAAGTGCTCTCACTGCGAGAAGAGGTTCTGCGCCAGCTCCAACCTCGTGACCCACATGCGGACCCATACCGGGGAGAAGCCGTTCCCGTGCCGCGAGTGCGGGAAGAGCTTCAGCCAGAAATCCACGCTGATCGCTCATGAGAGGACGCACACGGGCGAGAAGCCCTACAAGTGTTGGTGCGGGAAAATGTTCAGCAAGAGCTCGGACCTCCTGGCGCACGAGAGGACCCACACGGGCGAGAAGCCGTACGCCTGCCCAAGCTGCGGGAAGCACTTCCGGATGAGCTCGCACCTCGTAAGGCACCAGCGCGTCCACACCGGGGAGAAGCCGTACCAATGCTCCGAGTGCGGGAGGAGCTTCAGCGCCAGCTCGCACCTTATCAGACATCAGAAAATCCACCTGAAAGCCAAGTGACAAACAATGGAACGCAGGAGGAAGAGTCTTAATAGCACAAGGATGGAAGACTGAGGAAATCCCCACTAAAGAATTGTGGCAAGAGAAACTGATGGCCTATGCAGAACTGGCAAAATTGACACATAAACTACGGGACAAGGATTAAAGGTAAAGGGACCCCTGACCATTAGGTCCAGTCGCGGATGACTCTGGGGTTGTGGCGCTCATCTCGCTTTATGGGCCGAGGGAGCCGGCGTACAGCTTTCGGGTCATGTGGCCAGCATGACTAAGCCGCTTCTGGCGAACCAGAGCAGCGCACGGAAACACCGTTTACCTTCCCGCCGGAGCGGTACCTATTTATCTACTTGCACTTGTGTGCTTTCGAACTGCTAGGTGGGCAGGAGCAGGGACCGAGCAACAGGAGCTCAACCCGTTGAACCGCTGACCTTCTGATCGGCAAAGTCCTAGGCTCTGTGGTTTAACCCACAGCGCCACCCGCGTCCCTTTAAAGAGGAATGGGAACCTTTTACAAAGTACCTAAAGACGCAACAAAGTGAATTGGACTCCTTGGCAGGCTTTGAATAAACACTCACAATTTTTTTATTGATAATCATTAGTTAAATAAATTAAGGACTTATACAATTCTGTAACATGCAGAGAATGGCATTTGTGGAGAAACCAGAGATTGGAACTGAGGGGGGGGCGGGAAGGGCAAGTTGTTTATGGGAGGGAGGGGGAGGGGGGAAATGAGGAAAAAAATTAAGGATGATATGTTTTAAGATAATATGTTTTGTTGAATTACCTAATAAAAAATGTAAACAAAAAAACAACAACAATGGAACGCAGGAGTGCGGTGGGGACAAAATCCCACCGCTGACACAAGACAAGGTGCAATTTCTCAGATTCTGGGCTCCTTGACACCAACAGGACTTACTTCTAAGTGAATGTGTTTTCGATTGCTTTACACTGAGCTGTCGTCCCTCGTTTTAGGTCTGGGCTGGTGTCAATAAGATGAGGCGGTTACATCAAGCCCGGGAAGAGTGCCAGTCAGGAATCTGTCCTCATTGTGCGCAAGGGAGATGCAAAATGATGTCGTGCTCCAGCCCCCAACCCATAAGCCCTATTCTGTAACTGGTTGGCCACTTCCAGAAATGGTAGCAGAGCCATTCTCAGACGGCTCTGCTCAGCACTTACTTTCTTTGAAGGCTTCCTAGAGCGTTTTTCTTTAAGGAGGCGGCACCTTGCTCGAGATGACATCATCACAGAGTAGCCACTCTAGAAAGCCTGCATGGAACACTCTGTGCTCTTCAGTGGGACAGTAGAGAGAGTCTGCAGCTTCTTACAGCTTTACTCCGCAGGTAGTGAAGAAGAATTAAAACCATGCTAAGCTAAGATAGTGGACGCGGGTGGGTAAACCACAGAGCCTAGGACTTGCCGATCAGAAGGTCGGCGGTTCGAATCCCCGCGATCTGTCCCATCTCCTGCCAACCTTGCAGTTCGAAAGCATGTCAAAGTGCAAGTAGATCAATAGGTACTGCTCCGGCGGGAAGGTAAACGGTGTTTCCGTGCGCTATTCTGGTTTGCCAGAAGCGGCTTAGTCATGCTGGCCACATGACCCTGAAGCTGTACACCAGCTCCCTCGGCCAATAAAGTGAGATGAGCGCCGCAACCCCAGAGTCGGCCACGACTGGACCCAATGGTCAGGGGTCCCTTTACCTTTACCTTAAGCTTTTTATTTTTTAAAGGCAAAATTACACCACCCGATTGGCACTCAAAATCAGCCCCCTTGCCTCAAGGAAGGGCCGGAGCTCAGTGACAGAGCATCTGCTTTGAGTGCAGAAGGCGGGAAAGACTCTCTCCCCCAAACCCTGGAGAGTCGCTGCCAGTCTGTGTTGACAACACTGAGCTAGATGGACTCTCCTTCCTTGGAGGTTTTTTAAGCAGAGGTCGGATGGAGCGCCGCAACAGCAGTCACCTTTGACTGGACTTAAGCATTTTCCCCCCAGTTAAGATTCCTGCATTGCAGGGGGTTGGACTAGATGACCCTCAGGGTCCCCTTCCAACAGTTCTGTGTTTCTAATGGTCTCGACTCAGTATGTTCCTCACGCAAGGCCACCTCTATCCTTAAGCCTCTTGGAGAAGGCAGGACTTTTTGACAGTGTTCACACATTTCAAGCATCTATTTTCTTTCTTGGGCAAAGGCAAATGGAGGGGAGGGGGGAAATCGACCCTGCCGCAAGCAGGATTTATCCCCCCTGCCCCATCAAGGGGGATTGGATGTTGCTGGGTAGGCTGCACTCACCAGTTCCCTGCAGGGAACCCCAAGAATTAACAAGGAGGGTTAAATCCTGCTGTTTTAATTGACTCCTCCAACTTCAACAGGAGGGCGGAAACTGCCTACTGACCTATCACCTGGAGCCATGATTGTATCAAATGATTGACAAGTGGGTGGTCTTACCTACCTGTCAAAGGGGGGTGTGTTAGGAGAAAGATCAGGCCTGCAGTCCCTCACTTCCTACTGTCGGGAACCCAGTTGGTTTAGTTGCCCCCCCCCCCGCCCCAGGTAAGGTCTGCAGTGGACGAGGTATCTCATCAATGCAATATTTTAAATAACTGAATGGTGCATGGGGTGTTTTGTCGAGGGTCAAGCTTGGAAGTCCACCCTGAAGCAGTCGGAGATGGGCCTCAAATGTGTGTGGTCAGAGGGTGGGTGTCCTTTGGGGGCATACCCTCTGAGTCCAGTTTTCTCTCCCCCAGTATGAAATCAAGCAAGATTATTTGTGGGTACATTATTTGTTCTTCTTTTTTGGGAACTTACAAAATTCTTTTCCCCGCCCCTCACCAAAAACACAAATATACACATGCAAATATTTGTTTTTCCCTCTGCATCCCACGCTAAGAAGACTGAATAATCAAGTTACATATTATTAAGTCTCTGTTTGGTGCTCTGTAACTTTCCATTTGCCTGTCAGTATTGACAACGGTGCTATTAAATAATTGAAGGCAATCTAGTTTGCAGTGCAGCCAATTCCTTTGTGGGTTAATGGGTAGACGTTGTAAGATTTGGGTTGTAGGAAAAAGGATGAATGCAAGGGCCACCTTGCATAAACCTTCCCCACACTTGGCGTCACACATGACATACGGGGAGCAGGCAAGCATGGCTTGGCCAGAGAGGGAGGCCTGGTGGCCTCAGTGGCCCGGAGTGCCTTCCATCAGCTTCGGCTGGAGGCCCAGCTACGCCCCTATCTGGACAAGGATAGCTCTGGTAACTTCAAGGTTAGATTACTGCAATGTGTTATATGCAGGGCTGCCTCTGAAGACGGTTCAGAAACTTCAGCTAGTGCAGAATTCAGCGGCCAGCTTGCTCACTGGAGCAAGATGCTTTGAGCATATTACATCAATCCTGGTCCAACAAAACTGGCTACCGATTAGTTTCCGGGCCCAATTCAAAGTGCTGGTTTTGACCTAGCGGTTCAGGACCACAATACCTCAAGGGCCACCTCTTTCCATATGAACCTACCCGGACCCTGAGATCGTCTTCTGAAGCCCTCCTTCGTGTGTCGCCTCCTCGAGAGGTGTGGAGGGTGGCAACATGAGAACGGGGCCTTCTCTGCAGTGGCTTCCCATCTGTGGAATGCTCTCCCCGGGAAAGTTTGCCTGGCGCCTTCATTGTACACCTTTAGGTGCCAGGCAAAAACATTCCTTTTTAACCAGGCCTTTGGTTGATCTGATTGACATCCTATGCCCTTTTAAAATGTGCTTTTTTGTAGGTGTGTGGGCGGCTACCGGGTTGTTTTTATTTTTATTATGTATTCTGTGGTTTTATATCTTGATTTTATTCTGTGAACCACCCTGAGACCCCCAGGTATAGGGCAGTATATAAATTCAAATAATAATAATAATAATAAGCGAACCTTCCCCCTCCGCAAGGGAACTGTTGGTGAACATTCCATAACATCAGGACAATGCTTGGAAGCAACTCTCTTATTTCTCCTTGCGGCAAATAAAGCCAACCCTCACGTGAATGTTTACTTCGTTCAGGATTTATTTTGCAGCCACCGCCACCAAGACAGGATGGGCGGTTGGTCACAAGAAGGCATTCTACCTACCCCACCTTGTAAAAAATCCACTGCCTTTCCGTAAAGTCCCATTTCCAAAGGACACTTCTCCCCACCCCCATGAAAGATTCCTTGCTCAGACTATAAGAAGTTCAGCACAAGCAACATGAGCAAGAGTAACCCCTCACACGGAAGCTGATTGGTGCCTGGGGAACTTTCCCAGAATTCCAGTGGCTCTTTAGTCTGTTTTGGACATGGGGAGAAGGGTGGGGGGAGAGAGCCAGTGCTGTGAATCCCACTCAAGCCCCACTCGCTCGACCCCCTCTTTTGGCTTCCGAGACACCTCCAAATATCATGTGTACGCATATAAACTTTCAAACCTATCTTGGCACAAATGAGGATTAGAAACTTGCTTTGATTTTTTTAAAAAAAGCCAAACTCATCAACAGGAGGCGGAATTCTTTGTCAGATGCCAATTTCGGCAGATGCATTGGGCAAAAGTTAGTAGTCCACAAACACAAAGTAATAACTATACTCGGGAGACGGGCTAAGTTAGTCACTTGTGGAAAATGGCAGCGAAAAGCCGTTTTTGTAAAACGTCCACACTAGTCGTTTGGGGCGTGTTAAGAACGGGCTTTTACAAGCGAACGGGCTTTTACAGACAAGGCGGGCTGTAAGCCAGGGGTGCTGTCAGGGCAGAGGTCCAGGGTCTACTCAGCACAAGGAGCAGAGGAGAAGGCCTTCAAAAACAGCAGGACTGGCTTGCCACATTTTGAAGTAATGCACTTTGCCATTTACAAAACAAAAACCGGAAAGTCCCATCGTGTCAAATTACCTCGCGCTATAAGTAGCCCCACTCGGTGTGGAGAAGGACACACATATGCCCCACCCTCATGTCCTTCTGGGTAGCGATCCTCTGAGCCGCTTCCACCGCTTCCTCCTTCGCGGGAAGTCCGATCTCGGCCGGGCTGAAGCCTTTCCCACCCTCTAAGTGCTGCGGGTACAGTTTCTGCCTCGTGTGCCGCCTCTCGTGGGTGCTGCAGTGAGACCTCTGGCTGAAGCCCTTGCCGCAGTCCAGGCACTTGAAGGGCTTCTCCCCCGTGTGGGTCCTCCGGTGGCGGACCAGATCCGAGCGGTGGCGGAACGTCTTCCCGCAGTCCGAGCAGTTGTAGGGCCTCTCCTTGGCGTGCATCCGCTGGTGGCGGCCTAGGAGCGAGGGCTCACTGAACTTCCGCCCGCAATCCGGACAGCGGTAGGGCTTGTCGCTGGCCGTATGGGTCCTCTTGTGCACCACCAGGTTCGAGCTGTCGCTGAACCCTTTGCCGCAGTACGAGCACTTGTAGGGCTTCTCGCCCGTGTGGGTCCTCCGGTGGCGGACCAGGTACGAGTTCTGGCAGAAGCTCTTGCCGCAATCCAAGCACTGGTACAGCTTCTTCTCTGAGTGGATTCTCCGGTGTGCGATGAGGTTGGAGCGGTCGCTGAAGCTTCTCCCGCAGTGGAGGCACTGGAAGGGTTTTTCCCCTGTGTGGGTTCTCCGGTGTTTAAGAAGGTCAGAGCTCCGGCCAAACGCTTTCCCGCACTCGGTGCACACTTTCCTCCTCCGGTCCTTGTGGATCCTCTCTTGAGCCCCCAGGTCGCTGAGTTTCGGGACGACTCCTGGACAGGCCACCGGTTTGCACTCCCCGTCTCCCAAGGGGATGTCGTGTGGATTCTCTGATTTGTGTTGGTTTTCAAAGGAGCCCAACTGCTCAGGACATAGGAAAGGGTTCTCTCCGTACGACCCGGAAGGCCCAGTTTTCTCGGAACATCTCATCCGAGGTTTCTCTTCTTCATTCTCGCTTGCCCACCCATCGCCTGCTGGGAATTAAGAGAAGGGAGAGACACATTGGTCATTCCTTGCAAATAAGAGAACTGAATGATGAACCGATTTCTTTATAGTGGTACCTCAGGTTAAGAACTTAATTCATTCCGGAAATCCGTTCTTAACCTGAAACTGTTCTTAACCTGAGGTAGCACTTTAGCTAATGGGGCCTTCCACTGCCACCACACCGCTGGAGCACAATTTCTGTTCTCATCCCGAAGCAAAGTTCTTAACCTGAAGTACTATTTCTGGGTTAGTGGAGTCTGTAACCTGAAACGTCTGTAACCTGAAGCATCTGTAACTCAAGGTACCACTGTACAACGTAAGGAGAGACTGGGCTGCTGGGCCAAGCCAACGACCCATCTCATCCAGCATAAATGTTCACAGATGCAGGACAGATAAAATAACTTCTCCACGCGGCACACAGTTCATCTTTGGAACTTGGTCTCACAGGAGGAAGTGTGACCACCAACTCAGATGACTTTAGAAGCCTGGTCCTGAATGGGGTAACTGTGCTCTGAAGGACCAGGTGCACAGCCTGGGAGTGATTTTGGACTCACAGCTGTCCATGGAGGCACAGGTCAGTTCTGTGTCCAGGGCAGCTGTCTACCAGCTCCATCTGGTACGCAGGCTAATACCCTACCTGTCCGCAGACTGTCTCGCCAGAGTGGTGCATGCTCTGGCTATCTCCCGCTTGGACTACTGCAATGTGCTTTACGTTGGGCTACCTTTGAAGGTGACCCGGAAACTACAACTAATCCAGAATGTGGCAGCCAGACTGGTGACTGGGAGTGGCCGCCAAGACCATATACTGTAACACCAGTCCTTGAAAGACCTACATTGGCTCCCACTACATTTCTGAGCACAATTCAAAATGTTGGTGCTTGCTTTTAAAGCCTTAAATGGCCTTGCCCTGGTATACCTGAAGGAGCGTCTTCATTTTTGAAAGGTTCAGCCTGCCATCTTGATTCAAAATGGCATCCAGTGGTATCCATACACAACACCCTGCTCTTTTTCAAAAAAATTCAGAATTTTGGGCAGAATTTGGCTGTGATATCCAAATGTCTCCAGTTCAGTGGAGGATAAACAACCTTCCAAAATATATAGTAGAAATAAAATGTATTTTATTTCTCTCCACCCTCATTGTTAAGGCCGGATACTGAGGTCCAACTCTGAGGGCCTTCTGACGGTTCCCTCCCTGCAAGAAGTGAGGTTACAGGGAACCAGGCAGAGGGCCTTCTCGGTAGTGGCGCCCACCCTGTGGAATACCCTCCCATCAGATGTCAAGGAAATAAACAACTATCTGACTTTTAGAAGACATCTGAAGGCAGCGCTGTTTAGGGAAGTTCTTAATGTTTGATGTTTTATTGTGTTTTTATATTCTGTTCAGAGCCGCTCTGAGTGGCTGGGGTATAAATAACAAATTATTATTATTATTATTATTATTATTATTATTATTTAAGAGAAATTCATGGAGAACAATAAGGCTATCAATAGCTTGGAGGCAGTAATGGTTGGAGGCAGTAACGCTTCTAAACATCATGAGAGAGGGCTCTTGTGCATGGGTCCCACACGTGCGTTTCCCATTGGGTCATCTGGTGGTGAGATTACGCTGCACTAGATGGGCCACTGTCGTTTTATAATCTTAAGGTAAGACTGCAATAGCTGCTCTCCTTTGTGATGACCAGAAACTGGCATTCACTGACACATACTGTCTTTAAGAGTCATGGTGCTGGAGGAGACTCTTGAGAGTCCCATGGACTCCAAGAAGATCAAACCTCTCCATTCTTAAGGAGATCAGCCCTGAGTGCTCACTGGAAGGACAGATCCTGAAGCTGAGGCTCCAAGACTTTGGCCACCTCATGAGAAGAGAAGACTCCCTGGAAAAGACCCTGATGTTGGGAAAGATGGAGGGCACAAGGAGAAGGGGACGACAGAGGACGAGATGGCTGGACAGTGTTCTCGAAGCTACAAACATGAGTCTGACCAAACTGCGGGAGGCAGTGGAAGACAGGAGTGCCTGGCGTGCTCTGGTCCAGGGGGTCACGAAGAGTCGGACACGACTAAACGACTAAACAACAACAACCTAGCAAAATATGGAGAGGGTTCTGGTTGTAAGTTGCTTCCCCATTCATATCACCCACCCTATGCTTTCGGAAGTCAGCCACCCTGTGATCTTCAGATGCAGGGCAGTATATAAATTTAATAATAGTAGTAGTAGTAGTAGTAATAATAATAATAATAATAATAATAATAATAATGAAACTGGGCAAAGGTCTAGGCCGTGTTTTGTCAGAGTACCCTGTTATATTTATTTATGATAGCTTTGATATGCTGTGGGGGTTTTTTAACTTCAGGCGATGAAAAACTAACACCCTGCAGGGGTTCCCAAGAAGAGTAAAATACCACAAAAACAAGAGAATATAATAAAACAGTTAGAATGTGATCAGTAAAAGAGAAATACCATTGCAAATTAAAAGCAAGGCATTTTTTTTTTAAGAAGGCTTCATAACTCACCAAAAGAGCAGGGGTGGGAAATGTGGCCCTCTGCGCACCTTTAACTGGCCCTCAGAACCTTCTCGAGGCCACACCCCCTGCACAGGGATGAGGAATACTTACCCATTGAGCTGCCGTCGCTGTCCTGCTTTGCCTCCCTGTACAGCTGCCACAGCCCCACGTCTGATGCCTGCTCCGCCTTGGGCATTTCCTGAAAAGGCTTTGAGATCTAGAACCACAAGGGAGAACAAAGAAGGTTTGCGGAAGACGCAAGGCAGACTAAAGGAAAGGTTTCTTCACACAAGAGAGCAGAGTTAAACTGCGGAACTCTCTGCCACAAGGAGGAGGAGCGGCCACCAACTTGACCGGCCTTAAAATAGGATTCTAAAACAAATTCTTCACATGTTGAATGTGTAATTCCCGGGAAATTGTTTCTGGTGATGGTGTGTGTGTGTATGTGTGTCTCTGTGCTGTCTGTCTACAACCGAACACATACATAGCGCTGAAAGGTAAGTCAGGTCACATGTAGTCCACATGAGATTCTAACAACATTTAGTGAATTTTCTGATGTTGACCATCTGATGTTGACTATTGAAGCAGAAGGCAGTGCATCTGTAGAAAGGAGTGACTGAAGGTTTGGGTTGCTGCAACTCTAATAAATTCTTGACCTCTGTTGGGCCCTGTTCCTGCAGGAAGACACATGTTTATATTTCAGGCAGATGCTCCTAATCCAGGACTAATTCCGGATGCGGATGCTGTAGGAGTCACAGTTGTGTTAATCACCTGCACCTACAGAGGTCAAGAATTTATTAGAGTTGGCTATTATGTGAACAGTGAATATACTGAAACAGAACTGAGAGAAAATCCTCCGGTAAAACCAGATTTTTCTAAGCTCCAGAGGAATATTTTGGCATCTAACCCCAGGGTCACAAGATTCCAAATTAATTGGGAGGACAACACTGAAAAACTGACAGAAGCAGAGAGCAGCAACCCAAACCTTCAGTCACTCCTTTCTACAGACGCACTGCTTTCTGCTTCAAAAGGATGGTCAACATCAGAAAATTCACTAAATGTTATGTTAGAATCTCATATGGACTGCATGTGACCTGACTTACCTTTCAGCACTATGCACCATAGATTCCGGCATATTAGGCGACTGGGCGTATAAGACGACCCCCCAAATTGTCAGCTGCCAATTTGGGGGGTTGATTTATATGCCCAGTGTTATACGTGGCAGTTTCGCTGGGCAGCGGCAGTGGGTGGCGGGCTCCGCGCTGGGAGGAAGCTGCCTGGTGAAGCTGCCCAGCGATGCTAAGCTGGCTTCACTGGGCGGCTTCCTCCTGGCGCGGAACCCGTTGCCCACTGCCGCTGCCCAGCGAACCCATACCCGGCGTATAAGACGACCCCCAACTTTTTGGAGGATTTTCCGGGGTTAAAAAGTCATCTTATACGCTGGAAAAGGTCCGTATAGTTAAAGCTATGGTTTTCCCAGTAGTGATGTATGGAAGTGAGAGCTGGACCATAAAGAAGGCTGATCGACGAAGAATTGATGCTTTTGAATTATGGTGCTGGAGGAGACTCTTGAGAGTCCCATGGACTGCAAGAAGATCAAACCTCTCCATTCTGAAGGAAATCAACCCTGAGTGCTCACTGGAAGGACAGATCCTGAAGCTGAGGCTCCAATACTTTGGCCACCTCATGAGAAGAGAAGACTCCCTGGAAAAGACCCTGATGTTGGGAAAGATGGAGGGCACAAGGAGAAGGGGACGACAGAGGACGAGATGGTTGGACAGTGTTCTCGAAGCTACAAACATGAGTTTGACCAAACTGCAGGAGGCAGTGGAAGACAGGAGTGCCTGGCGTACTCTGGTCCAGGGGGTCACAAAGAGTCGGACACGACTAAACGACTAAACAACAAATACGCTGGAATCTACGGTATGTGTTAGGATGTAGACAGACTTAAAATAGGATTCGGCAGATTGAGAGAGGAGATGCTGTTGATGGCTACTATGAGCCACAATGGCAATGCTCTCTCCCCGCTGCGGTTAGGGGCCCTGCTTCTGCCACCCTCCAAAGTCCCGAGGGGCGGAGAGCTGCCTCACCTGCTGCTCCCACCTCTTGGGCTCCCGGGGCCTCCTCAGGAAGCCCTCGGCCAGGGCCACCGCCTGGGCGCAGGTCTCCGGCCCCCATTCCCTCACCCAGCTCTGGATCTCGGGTGGCAGGATGGTCAGGAACTGCTCCAGGATCAGCAGCTCCAGGATCTGCTCTTTGGTGTGCCGCTCGGGCTCCAGCCACTGGCGGCACAGTTCCCGCAGCCGGACGCAGACCTCGCGGGGCCCCTCGGCCTCCCGGTAGCCAAACTGCCGGAAGCGCCGGCGCTGGGACTCGGCGCTGACCAGGCCCGGCCTCGAGCTCTCAGCCTTTAACTTCCCGCTGGCGCCGTCGCCCCTCTCTCTGCCTTCCGGAGGGTGTTGGGGGGCTGGCTGCGGCTCTCCCGAGAAGGGCCGGGCCGCCCAGTCCCCTCGGGGCCACATCCAGGCGTCGGCGGCTCCCTCAAAGGCCTTGCTGCTCTCCTCCCACGTCGCAGGCAGCTGCGGGTTGCCCCAGCCCGGGTGCGGGGACTGAACTGCCTTCAGGAACTCCTGCCAGGGACCGTCCCAGCCCTGTGGGATCCCGTCGCCTGGCTCCTGCTTCACTTGCTGTGAGGCTGGCCATCGCAGGAGCTCCGCTGCCATGCTGGCCGGAACGGTTTTCCTGGCTCTTTTGTTGACGTCCCTGTCGGGTTTGGGGCCTGCTGTGTCGTCTTCCTCCTCGCCTGTTCTCTCTCCGGGCCGAGGCCCTTGCTCAAGCACTGGCTGGTAGGGAAGGGCTAAGGACATGGCGGAGCCACTTCCCACGGTGGCCATCTTCTCCCTCTCTTGGCCTAGAAATGTTAAGAACACAACAAAATCACCTCTCCAGATCAGGCCTAGCTGAGCCCGGTTCTTGGTTTCCTACCGTGGGCAGCCTGACTACCTCAGAAGGCAGCAGGCTCTCTTTAAAGCAGGGGTTGGAGGGCCATTTGTCAGGGATCCTTTAGCTGTGGTTCCTGCGTTGCTGGGGGATTGGCTAGATGACCGTTGGGGTCCCTTTAACTCAACAATAAAAAGCCTAATGGAGCTGGATATAGGAAGCTGCTTTATATACTATTGCACTATGGCAGCAGCTCTCCTGCGTTTCAGGTGAGGCCTTCCCAGCCGTACTTGGACGTGCCAGGGATTTAACCTGGAACCTTCTGCATGCAGGGCAGAATCTCTAACCGTTCCTCCTTCTCCAGCATCAATGAATAATAAAATTACAGAGTTGGAGAGGACCCAGAGTCATCGAGTCCAACCCCCTGCAATGAATGCAATTTCAGACAGAGACTTTCCTGTTAGATTATCACGGCGATCTAAAACCCTGTCCACCTTGAAAAAGAGATTTAATTTAAGGAAGAGCTTTGAGTTGCTAACTAATATTATTGACACTTATTCATCGCCTTCTGAACCACCCTCTCTCATGGTGATTTATATACAGTGGTACTTCAGGTTACATACGTTTCAGGTTACAGACTCCGCTAACCCTGAAATATTACCTCGGGTTAAGAACTTTGCTTCAGGATGAGAACAGAAATTGTGCAGCCACGGCGCAGCGTCAGCAGGAGGCCCCATTAGCTAAAGTGGTGCTCCAGGTTAAGAACAGTTTCAGGTTAAGAAAAGACCTCCAGAAAGACTTAAGTTCTTAACCTGAGGTACCACTGTATAAGGTAATTAAAAGCAGTTAAAAACAGACGAAGGTAACAAATAGGTTTATAACAAGACTAAAATCCCTAGCAAAGAAGACACTTGTGGTAAAGACTCCCTTTATCCAGCTGGGAAAACCTGTTGGAATAAAAATGTCTTCCACGGTTGCCCAAAGTGCAGATTGACAGAGATGCTATTCCACAGAACAGGGGCAGCCACACTACAGGCCCTGCTCTGAGCTTATGGACAGTGGGCTTCTGAGATCTTTGGAACTTGCAGTGATTTTTTCTCCAGACTGCAGCAATGTGCTGGGTACAGAAGGGATAAGGCGGTCTCTTAAGTTGTGGTACACGGAGACCGCAAGGAAGCTACCAGCATTTCTATTCTCTGGCAATGCCCCTGTGTTACTAACAGCCTCACACACGGTGGGTTCAACAGGTGCAGCTCCCCATCCAGATCACTGGGCAATCAGATGTAATAATAATAATAATAATAATAAATTTTATTTATATCCTGCCCTCCCCAGCCGAAGCCGGGCTCAGGGCGGCTAACAACAATCAAATAATCAAACAATCAAATAATCCAACATTCTAAAAACATTTCAATTATAAAAATTAATTAAAATCAAATTGATGGCAACCGTTAAGCAAAATTCTGTGCAGGTTGCCAGAGGAGGGAGTCAGGCTGCGCCCTAACCAAAGGCCTGGTGGAACAGCTCTGTCTTGCAGGCCCTGCGGAAAGATGTCAAGTCCCGCAGGGCCCTAGTCTCTTGTGACAGAGCGTTCCACCAGATTGGAGCCGCAGCCGAGAAAGCCCTGGCTCTAGTTGAGGCCAGCCTAACATCTTTGTGGCCTGCAACCTTCAGGATGTTTTTATTTGAAGACCGTAGGTTCCTCTGTGGGGCATACCAGGAGAGGCGGTCCCGTAGGTACGAGGGTCCTAGGCCGTATAGGGCTTTAAAGGTAAAAGTGACTGTGGGTTCCCTGTTGCAGTTACGCAGAAGGGGCTGAACGGAACCAGCACAGCTTGCGGGAGGGCAGTGCTTGCTTGGCATGTGACCTATGGGTCTCCATGTGCAGCACCAGCATTAAATGCTATCTTATGATGCCTCCTGTTTCCCTGCTCACTGCAGTCAATACCAAGCTATTTCTTTTTATTGATTTATTAAATTTGTCAGTTGCTTCATCTTGCCCAGGGCAACCCAAAGCAACTTAAAACACTGATTGAAATGGGAGCTACAAGGACCAATGGCCTGATTCAGAAAAAGGCAGCTTCCTCTCTTCCTCAAGGTTAACCGCAGCCACCAAATATATAAAAAAGCAAAACATAAAAGCCAACAGCAATCGAACCCTCAAAACAAAACTGATCCAGCTAAAAGGGGAAGGGCGTAAATAGCTCAGAGGCAGGACAGCTGTTCTGCATGCAGAAGGTCCCAGGTAGGGCTGGGAGAGGGTGTGCCCTGCCTGAGACCCTGGAATGCATCAAACTAAGCTCTACTCGTAATAGATCCACTCAAATGAATGAACCTAGATTAGTCATGTCTGCTCACTTTAGTGGATCTGCCTTGAGCAAGACTAGAAATGGCACCATGGGAGAGCTGCTGCCAGTCAGTGTAGGCAAGTCTCAGGCAGATGGAGCAACTTGGTATAAGCAGCTTCCTTTGTTCCTTTGCAACGTGTCCCCAAGGAACGACAAACGGCTAAAAGACCCAGGAATCTCCCTTTCCTTGAGAAGGTACCTTCTAGGGAGGTAGGCCACTGGCCCATCAAGCTAAATACGGTCTACACTGACTGGCAGCAGCTCTGGAGGGTTTGGGGGCAAGGGACAACCCTACCTGGAGATGCTGGGGACTGAATCTGGCACCTCCTGCACGCAATACAGATGCTCTACCCCTGAGCTACACCCCTTTCGGTGAGGATCAACTAGTAACATCTCTGCGCTTCACCTGCTGAACATCTGCCTGCTGCGCTAAAAAAAGAAGAAAAACACAGAGAAACCTGATTTGGGAGCCTGCGAGAGGAAAATGAGCAGCTAGAGATGGGTGCAGGGTTAGTGACAGAAACAGCCCACAAATCCTAACCTGCAAAGGCACATACGCATTTTCAACCCCCACCCCCACTGCAGGATCCCTCCGCCCCCCCACCCCCACCCAGGGGACCCCCCCATCTCCCCGCTCCCATTTTCCCAGTCTCCAGGCTTTGCTTCCCCTCCTCCTCCTCGCCCGCTCGTCTGCCTTTTGTCCTTCAATGCAGAAGCCCCAGCTGAAGGCTCACCCTTGGAAGGCAGCACCCCCTCCCCCACGTGGGAGGCAGGAGGCGGGGCAGGAAGGAAGGAAGCCAGGAAGAAAGAACCCTTCTCTATGGATCGCCTTCACTTCCTGCTCCCGTGTTTTCCCGCGACTTGTCTAGGCCCACGCGGCTCTTTGGCCACATTAACTCTTTCAGCACCACATCACCGCAGGCACTTGGCCTCGCCAGTCTCTCAGAGTGATGCATTAAAAAAAAAAAAAGGTTCCATTTTTATATAAAAATTTTGCAGTTGGCTTTGAACTCATCCTTCCTGAGAGAGAGAGACGAATAACAAACTTACTGGCCTGACTAATATGTTTTGGCTATTGTATGCACTGCAGGGATGTTGATTTATTGGTTTTTGGTTTTAAATCATCACCTGCTTTTATCTACTATTTCTTTTTTTCAAGTTGTATCAGCTGCTTGTGTTGTGTCAGTTTGTTGCTTTGACATGTATAAGTGTTTTGACAGCTGTAATGCTTCACCCCCCTTTTCTGTTTTTGTGTGTGTTTTTTTTAAAAAAGATTGACCTAAAACAAACGGGCAAGTTGGAAGGGACCCCAGAGATCATCTTGTGGGATGTAAAGCTGCAGTCAAGTGCAGCATTCCGACTAAGGGCCTCCATGTTCTAACCGGTTGCTGTGACAACCTGTTTGTCGGTTGCTGGTAGTTTTGAAAGGTAACTGCTCAGTTGAAGTCACCTCAGGACCAACTTCCCTCTGGCATAGTTTATTTGCTTGTTATGTAACCTCAGCCTGCCTTCAGGTACAGTTCTGTTAACCGGAATGAATCTGAGAGTAAAATAGTTTCATGTTAACATGAATCAGATTCATGTGTGTACAGTGGTACCTCGGGTTACAGACGCTTCAGGTTACAGACTCCACTAATCCCGAAATAGTACCTCGGGTTAAGAACTTTGCTTCAGGATGAGAACAGAAATTGTGCAGCGGCGGTGCAGCAGCCCCATTAGCTAAAGTGGTGCTTCAGGTTAAGAACAGTTTCAGGTTAAGAACGGACCTCCGGAACGAATTCTTAACCCAAGGTACTATTTCTGGGTTAGCGGAGTCTGTAACCTGAAGCGTATGTAACCTGAAGCGTATGTAACCCGAGGTACCACTGTATTCTTTAAGAGGGATTCAAAGGGATTTTTAACTTGGAAGGCATCTTTATTAGTAGAACTCAGACGAGTCAGCAACAAGCTGATCGCTGCATAAACTTATAAAGGGGATTGTTTAACTCTGCTAAAGGAAACCTTCCCACAATTGTATGCACTGCAGGGATATTGGTTTTTGGTTTTAAATCACCACCTGCTTTTATCTACTATTTATTTCTTTTTTAAAAGTTGTATCAGCTGCTTGTGATGTGTCAGTTTGTTGCTTTGACACGTATAACATTGACAGCTGTATTGCTTCCCCCCCTTTTTTCTGTTTTATTTTTTTTAAGAAAAGATTGACCTAAAAGAAACGGGCAAGTTGGAAGGGACCCCAGAGATCATCCAGCCCAACCCACTGCAGTGTAGGAATCTCAGCTAAAGCATCCATGACAGATGGCCACCCAACCTCCAAGGAAGAAGAGTCCATCACCTCCCGAAGGAGTCCTTTCCACTGCTGAACAGCTCTGACTGTCAGAAAGTTTTTCTGTGTGTCCATCGACTCTGCACGGGGTGGGGGCTTCAGATCAGCCACGATGAAGCTCACTGGGTGAGCACCGGCTCTCTGCCTAACCTACCTTGCAGGGTTGTTGCGGGGCATAGCTGTCAACCATCCCTTATTTGGCAGGAAACTCCCTTATCCCGGCGCCGTGTTCCGCTGCTGTCCCTTATTGATGATGTCCCTTAAATTTCCCGGGAAGCAGCGGCTCAGGGTCCTCCGCCGAGAGAGAGAGCGCGCGCACGAGCTGCCGCATCTCCGTCTCTCCCAAGGAGACGGCCCAAGAGTCTCCCTCCCTCCCTCTCTCTTGGGTGGGGGCCGGTGTGGGCAAGAGTCTCCCTCCCTCTCTCTCGGGTGGGGAAGGGCAGATGGAACTCCTTGCGCCAGGACAACGGCAGCCCCGACGTGCTGCTTAGTATACCCTCCAACCAGTGCAGCATCTTAATGTAGTGATTTCCCCCTCTGCATCCCTTTCATAACTCTATTTTTATAAATCATTTGTCCATCCATAGTTCAAATTTTTACTACAAGTTTTCTGTCAGTCCTACCAATGTATGTAACTCTTGACAATAGCTTTTCAACTAAATTATAAACTTTCCCCATTCTTTATTAAAGAGGTCCTCTTCCTGGTTTCTAATTCTGCCTGTAAGCTTTGCCATCTCGACGTCGTTCCTTAGTTTTGTCTGCCCCTCTTCTTTGGTGGGAGTTGTAGACCCTTAGGATCATGTAGTCCAACCCCCTGCAAAACACAGTCAGTCGCAGCAAAAGCAGCCTGGCTCCATCAGTGGCGGATTTCTGTATAAGCCAAGCAAAATCCCTTATTTTCGCTGCTGATCCCTTATTTTCGAGGTTGCTGGTCCCTTATTTTCAAATCTGTAAGTTGACAGCTATGTTGTGGGGGGGGTGAAATGAGGAGGGAGAGAACTGCGTACGCTGCGTTGAGCTCCTTTGGAGGAAAAAAAGGGGAATATAAATGCAATAAATGAAACATCTTGACCGAAGCACTACCAAGGGATGGATTTCGAGAACCTGCGAGTCAGAATGGGGCGGGGGGGGGGGGTCCTTCTCTGCCAAAAAAAGCTTGCAAAAAAGGGCTGTTGGGGACAACCAACCTTGCACGGCTCCAGCCGGCAGGGGGCAGATGGGGAAACCGGCAGATCGCCCGGGGAAAATGCACTTTGCACTTTCCCAGGAATCCTACCAAGGCTCCTCCTCTTCCTCCCTCCCTCCCTTCCTTCTTCCTTCCCTCCATTTCTCCCTCTTTCCCCCTCCGTTTCTTTCTCTTCTTATGTAAGATCCATGTGGTTCAGCGCCTAGGCTTGCAATCTGAAGTCGTCCTTGCAAATATAAATAAACCGTAAGTCAGGAGACTCTTCTCCTCGCCCCTCGGTTTTCCAATAGGGCGCGTTTTATTTGCTATTTCAAGCAATGCTGGTTGATGCGCAGGTGAGACAGAACTGGGGAACTGGGTGGATGCCGCTTCCAAGTTTTTAACACTTGCAAAGCAGCAGCCAACTAAGGAAAAACCCAAGAATATTGAGTCAGACCATCGGTTCACCTCGCTCAGCGTTGCCTGCGCAGACTGGCAGCGGTTCTCCAAGGTATCTGGTATCTCCAGTTAGGGCTGAGACACTCCCTGCCCAAAATCCTGGAGAGCCGCTGTCGGTCAGTGTGGACAATATTGAGCTAGGTGGACCAGTTGCCTCGCTCAATAAAGCTGTCTCTATTTCCAGAGGAGTTGTATAATGCTCCAACCATGCAAGGTTGACGCCCACCGTGTGTGTGTGTGTGTGTGTGTGTGTGTGTGTGTGTGTGTGTTTGTTTGCGTGTTTGCATTCCTTTCATTAGCTAAGCCAGGAGCTCCTGGTCCCACTCAGTGAAGCTCTTCCTTAGAGCAAAATTGCCCTTGTATGTTTGCAGCCGACTCCATCACCTTTGCCAGAGACTCACCAAGACTCAGATCCTGGACCTGGCGATCCTGGAGCAGTTCCTGGCTCTCCTCCCCCCGGAGATGGAAAACTGGGTGATGGGATGCAGAAAGGAGACCAGTTCCCTGGCCAAAGGTTTCTGCCAGAGCCAGGCAGAGGACATGAAGCAGGAGGAGGAACAGCAGGTGAGAGATGGCTTCATCCAGGTGCTTACGCTTTAGGTCAGTGGTTTTGAATACAGTGGTACCTTGGTTCTCAAACGCCTTGGTACTCAAACAACTTGGAACCCAAACACTGCAAACCCGGAAGTAAGCATTCCAGTTTGCGAACTTTTTTCGGAAGCTGAACATGCTCCATTTTGAATGCCATACTTCCGTTTTGAGTGTTACGCTGAGGTCTGTCTGTTTTTGCTATTTAATTTGCGTTTTTGTTTTTGTGGCTCTTTTTTTGTGACTGTGTGGAACCCAGTTCAGCTACTGATTGATAGTGTGACTGCAGTACATAGTTTATTGCTTTCATTTTATGGATCAGTGGTCTCGTTAGATAGTAAAATTCAAGTTAAATTGCTATTTTAGGGGTTGTTTTTAAAGGTCTAGAACGGATTAATCCATTTCACATTACTTTCTATGGGAAAGCGTATGGGGAGGTTTACTTTAGCAGAGTTAAACAATCCCCTTTTTAAGTTTATGCAGCGATCAGCTTGTTGCTGACTCATCTGAGTTCTACTAATAAAGATGCCTTCCTGGTTAAAAATCTCTTTGAATCCCTCTTAAAGAATACACACACAAATCTGATTCATGTTAATACAGTCATACCTTGTGTTACGTCCACTTCATGTTACGTTCTTTCAGGTTACGTCCCGCAGCAACCCGGAAGTACCGGAAAGGGTTACTTCTGGGTTTCGCTGCTTGCGCATGCGCAGACGCGCAAAATGACATCATGCGCAGAAGCAGCAAATTGCAACCTGCACGTGCACAGACGCGCCGCTGCGGGTTGCGTTCTTTTCAAGTTGCGAACTGGCCTCTGGAACGGATCCCATTCACAACCAGAGGTACCACTGTATAAAACTATTTTACTCTCAGATTCATTCAGGTTTACAGAACTGTACCTGAAGGCAGGCTTAGGTCACATAACAAGCAAATAAACTATACCAGAGGGAAGTTGGTCCTGAGGTGACTTCAACTAAGCAGTTACCTTTCAAAACTACCAGCAACCGACAAACTGGTTCTCACAGCAACCGGTTAGAACATGGAGGCCCTTAGTCCTCTGTCGGAATGTTGCACTTGACTGCAGCTTTACATCCCACAAAGCACACCTTGGTTTTGGAATGCATTGGTTTTGGAAAGGACTTCCGGAACGGATTAAGTTTGAGAACCAAGGTACAGTGGTACCTCTGGATGTGAACGGAATATTCCAGAAAGAACTTGAGGATTGGTCTAGGAAAGGTTGCTAGGCAACAGAAAAATCTCCCCAGAACGGGTGCCTTTATTAACGGCATGTGGTCAATAAAGGTCAGTCAGTGTGTAAATGAACAGAAGGGTAAATGAGTCAGCAACTGAGTTTCTGGCCAGATGGCTGGAGGAGAAGGAATTGTGTTGTTTTATTTGACCAATGTAATTTTTTTAAAAAAAATAATAAAGATTCTCTGTAGAAAGAAACTCTGCTGTAAGCCTTAAAAAATAAAAACCAAGAGTAGGTGCAGAGCATACCCACCATGGCTAGAGGCCTTCAATAGCTCTCTCCTCCAATAATTTGTCTAATCCTCTTTTAAAGCCGTCAGAGTTGGTGGCCATTGCTGCCTCCTTGCTGGGGGTGTGTGACCCCCCCGGTGGGCGGAGCCAGAGGCAAAAAGTGGGTGGAACAATGAATGTGACTCTTAACTTTGGTATAGTAAGCATCGTTCTAGCTGTGGAAGCAAGAGCAAATCTCACATTTCAAGTGGTATGTTCCAACCAGGAGAAAGCCCTTGAGGAGGTGTGGCCTTGGAGGGGGGTTCAGAGGGCCAGGCAGAGAGGTCTGGGGGTCCACATTTGGCCTGAGGTGCCCGCCGCTGTTGCAAAGGTCTAAAATGCCCTCCGACCTTCTTTTGTCTCCCTTGCAGATGGTGAAAACAACAGAACCACAGAATTTCAGAACTGGAGAATTAGAAGGGGCATCTAGTCAGACGCCCTGCGATGCAGGAATCGCAGTCCTGGTCTTGTGGCCGCCACCCCCGGACGTGAGCCCCTGCTCCGTTGCAAAAATGATGGTGACATTTTCTTCCAGACCGTCTTCTCCTCTGCGTGGCGCAGAAACTGTTTCTGGAGACCTGCTGCATCAGTTGCAGGAAGAAGGAGTGGAGAGCTGTGCAGGATCTGCCCCTTCCCCTCGGCTTCTGGTACTGTTGCCCGATGTGCAGGCTTTGAATGCTCTGCGTCAGGCATAGGCCACCTCGGCCCTCCAGATGTTTTGGGACTACAACTCCCACGATCCCTAGGACCAGTGGTCAGGGATGATGGGAATTGTAGTCCCAAGACATCTGGAGGGCCGAGGCTGCCTATGCCTGCTCTGCATAGTTTCTGTTTTCTTTTTGCAGCTCTAATATGTTCTTCCTTAGCTGCAGAAGAACTTTGGAAGAGCCTGGCTGCAAGTTCAGGCCAGTGGCCAGCCAGATGCCACAGTGGAAATCCTGCAAGCAAGATATGAGCTCAGCAGCCTCGCTCTCCCCACTTGTGATTCCCAGCGCCTGGTATTCAGTCCCATTGACATCTTTAGGATTTCCTTTCAGTAAGAACATACAAAGAGCCGATTGGATCAAGCCAAGAGCCCATCTAGTCCAGCATTCTGTTCTCACAGTGGCAGTTTCCGAGCACAATACAAAGTGTTGGTGCTGACTTTTAAAGCCCTAAACAGGCTTGGCCCAGTATTTCTGAAGGGAGTGTCTCCACCCCCATCGTTCTGCCCAGACACAGAGATCTAGCTCTGAGGGCCTTCTGGCAGTTCCCTCCCTGCAAGAAGTGAGCTTACAGGGAACCAGGCAGAGGGCCTTCTCAGTAGTGGCACCTGCCCTGTGGAACGCCCTCCCATCAGATGTCAAGGAGATAAACAACTATCTGACTTTTAGAAGACATCTGAAAGCAGCCCTGTTTAGGGAAGCTTTTAATGGTTGATGTTTTATTCTATTTTCAGTATCTGTTGGGAGCCACCCAGAGTGGCTGGGGAAACCCAGCCACATGGGCGGGGTATTATTATTATTATTATTATTATTATTATTATTATTATCAACCAGATGCCCCAGTGCAGGAAATGAGCACATCAGTGCTGCTCTCTCTGCCCTTCCCCAAAAGTGGTATTCAGAGCGCCTTTGAAAAGCTTTATTAGCTACCAATGATGCTTTGAAAGAGGATTAAACAAATTCAGGGAGGATGAGGCCACTGGTGGCAACGAACCCTGACGGTTGTGGACCGGGCAATAATGCTTCTGAATACCAGTTGGTGAAAACCACAGGAGAGGAGAAGGCTCTTCTGCTCAGGGGCTGCTTGAGGGTTTCGTACAGATTTATGTCTTGCCAAATGCAAGGTGGTTCTTTTAAAATGAGATCCAGAAGCAAGACGAAATACACAAGTGAATGAGAAGATTAAATATTTCATTCTGAAACAGCAAGCAATGTATACAGACCAAGCAAACACTTCAATCTGCCACTTGGAAGCCTTCAAGAAGCCTCAGTTTGCACGGATCTGTGGCCGATCAGTCCATGCATGAGCTTCATAGAAACCTAGCCCAGACCATCTGATTTTATATATAGCCTGTGTGGCGACTGGCTACGTGCAGATCATCCATTAGCCATCCCCTCCCAATACCTCACTTTTTAAAAAAACAATGTCCAACATCAAAGAAGGTACCGTATTTTTCGCCCTATAGGACGCACCGGCCCATAGGACACACCTAGTTTTGGAGGGGGGAAATAAAGAAGAAAAAAGCTTCCCCCGACCCCAGCCCACAGAACAGGCAGCTCTCTGCAAGCCTTGGGAGACCGTTGCGACTTCCCGCCAGGCTCCCACTGCTTGCGGATATCTGCCTGAAGCCCAAACCAGGTTGGGGAACAGCGGGATGGCGGCGCTGCGCCTCCCCGCTGTCCCCTGAGCTTGCGGGGCTGGCGGTGGGGAGAAGCGCGCTTCTCCCCGCTGCCAGCCTCCAAACCAGGTCGGGGAACCGAAGCCCGGCGCGTGCTGTGCAGCGCGCCCCAGGCTTCGAGATGCAGGCTGCTATCCGCAAGCCTAGGGAGCCCAACGGGAACTCCCGCGGGCTCCCAAGGCTTGCTGAGAGCTTCCTGAAGCCTGGAGAGCGAGGGGTCGGTGCGCACCGACCCCTCTCACTCTCCAGGCTTCAGCGAAAGCCTGCATTCGCCCCCATAGGACGCGCACACATTTCCCCTTCATTTTTGGAGGGGGAAAAGTGCATCCTATAGGGCGAAAAATATGGTACCCAGCATTATCCTCCCAACTGATTATGGCAGCTGTGTGTGGGGCTTTACCGCCTCCCAGCATTTTCAGGACATTAAAGACTCTTCCCACGCCATCAGAAAACTTAACAAGAGCGAGGAAGGGGGAAGGAACAGAGGCAGGAAGGGTAACCGTGTCAGATCACTAAGTCCTCGATACATTCGAAATAAATTAAAAAATTACCCAGTAGCACCTTAGAGATCAACTAAGTTCTGGGTATAAGCTTTTGTGTGCATGCACACTTCTTCAGATTCTTCAGGTATTCTTCAGATTCTTCACAAAATTTTACACCCAGAACAAACTTAGTTGGTCTATGGTGCTACTGGACATTTTTTAATTTTTATTTTTTTCTGACTGTGTCAGACCAACACGGCTACCTACCTGATCCACAATACATTTTTGGCTTCCAAGTGCATTTCCCATACAGTATGTAGTTAGCCATTGTGAAAACGGGGAGTTGAAGTAGATGAGCCATAGGCCTGATCCAGCAAAGCTCTTGACATGTTCTCCAGCAAGGGTGACTGCTTTTCCAGGGAGAAACCGACCTTGTCTAGTAGCCACAACGGCTATGTTCCACCTCCACGATCGGAGGCACCATAACTCGGAAGTAACATTCGCTGGGGAACAAGAGAGGCCTCTTGTGCTCGGGTCCTGCATCCCATTGGGGCTTCTGGGCTCTTCAGACATCCTTTGGATTCCGCAGGGGAACCTGCAGTCACCTCGCCTTAACTACCTCTTTGGATTGCTAAATTACCTATGAACGCCAAAAATGTGAATCTCCTTAAGGACAACTGTGAAGGATGTTGGATTGAAGAGAAGGGGAATTTGGAAATAGGGACAAACCAGAAGTTGTTACTGTTGGGCCGAGTTGTTGTGGCGGGGATGTTGCAGTTGTTTCAAACATTGCAAGTTCTGGATGGGATGGAGGGTCTCAGGAGGTGGCAGAGGGATGCTCCTAGAGTTGTTTGGCAGGGCAGGAAGCCTCGAGTTAAGCTTAAGATATTGATGGATGCTAAAGAAGGAGGTGGACCTGCCCTGCCAGACCTTTAAACTTCATTGTGAACCATCTGCCTTTTGCTGATTGAGAAAATGGTTGCTTCTGGAAAACACTGAAGTTGGACAATGGCAGACGAAGTTGATGGAGTATAGGGAATTAGCGGAAATGACTGGCAAGATCCGAGACCAGGGTGAAGAGTCGGTGGAAGAAGATTGGAAAAAGTTTAAAGATTATTATAGAAATATTGTAAAATTAAGGAATGTTAGAAAAATGTTGGAATGAAATTACATGGCTTTAGTAGAAATGTCATAAGGAATTAAGTATAAATAGATTAATAGAAAATTAAAGGAAAAGTATGGCAAGAATGTGTTAAGATAATTATAGAACTAAAAACAGAGTAAGATGGAAAGGAATTGCTGAAACAAATAATAGAAGTGGAATACAAAAAGGGAGGTATGAGGAAGTCACTGGAAATAAGTGAATGAATTATAAGATATTGAAAATGTTTGAGGTGCTTTTTAAAATTGTTTTTGTCTGTTTTTGCTTGATTTGTTAGTCCATTCGTATTGTTTTCTCTTTTTGTTTCTTCTTTTTCTCTGTGTTTGTAGTGCTGTGTTGGAAATTTTGAAAAAGTAATAAATATCATTTTTTAAAAAAAGGATTGCTAAATTATCTGTGAGATAAAGCTCTTCCCTTTTTGGTGCTTTCAGGGCCCGGTGACCTTGGAGGATGTGACCGTGCATTTCACAGAGGAGGAGTGGGCCCTTCTGGATCCGGGCCAGAGGGCCTTGCACAGAGAAGTCATGGAGGAGAATTACAGGAATCTGACCTCTCTGGGTTCGTATCCTCCTCCTCTTAGCCTGAGGTTCCCCACCCACTCAGGACAGCATCATAAGATCATAGCACGAGGTCTCAGTTGTTGTCCCTGCTGCTTTTGAGCTCTGCTGACAGAGGCGCTAAGGATGAAATGTGTGACCTGATACATACCGAGGGCTTTGTTGTTGTTTAGTCATTTAGTCGTGTCCGACTCTTCGTGACCCCCTGGACCAGAGCACGCCAGGCACTCCTGTCTTCCACTGCCTCCCACAGTTTGGTCAAACTCATGCTGGTAGCTTCGAGAACACTGTCCCACCATCTTGTCCTCTGTCGTCCCCTTCTCCTTGTGCCCTCAATCTTTCCCAACATCAGGGGCTTTTCCAGGGAGTCTTCTCTTCTCATGAGGTGGCCAAAGTATTGGAGCCTCAGCTTTAGGATCTGTCCTTCCAGTGAGCACTCAGGGCTGATTTCCTTCAGAATGGATAGGTTTGATCTTCTTGCAGTCCATGGGACTCTCAAGAGTCTCCTCCAGCACCATAATTCAAAAGCATCAATTCTTTGGCGATCAGCTTTCTTTATGGTCCAGCTCTCACTTCCATACATCACTACTGGGAAAACCATAGTTTTAACTATACGGACCTTTGTTGGCAATATGCTTTTTAAGATGCTGTCTAGGTTTGTCATTGCTTTTCTCCTAAGAAGCAGGCGTCTTTTAATTTCCGAGGGCTAGATACAACTAAATAGTTATGCTAGTGGGATGTAAAATGAACCCCACAAGTGCCGTGGGTCTATTTTTCTCCTCTCTTCTGCTTGTGTGCCCCTCCAAATTAGTTCTGGCAAGTTGGGAGAACCTCAGGCACAACACGAGGAGATTAGGAGAGGGGAGATTTTGTTGCCTGGCAAGTGTGATGTCAAATTTGCTCTGGGCTTCCAGAGCTCTATAATACACAACCTTCAATTTTGAGGGTCTGATTTACAAAGCAAATTTATCTGACCTACCAAGACGCCACTGATTTTGGCAGCAGATGCAAAGAGATGTGGGGTGGGTGCAACCCAGTGCTCTGATGAGGATGAAACCCTACTCCTTCCTGCTTCTCAGACCCATCTGAGAACTCCTAGCCCAGCTGATATGCACAGTTCAGGTGTGAGGTGTGTGTCCTGTGTGTGTACATGCAAGGGTGTATGTCTGAGAAAGACAATGTGGAGTGGCCATGCTCATCTTTGGCCACACTTACCGCATTTTTTCGCTCTATAGGACGCACCCGACCATAAGACGCACCTAGTTTTAGAGGGGGAGAACAAGGGGGAAAAAATCTCTCCCTCTCTGCGCAGTGCCCCTTCAGCGAAGCAGCAAGAGAAGCGGAGCCCCTTCCATTTCTCCTCCTGCTTTGCTGAAGGGGCGCTGTGCAGAGAGGGAAAGCTGCGCAGCACCTCTCCAGAGAAGCAAAGCCAGAAGAGCAAGAGGGATCGGTGCACTCCATAGGCTTCGCGTTGGTTTCGCTGAAGCCATGGAGCCTGCATTCGCTCCATAAGACGCACACACATTTCGTCTTAATTTTTGGAGGTGGAAAAGTGCGTCTTACAGAGCGAAAAATACGGTACCTTCAGCATGCGGCCCGCAGGAACATTGATCAAGGGTGAACGCGGCCCAGTCTTAGTGCCCATCAACAGTGGCTGCCCCCTGACTATCCTTCCCCTTCTGCTTTTCACACAGACATTAATTGGGATTGTTCTCAAATTTTGGTGTCCGTTCCTCCCTGATCAGGTCTCCATTTGTATTCCTGCAGGTGATGGGGGAGAGAGCAGTGAAGAGAATGAACCCCAGGGAATTAAAACTGAAGCAGAAGAGAATTTGAGGAAGGACACTGTTGTTCCAGACGGTGCTGGCTTCAATGAAACTCTGATGCTGGAAAAACATCATACAGGCAAGAAACAGGAAAACGTCTCTCCTTGTGTAAGAAACCCAGCTAGAATATTGAATCCCAGCACCCTTGGAAGAAAACATAATGGGGATAAACTGTTTCAATGTTCAGAGTGTGAAAGGAGCTTCAAGTACAAGTCACTTCTTCATCTACATGAAAGAACCCACACAGAAGGGAAACACTATAAATGTTCAGAGAACAGAAAGAGTGTCCGTCTGAGCTCCAAGCTTCCTGCTCATCAACAAATCCACACTGGGGGGGAACCATATAAGTGCTCAGTGTGTGGAAATAACTTTGCTGATAGCAATAAACTGTCTAAACATGAAAGAATCCACACAGAAGGGAAACCACATAAATGTTCAGAGTGCGGAAAGTGTTTCCGGCAGACCTACAACCTTTTTAATCATCAAAGAATCCACACTGGAGAAAAACCATATAAATGCTCAGAGTGTGGAAAGAGCTTCACAGACCGTAGTGGCCTTACTCGTCATCAGAGAACCCACACAGGAGAGAAACCACATAAATGTTCCAATTGCGGAAAGTGCTTCAGCCGCTACAGTCACCTTCTTAGTCATCAAAGAATCCACACAGGGGAGAAACCGTATAAATGCTTGGAGTGTGGAAAGGGTTTTGCTCAGAGCTCTGCACTTCTTTCTCACCAAAAAGTCCATTCAGGAGAGAGACCGTTTAAATGTTCTGAGTGCGAAAAGTGTTTCCGTCTGAGCTCCAAACTTCTTGATCATCAAAAAATCCACACTGGAGAAAAACTATATAAGTGCTCAGTGTGTAAAAGCAGCTTTGCGTACAAGAGACATCTTTCCTTACACGCAAGAATTCACACAGGATAAACCATATAAATGCTTAGAGTGTGGAAAGAGCTTCACTAGGAGCTGTGTGCTGTTAAATAAAGAATCCATTCAGGAGGGAAACTATAAATGCTCAGTGTGTGGAAAAAGCTTAAGAGATCATAGTAGCCATTCTCATCATCAGAGAAACCACATAGAAGCCACATAAATGTTCCAATTGTGGAAAGTGCTTCAGCCAGAATAGTGACCTTCTTAATTATCAGACGCTCCATACATGTGAGTTTGGGGAAAGCTTCAGTTGTAGCCAAACCCTTGCTTACACATGGGGGAGAAAGCATTTTCATGTTCAGAGTGTGGAAAGTACTTTGACCATAAGTTACTAACTACCAAAAGGCCCATACAGGTGAGAAGTTATATAAATGTTCAGAGTGTGGAAAGAGCCAAAGCAATAGCCTCTTTAACCACAAAATAATCCATTTTGCAGAGAAAGAATATCATTGTTTGGGATGTGGAAAGGGCTTCAGCTGAAGGGTACGTCTTAGTATGGAATGCGGGTGGCACTGTGATCTAAACCACTGAGCCACTTGAGCTTGCAGATCATAAGATTGGCGGTTCGAATCCTCACAGTGGGGGTGAGCTCCCGTTGCTCTATCCTAGCTCCTGCCAACCTAGCAGTTTGAAAGCATACCAGTGTGAGTAAATAAATAGATACCACTGCGGTGGGGAGGTAAATGGTGTTTCCAGGTGCTCTGGCAATCGTCACGGTGTTGTGTTGTGCCAGAAATGGTTTAGTCATGCTGACCTCATGATGCAGAAAAATGCAGGCTCCCTCGGCCTGAAAGCGGAGATGAGCGCTGCACCCTCATAGTAGAATTTGACTGGACTTAACCATCCAGGGGTCCTTTAGTGTACATCAGAAACCCCATACAGGAGTGAAATCATATAAAGGTCCATTGAATGGAAAGAGCTTCAGCCACGTTGGTGGCTTTAGTTTCCATCAGTGAGTCCACACCGGAAAAGAACTATATACAGTGGTACCTTGATTCTCGAATGGCTTGGGTCCCAAACAAATCGGCTTCTGAACGTTGCAAACCTGGAAGTAAGTGTTGTGGTTTGTGAATGTTTTTCAGAAGCCGAATGTCTGACGTGGCTTCCATGGCTTACTGAGTGCAGGAAGCTCCTGCAGCCAATCAGAAGCCGTGCCTTGGTTTTTGAACAGTTTTGGGAGTTGAATGGACTCCTGGAACGGATTAAGTTTGACAACCAAGTTACCACCGTAGTTGCCATGGAAAGAGTTTTCAGGTGAGCAGAGTGGTTGCGTATCACCACCAAATCCTCACAAGGGAATAAGTCATTTAAATCCTCAGTCAGATGTGGTATCTGTCACAAGGAAAGCACTTACACAGGAAAGACCATAGTCTCTTTTGCACATAACGCCAAAGCGTGGTTAACAGAAGAAGAGCTTGCTGGATCAGGAAAACGGGTCCTCTCCACTCTTGTGGTTTCCTGCAAGTAAGGACAGAACATTGCTCACAGCACAGCCTCCATCCTCCTCCATTGATGGACTTACCCTCCTTTAATTTCTCTAAACCTCTCTTAAAGCCATCCAAGTTGGTGGCCGTCACTGTTTCCTGCTGGAGTGAGTTCCACAGTTTATCTATGTAAAATAAGTACTTTCCTTTCTTTACTTGTCCTGAATTTTCCAGCTTCATTGGATATCCACAAGATTTCGTGTTGTGTGAGAGGGATAAAAACTTTCCTCTATCAACTTTCTTCCTGCCATGCATAGTTTTGCAAACGTCTGTCATATCATCTCTTGCTCGCCTTTTTCTATAAATGATGTTTTATTAAACCATGGCTTAGTGATATCTGTGAAACTAACCCAGCAGTTTAACTATGGTCTGTTAAATATTATTAAAAGTCAACAAAAGTTTGTAATCCTCATTTGACATTAGCCAGGGTTTTGTGTTATATTTGAATGCAGGAATTTACTGCTAAAAGCTACAGAGCCATGAAGAGGGGCCAACAATGTAAATGGTTCTCAAGGTTTGGCTGCTCTGATGTTAAGTGACCATCTGCCCAGTGCCTCGACTTCAGCTATGGCTTGTTAACTATGGTTCACCTTAGTTATGTGAGAGCCAAGCCAGTGAATCCTAGGAATGTTGGCAGCATGGAATGATTGTGTCAAAAGATTCACACCGAAGCAACATCCTATAAATAACTAAGACCAGAGTGGTTTTGAGCAATTGAACACTAGTCCAGGATTTCAAAGTGATGTCTGGGAGGAATTTCCAGATCTTCGGTAATCAAACTGAAAAATTATGTGTTGTTTGGCATTTTTGTAAAAAAAAAGCTAAACTTTGGGGGTTTGGTTTTTTAAAAAACAAAGTTTGATAATATTTGGGTCTTCCTAGCAAAAACTCAACAACTTTTACTTTTTGAAATACGGCAATCCTAACACTGGTAAGAAGCAGAGGGAACTTCAGGGTGGTGGACCATAGTCAGTCTGTGGCAGAAACACATGCCAATTGTAAGGGGATTGACATCTCCCACATGCTCCTACTGAAATATATTTTAAAAACCAGGTATTCATGAAGAAAGGGGCATGGATAGCAAACGGGTTCAGAAGTGGCAACAGCTTAATTACAGTTTGGGGAGAGAGGAAGTCAAGTAATATGTTTATAAGGTTGGAAGTTTAAATAATTAAGCTAATTGGTGTTGTTTATCTGTTTGTTGTTATATTCTTTGTTTTTACTTTCTTTTGTTTTTTGGTTGTGCAACGTTTGTTTTGTATAAAACTTAATAAAAATTATTGGGGGGGGAAATAAATAAAGTTTGGGGAGCGAGAGACAGAATAGCTCATCTCTTCTTTCATATTGACAGTGACTTCCTCCAAGGAAATGTTTCGGCAGTGCCGGATTAAACCATGTGGAGGCCCTTAGGCAGCTGAAATCTCGGGGAGGAGCCTGGCAAATTATCTCCTAATAACCTTTTTTATTTTACCAATCAACAATTTTAAAAAACCAAATCAATATTACTTTGATCCGTTGTTATAGGGCCTCTAAAAGGTCTGGGGCCTGTAGGCTGGGGCCTGCTCTGCCTTCTTGGTAACCCGGCACTGTGTTTCAGCTGTGCAAGAGGAGGAATGAAGCCAGCCATGAAGTAACTCCTCAGGAGATGGGCCACAGCTGAGTATGCACAATGTCAGATTTGTTCAGATCCCCACACATCTTGGCCAGCCTTCCCCGCAGGGTTGTTGTGCATGTTGGTAGGGGAGAACCCTGCATGGCACTAGGCGGTCCCTGGTGGGGTTTAAATGCAATCCACTAAGATGAACGGTCCGGACTGAACCAGAGCAATCCGTCCCCTGCCCCCCAGAGGACCCGGGCTGCACAATCCTAGACTCCCTGCTGCCTTGAGATTGCGATTGTTTCACTGATGATTTGTTAAATTATTCTATATGATCGATGCTGCATTTGGGATGTTCTACCTATGTTCTATCTTGTCGTTGTTATTTAATGCTTGTTTGGGATCCGTTTGAATGGAAAGTGGCACAGAAATATAATCCAATCCAATGAATGAAATCCACCCCAAGAGAGCTTTGAATGGAAGGCGGAGGGAAGCAGGAGCCGAACTCTCTGTAAAGGGCGAATCCTCCCGGAAGCGAGAGCGCGGCGCCACCTGCAGGCCGGGAGCCGCCACGACAAGCCAGAAGGTAATATTGGCAACATACCGCTCTTCTTTCCCCTCCCCTCCCAATCAGCGCGGAGCAGCTGGACGTTCTAAGTCCTCCCTTCGCGGTGGCTGCTGGGAGTCGTAGTTTCCTCCGGCCACTAGGACGGTGAGTTTCCGTGGCAGCCGCGCTCGGCGGCACTGGCTTTCCCGTCGTGCCTTGGGGCGAGAGCGAGAGAGGCGCGGAGGGCGGCGGCGGCGAAGGACGGCGGCCGAGCGGCGCTTGAGGTGGGCGCAGCGGGGGGGGCTGAGGTTTCTGGAGGCCGCAAAGGGGCCTCGGGGGCCGCTCGGGGGGTGATGACGGAGGTGGGGGGAGGGAGGGAAGAAGGAAAACCCCGTCGCTGAATCAGACCAGTGGTCCAGCCAGCTCAGTATTGCCTGCACAGGCTGGCAGCAGCTCTGCTAGGGCTCTTCCCGGCCCAACTGGGGCTGGAGCCCGGGACCTTCTGCATGCCGAGCAGGTGCTCTGCCCGTGAGCCTCCTCCCTTCCCCCGAAGCGTAGGAATCCGCCTCCCACGGAATCTTCCAAAGGAGGCGACTGGAATCGCGCGAGGATGGGGATATGGAAGTTTCCACAAAGCTCCCTGCGCAGCCCCAGTCCATTGTTCAGAGCAACAGTGTTGCCCACACAGACTGGCAGCGACCTTCTGCATGCAAAGCAGCCACCGCCCTTCCCCAAGATGCCCATCGTTCGCTGGCCTCCTGATCACTCTGCCTGGGCCTAAAAGTCCTGATGGCACCAATAGGGCTGGTTGGAATCAATTTTCATTCTCTTCCCAGGCTCTGGCTGCCTCACTCCCTTTGGTTCTCTGCCATCCCTGGCTGGATTTCTTCTCTCCCCTAGAGGCCCTTCCCCTGCCTTGGGATTCCCTGCCTCCCTGTTTCCTGGAGACCCCTGCACCCAAAGGCCCTTTGCGCTCATCACAGCTCCCTTTGGAGCTGAATCTGGCAAGTGTGGGGCTGTTGGGGTGGTGGTGGCTTTTCTTACCTTTCTTCCTTCCAGCTCAGTGGCAGACTCCTTTCCCTGGCTGCCACCATCTGCGTTGCACTACCCGTTCAGTCCTGGTGTCTCCAGGTAAAGGCTGAAACCTCGGAGAGCTGCTGCCAGTTTGTGTTGGAAATATCAAGCTGAATGGGCCAGTTCCTGTGTTCCCATCCATGCAGAGTTTCACTCACACAAAGTGTGTGTGTTAGGGTGTTTCCTTTTCTCTGCTAAGCTGGGAGTTACCTTTTGGATTGGGATGCCAGTTGGAGGTTTGTGTTGGGATGCAGATGTAGGATTGAGATTTGGGTTGGGGAATTAGCCATCGTGGGAGTGGGATAGAGGAAAGTCCGTGTGTGTGTGTGTGTGTGTGCGCGCGCGCAGATGGGGTGAGGCCCTTAGAAAGAGGGCGAAACCCCACTCCTTGAACTGGGATGCATGGAGCCATTGTTGTGTCAGTTTGCAGGTGTGTGTTGGAAGAAAAGATTCTCTGCCTGTTGATATCAGCCAGGTACCTTCACTGTGCTGATTTTGGCACTTGCGAAAAACTTGTTTTGTTTAGAGATGCCTACCCAGATGTGTTTTAATTTTATTTCGTGTACACTGGTCTTTTTTATATTTTAAAAAAACTCTGCTTGATTCTATCTATATTTGATGGTTTTTAACTTAATAAAACTGTCTGATGACGGAAAGGCTACAGTGGTACCTCGGGTTACATACGCTTCAGGTTACAGACTCTGCTAACCCAGAAATAGTACCTCGGGTTAAGAACTTTGCTTCAGGATGAGAACAGAAATCGTGCTCCGGCAGCAGCGGGAGGCCCCATTAGCTAAAGTGGTGCTTCAGGTTAAGAACAGTTTCAGGTTAAGAACGGACCTCCGGAACGAATTAAGTATGTAATCAGAGGTACCACTGTACTATGGTCTGTTATGTGGGAATTAAACTCTCGTTCCCGTTTGCGGAGTATGTGGAAGGCAGTCCTGGGTCGTTTGACCCTTTAATTAGTTCTCTTTTCCCTCGTGTAAAAACTAAGCAAGACACTCCCTTTCAAAGTTTAAATAACATATAACTTAGTGTGCTTGCAGTTGCAGATTAAATAGACAATGAGGGTAGGTGATACTTAATTTGCTAAAGCGTCTTACAGACTGGCTGAGACAGACAGCAGCGCAACCAACATAACATACCGTATTTTTCGCTCTATAACACGCACCAGACCATAACATGCATGTAGTTTTTAGAGGAGGAAAATCCGTAGGCATGCCACCCGTAGGCATTCCCTCCATAACACGCACAGACATTTCCCCTTACTTTCTAGGAGGAAAAAAGTGAGTGTTATGGTGCAAAAAATACGGTACCTTCTGCTCTGTTAAGACTGTTCAATACTAGCCGCCGTAACTGAAATAGCTGCCATAACGGCCACAGAGTGTATGATGTCACGAGAGTTCCACAGCTCTTGCAGTTAACCCTTCATAAAAGCATTTTGGATGCTAACATCCCACATGTTAAGCTTTTGGTTAAGTCTACTAGTTTTTAATCTGCTGGTTTTTATCAATTTTTCCCTTATAAATATGTTTTATGTAAACAGCTTAGATTTTAAAAATAATATTCAATGGCATATAAATCTTGTTAAATGAAATGCTTTCTTTAAAACGTGAGCACTTAATTGTTGTTGTTGTTGTTTAGTCGTTTAGTCGTGTCTGACTCTTTGTGACCCCATGGACCAGATCACGCCAGGCCCTCCTGTCTTCCACTGCCTCCTGCAGTTTGGTCAAACTCACACTGGTAGCTTCGAGAACACTGTCCAACCATCTCGTCCTCTGTCGTCCCCTTCTCCTTGTGCCCTCCATCTTTCCCAACATCAGGGTCTTTTCCAGGGAGTCTTCTCTTCTCATGAGGTGGCCAAAGTCTTGGAGCCTCAGCTTCACGATCTGTCCTTCCAGTGAGCACTCAGGGCTGATTTCCTTAAGAATGGATACGTTTGATCTTCTTGCACTCCATGGGACTCTCAAGAGTCTCCTCCAGCACCATAATTCAAAAGCATCAATTCTTCGGCGATCAGCCTTCTTTATGGTCCAGCTCTCACTTCCATACATCACTACTGGGAAAACCATAGCTTTAACTATACGGACCTTTGTTGGCAAGGTGATGTCTCTGCTTTTTAAGATGCTGTCTAGGTTTGTCATTGCTTAATACAGGGTGGCAAATGTGACCTAACAGGCATTACTGAAACCTGGTGGGATGGGACTCATGACTGGAATGTAGAAATTGAGGGCTACAACCTGTCACTCCACAGCAGTGACCAGAGGAGGAATGACTTGTTGGGAAGAGCACAGGTAAAAGAAATGCCATGGTGCATCTGCAACAGCACAACCAGACTCCTTCATCTGCCCCAGCTGCAACAAAACATGTCTCTCCCATTTCAGTTTCCAAAGCCACAGTGGATGCTGTAACTCTCCGATGGTTTGGCTTCACCCTTGAAGGCGCACTCTTCCATTGTCTTCTGAGACAGACAGATGCCATCAACA